CCTGTACCACCATAACTGCCACCAGCTTTCCATGGAGGTGTTAAAAATCCTGGGTCTGGGCTGTACCGCTTGAGACTGTAAATGGGGTGTTTGAAATGCTTCATCTTACAAAAAAATTATCTTTGCATGCCTTCCCCCCTGAAATCTAATTGTCTGTGTGTAGGATGTTTTCCCCTTCAAAATGGAAGAGCGTTCCAACGCCTGTAACCCCCACCTGCCTCCGTAAGGGGTACAGCCAAGCCACAAGGAATTGCTACCTCAGTGAGAACTAGGCCCTTGGCAACACCAAACTGACCATCCCCATCAACGCCCTGATCCCCAGCCTTTTTGGACCCTGGGGAACTCTTGGAAATCTAAGGAACTATCATGAGCCCCACAAAATACCCATTTTACAGGAGAAAAGCTGGCAGAGGAAGACAGAAACCAAATCCACATATTAAAAAATTGTTCCAGGAAAATATATAAATTATATATATATATTTTAACAGTTTGTATTTCATGCTGCAAAATGTAAGTTCTCCTTAATACAGTAATCATTTCTCTGCCAGTCACTTGATAGCATCTGTCATGTTACTTTTGATTTAATAATAACAATAATAATAATTTATTTATACTCCCCCCATCTGGCTGGGTTTCCTCAGCCACTCTGGGTGGCTTCCAACCGAATATTAAAAACACTATACAGCATTAAACATTAAAAGCTTCCCTAAACAGATGTCTTTTAAAAGTAAGATAGTTGCTTATTGCCTTGACATCTGATGGGAGGGCGTTCCACAGGGCGGGTGCCACTACCGAGAAGGCCCTCTGCCTGATTTGAGGCTGGCATGGTGAAGGCCAGCTGTGGCTTTTCTGCAACAACAATGAAAACCAAAACTCCAAATAAAGTTTCCCCCCTCTCGCTATCCCAGCTAACTGCTAGTTTGAACCTTGCATGGCTGCCCGCATCCAGGGATCCCCAAGTTTGACCAGTTATTTGTTGAGGCGCTTAACCAGAGTTTGTGTTTCCTTTGAAACGAGGCACGGCGGAGACTGTGGCATCTTTATGAGATATGGTTTATGTTATGTATTGAAGTTCTCACCCTGGCCACCAGGGGTATTGTGTATATGGTTTTCACTCAGGTCCATGTAAGTTAATTTAGGCGGGGAACCCTGGTTGTTGTTGTTACAATGTTAACAGCCAGCTGTCTATCAAAGCAGGCCGGCTGAGCTGTTTGCTGTTCAGTTCAGTTCCAGCTTACTTATAAAGAGCTACTTGGAGAAATCTCTGTGTCGTCTGCTATGTCCACCCACAATTTAATAGTTTATTTACACACACATACAACCTGAGCCTACGATGGAGGGGTTCAAAGCACCAACACCCCAAGAGGGTCCCTTCATGGCCGCAGCCTTGGCTGCAAGCAGAAATGAGGCATGTCTCTGTCTCACAGGCTTCAGCCTTCCTCCTCCAGCTTCTAGATTACACACCTCAATTAACCACTTTGGCCTTTCTCTTTCCAACTACTGGTGAGTTGAGGGAGGAGGGAGGACCACCCATTTGTCCCCTGGCGCTGAACCACTTCCTTTTTTACCTTCATGGGCCATTACCTCACCAGAAAGCTACCCTGGGTATTCCAGGAATTTGCTTAGAAGTTAACACTTGCCAGATCCAAGAATTAGAAGGGGCATAAAGTCAGCACCCCCCCCAACAAAGAACAGTATAAACAAACAAGCAAACGAGAAATAGAAATTTATTTATTTGGTTTTTCAGGTTAAAATTTTACAGTCACATATCAAACATACAGCATAAAAACAAGATTCCAAAGAACTTTCCCCCTCCCCTTTGTGGGCCTTATTGTTAATCATTTCCTCCTGCATCTTTATGATAATCCAAATCTTTTACATCTCCACTGTGTCCAAAATTCACCATTAAGCTAAAGTGCTATTCCAAGCCTACTAACGATTTTAACTGTTTACAATGGTTTTTTAAGATAGGTTATAATTTCCCCTCATTCCTTATTAAAATTTTGGTCTTCCAGATTTCTGTCTCTTCCAGTCATTTTAGTCATTTTGGCATAATCCATCGATTTGATCTGCCATTCTTTTTTTTTTTTAATAATATTTATTACTTTTATAGATTACAAAAAGAGAAACCCTCTTCTCCTGCTTCCAAGGGGGGTTTGTATTTTAAACCGATGGAAATTTAATCCTTTGCCAAAAGCTTTCAAAGACTTTAACTTGTAACGTCTTTGCTTCAGTCTATTTACAAAAACGGAAGGCGGACTTCCTGTTTATGACCTCCCGCTTCAGTGCCAAATTAAAGTATTTAAAAATCCAATTTTCCGATTTACTCACGAGTAGTTGTTTAAAATCCAATTGTCCACAGGAAAAAGTCAGCTCTCCGGCAACAGCAATGCGGCTTCACTCCGTGAAAAAAGCAGTCGATTCAAAGCACCGAGCCACTCACCCCACGTCGCTCCGGATCCCCAAAACAGGGTTTTCCCGTGAGTAGGGGAGGCGCAGAAGGTGCCAGCCGAATCCCAGGTTCACAAGCTTCTCCCGCTTGTGATTTCAATGGGTCTCCACCTTCGCCGTGGCGGTCAGACCCTGTTTTTCACGGAGCAAGTTCCTCCCGAACGGAGGAGCTCCGCCATTGCCGGAGGCGCCAACCCGGAAGTCTTTGATCTGCCATTCTTCTCTGGTAGGGACTTTATCTTCTTTCCATCTCTGGACCAATAACATCCACGTAGCCGTGGTTGCATACATAAATAGTCTTTTCTGCTCCCCTGGGATTTCTGCACCTATTGCGGTTACCAGGAAGTCTAGCAACAAACAAGAAATACGGTGGGTAAAGAATTGCCCCAGAACTGTTGTCAGGTACATCGTAATCGACTCTTATTCCTCCAAGGAGCTCAGGGCAGTACGCTGGGTTCTCCCCATCCACCCTCTTCATCCTCAGAACAGTCTCTGAGGTCGGCTTAGAACAGGTTTAGTCTAAGTCAGACAGTTGGTCTATCTCACTGGGTTTACCATCAACACTGACTGGCTCTAGGGTAGGCAAACTAAGGCCCGGGGGCCGGATCCGGCCCAATCGCCTTCTCAATCCGGCCCGCAGGCGGTCTGGGAATTAGCATGTTTTTACATCAGTAGAATGTGTCCTTTTATTTAAAATGCACCTCTGGGTTATTTGTGGGGCCTGCCTGGTGTTTTTACATTAGTAGAATGAGTGCTTTGATTTAAAATGCATCTCTGGGTTATTTGTGGGGCATAGGAATTCGTTCTTTTTTTCCCTTCCAAAATATAGTCCGGCCCTCCACAAGGTCTGAGGGACAGTGGACCGGCCCCCTGCTGAAAAAGTTTGCTGACCCCTGCTCTAGGGTTTCAGATGTGAGATTCCCACTCCTACCTAGAGATAGTGAGGGGGGATTATTGGGTTGTTTTTGATTTGATTATGTATTTTGTGTTTTTATATTCTGATTTTATTCTATGAACCGCCCTGAGACCTGCGGCTATAGGGCGGTATAATTTTTTTAACAACAACATCCACCTGGGACCTTTTGCATGCCAAGCATATGTCTCATACCAGTGAGCTGTGCTCCTTCCCTGGGCTTGGTTCAGCCTCAGGTTTGGCAGAGAGACTCGGTGGCTGACCCACGGCCATGCCATGCCTTTACCTTGCCACTTTCTACCAGGGAAATTTTTCTAAGGTAGTCTATTTTAAAGTTTTTATGTGTTTATATGCCTATCGCACTTTTAAACTTAAAATCTATTGTTGTATATTGTTTTAAATGTTTGTTTTGCTATTGGGATTGTAGTTCCATTTGTGTTTCTCAAGCTGGTCTCTGACCGTAATAAATTTCATTTCATTCATACCAGGGAAATCTGATCTTGACCACTGAATCAGAGCAAACATCAATTGGGTTTTCTCCAGACTGACATTTATTGCTAAAGAGCAGGTTTTCCCAGAGAAAGCAAGGGCAAAAACCACTCAGACCCCTGCCTAGAAACCGGACAAGCGGAAAACTTGACTGATGCTTTCTAGCATACCCTCCAACATTTATCCAGTGAAAATAAGGGCATCCCAACAATTATCTGATGAAAATAAAAGGTTATCTGGTGAAAATAGGGGTGTCCTATTCCATACCCTCCAACAATTTGCTGATGATAATAGGGACCTCCTACCATGTCCTCCAAGGGACACGGGTGGCACTGTGGGTTAAACCACAGAGCCTAGGACTTGCCGATCAGAAGGTCGGCGGTTCGAATCCCCGCGATGGGGTGAGCTCCCATTGCTCAGTCCCTGCTCCTGCCAACCTAGCAGTTCGAAAGCCCGTCAAAGTGCAAGTAGATAAATAGGTACCGCTCCGGCGGAAAGGTAAACGGTGTTTCTGTGCGCTGCTCTGGTTCACCAGAAGCAGCTTAGTCATGCTGGCCACATGACCCGGAAGCTGTACGCCAGCTCTCCTGGCCAGTAAAGCGAGATGAGCGCCACAACCCCAGAGTCGGTCATGACTGGACCTAGTGGTCAGGGGTCCCTTTACCTTTACCCCTAAGGAAAAGCGGGACATTCCAAGATCAAATCAGAAACCGGGATGGCTTCTGTAAATCTGGGACTGTCCCTGGAAAATAGGGACACTTGGACAAGCAGGAGTGTGGACAAGCCCTGAGCTGGGCTTCAAACCTAAGTCCAGTTCTACGCTGCAACTGCTACACCAGAAAGCCCTGCCAGGTGTCTCTGCAAGGCCTCTGAGTGTTTGAGGAATGCCTTTGCACTTTTATTTATTTATTTCACAAAATTTGTATGCTCTTGATTGTAAAAAGAAACCTCAGTGCAGCAGGGATTTGAACCCAGGTCTCCGAGTTTTCCCTGGAATCCAGCCCTCAAACTACAACTACACCATTGTGGCCAGGCAGGGGTTTTATAAGGCAGAAATCTGCTCCCTTCCATCCAAGAGCAGAACAGAGAGAGAGAACCCAGGAATCCCGACTCCCCCAAACCCAGCCAAAATAATTCCGGTGCCAGATTCGAATGGAAGCAGCAGCAACGAAAGTCAAAACAACCATGCTTGCTGTTCATTTATTTTAAAAAGCATTTTGCGGGGGGAGAGGCAGGAGGCAGGCAACATGAGCTTGAGCTTTTGTAAGTGGCCTCAGACAATGTCGCCTGGGGCTAAGTCCACCTGCCTTCCTAGCCAGGATGAGTCACTTTCACTGTCCCAGATTTTGCTTCCGATGCTCAGACACGCTGGGGAATCTCCAGAAGAGGGGTGAAGGCGGATTTCACCACCTGACGTCAAGGTCCAGTCCAGATGAAGGGATAGGCCCAGACTTGCAGTGGAAGAAGTTGGCACGTCCAGGCATCCGACTTCATTTCCTTAGCGACAGAGAGAGAGAGAGAGAGAGAGAGAGAGAGAGAGAGTGGGAAATCAGTCACTGGGAAGGAGAGTGTGTTTCACTGTCTAGGGCACCTAATAATTAACTCTTGGAAAGGTTGCTAGTGAGTGAACCAAGACGAATTTTAGGTCCACCCCATAACACACAGCCAAGGCCCCCACGCATCAGAAACCAGAGCCCGAAACTACTTTGCAGGAACAAAATGATTAAGCGTATTCTGCTCACCCAGTAATGCTTGCAAGAACAAGAAAAAGGAAAAAGAAAGGAAGTCGTCTCGTTTAGTGCCTCTTCAAAAATATTATGGATGCGGCTGGATTTATAAGGTTGTTATGTTTTGATTTGCAGCTGGAGGGGGACTGACCACGGTTGCCTTGTCATCAACAAGAGCAGTACCGGATTTACGTGTAAGCTGAACAAGCTATAGCTTAGGGCCCCAAGGGGCCCCCCAAAAAATTTAAAGGAGAAAAAAACTGGATGTACATTTCCAAAATATAAGATAAAAAATAAATAAAATTAAACCTACATACAGCAACAGTGTTTTGTGTTGTGTAGGCTCCTATGATGTAAGTAATGGGCCCCGCCTGCTAGCCTGCTCCCTAAAATTGTATTTCAGTTCAACAATCACTTTGATAAAATACATATTTTGTTATGTGCAAATGGCTTTAGATACCTATTAGGTCCATAAATTACCATATAGCATAAATTCAACATAAAAAACAGTGACAATTTGTTGTTGACAAAGGACAGCTGAACATATAAAGGGCCCCATTACCTTCAGTAGCTGAGGGCCTCATCAAACCTAAATCCGGCCCTGAACAAGAGTGTTGCTTCGACTTTCTTATACTGTGTGTGTGTGTGTGTGTGTGTGTGTGTGTGTGTGTATATATATATCTACACCTCAGGACCAGAATATTTGCTTGAACTTTGAAAGCAGGTGGGGATGGGAGCTCAAGAAAGTGGCTGGGGGCTGATGGGAGTTGTTGTTCAAAACAGCTGGACTGGAGGGCACCATATGCTGGCAAAGTCTGAGCTCCATTATCCTGGCTCTAAGCATGTTTTAGGGAAGGGGCAGCGGGAAAGCAGATAGTAGACCGTGCAGATATAGGCTGGGTGGGCGGCCCAAGTAGAAGATACCGGAGCATCTCCTCCACCCTCCATTGTCCCCCAAAGCGAAGGGTTGCTCAAATGTCTTTTCTGGACTTGTGGCTGTTCCTGCTGGCAGGAGTGGCCAAAGGTGGTTGCAGAAGATGAGGCTTCTGGGCCTCTGACAAAAGGAGGAACAGGCAGAGATCCAACTGGTAAGGCCTCCCTCTATTGTGTGTGCGATGGGGAGCCACACCTGTTGATGCGCTGCCCGTCGAGCAGCCCTTAAAGGCGCGGGAGGCTTGCCAGGGTGGGTGAGAAGAAGGGCAGTCCAGCTGCCAAGTCTTTATTCACGCCACCTCTAAATCCTCTTTTTCTGACCTGCGTCATGCGGCAAGCTGCACCTGCTGGACCCCCCTCTCCTGCACACCTGCTAAAATGTAAGAAGAGCCCCCAGGGCCCATCGTCCTGTTCTCCCAGTGGCCAGTCAGGCGCCTGTGGGGAGCCCACAAACAGAGCCTGAACGCGCAGCCGCTCTTCCCACGCAACTGGCATGAATGGGTGGCATGCCTGACTAAGCAGGCGCGAGATCTCCCCTACTTGGCACCTCGGTTTCCCTTCCCTCCGCCTGGCATATGGAGCCTGCGATGGGCCCACCAGACTCCGAACGCACCCCACCCGTCTCTGAGCTGGAAGGGGACCCAGTAGGCCTGGCTCCTTGCCCGGCGCTTTGCCCGCTGCTCCTCTTTCTTTCTCGAGCGTCTCCGGTTTCTTCGCAAACAGTAACCCGATGCCAGGACGTGCCAGGAGGCCTGTAACAGGCAGGTGGCACGGCCCGAGGCCTTCACTTGTTTGTCCAACTCGATCAGAGCTCCCCGTTCCCCACTTCTGGAGCCCCACAGATTCTCCCCGAATGAAAGCTTTACTCCCGAGTAGGAAAAAGCTTCACAACCTCTTTCCTCACCCCACCCTGCATTCGCCTAGTTCGGTAATGTACAAAAGGTACACAATCACACACAAAAGCAACCCGACTCTTCCTGCTATTTAGAGAGGGGGGAATGTCTGGCTCTTGGCACCATAAAACTCTGTGTCAGAAAGTGGAGCATAATGCCAGTGTATTCGGGGCTGGGCGGGAAGAACGGATTTAGGGTGGCGTGAATGGAAGCTCCTTTCTCTCTCTCTTCTACTGCCCCCAGGGCAGAGTTCCCAGTGCCTTTACCAGTCGCTTGGCGGGCAGGAATCAAACAAGGTGAGTGTTTTGCCCCCTGCCCGGAAAAACAGCCTGGGGTGGGGGAAACTTTGCCTGTTGGATTTCTGTCTGCTAAACATGCTGCCAGGAAAGACCTCGCAACTCTGAGCAACCGGAGAAAGTTGGTCAGGCTTGATTTGTTTGGAATCACAAGGTCATGGCAAGGATCCGCTTTAGGGACAGGAATGTGTGCGGCTGAGAGAGGAATGTGCTGCGTCAAGAAAGGAAGAATCTGATCCGGGCCCCAGACAGTGGGATGAGCAGGCCTTGGCTCTCTGCCCCTTCCACACCCTTCCGATTTGGCCGCCTCAGCCCCGGGGGATCCTCCCTTCATCTCCGACTGCGGCGGGGAGACTGATGAGCAACATGTCCCACAGCTGCCCGGCAAGGCCCTGCTCTTTCCCTTATCCCTAATCTGCCCCCCAAAATTGGGCAGGCCTGGTGGCAGTCGCGGGCTAGGAAGACGAGCAGGTTGAACGATGCAATCCTCCCAGACAGGCCCAGTTCTTGGTTGGACTAGATGACCCCCTACCAAAGAGAGGGGACTGTCAGAGGCAGCTGCTGTTGCCCCTCCTCAGCAGTGGGGTGGTGGTCTGGGGTCGCCCATCCCACGCCACCTGGGCCTTGGCAGCTGCCCAAATCGTCCAGCCCCATCTGCCAGAGCAGAGCCTCACTGGTTGAACCAGCAACCTACAGCCCTGTGCAATTCAGAAAGGAAAATGCCCTCCTGGCTTTTCTTTTCGTTTCTCCCTCCTTCTCTTCCCAAGTGTGCAGGAAATTGGAGAGATTTCACAATCTGCCCCTCCTCTCCCTCCCTCCCTCCTCCCCCCCAGCCTAGTGTCTTAGGAGCAGGAAGCAGAAATGATGCTTCCTCCCCCCCTTCCTCTTTCTGTAGGAGGTGTTTGCCCACAGAGGGGAGGGGAGGAAGGCTGGGGAATTTCAGAAGATGGGGACAACACCTTGGCTGCATATAAAGAGCTGTCTCAGTGGGGCTCATCAACCAGCAGCAGCAGCAGCAGCCTCAGGGCAGAGGAAACCCACAACTAGAGGGCATCTCCTGGTTCAGAAAAAGGCAGAGAGAGATCAGGACCAGACATTCAAGCATCCTCCACTTGGGGGCAGCAGAGGTGATCTGAGAAAGCAGCGGGATACCCACATCCTCCACTTGGGGGCGACAGCAGCCATTTCCTGGAAGGAGCGATACCTTTGCCAACCATTAGGGGGTGACATAGGGAACTTGGCATTTCCGCTGGGATTCAAAACCGTGAGGAAACCATGACTCTTTCTCTGGGTAAGTGCAACCTTCCTTTTTCCCCAAGGTGGTCTAATACATGCATGTGTGTGCTTGGATTTTTAAGGTGGTTTTTTTTTAGAGGTGGGGAAAAAATATTGAGGATTCTACTTGTTACATTATGGCTCTAGTTATCACATCAATTTTTTTTGTTAATGTTGTGGATGCAAGCTAGCACTATTTTCTCTTAGTTATTTCATTTTATCCTTCTGGGTAGTTCTCCCCTGCTCACCCTCAAAACAACCCTGTGAAGTAGGTTAGTCTGAGAAACGGTGACTAACTAAGTCACCAGGTGAGCTTCATGTCTGAAATGGATTTGGTCTCCCAAGTCACAGTCCAAAGCATGTTATGTCTGCATTGAGACGTTTGTGTGTGTGTCGTTATTCGATTCATTAATGCCAAATCATGCTAAGACATGAAGTGGGTTTTTTAAAAATTTTATTTATTTATTATACATTTCAATAATTTTACAGCCATTTTAACATTTCCAAACCTGACTTCCTCCCCCCTCTTTCTGTGGTTCCTAAAATTTATTTTTAATATTTTCTGCATATCCAAATTGACTTAATTAATTCGTTTATTCATCTACTTTAAATATATACTCTTATGAAACTGCAGGTTATTACAATAATCCTGCCAATGTTCTTATCTGTTTACAATTTGTCTGTATATATTCAACAAACCATTTCCATTCTTTTATTTAAAAAAAGTTTGTTATCTTGATTTTTTATTTTTCCAGTAAGTTTTGGCATTCCTGCATATCCCATAAATTTTTGTATCCATTCTTCTTTTGCTGGGACTTCTTCTTCTTCTTTCCATCTTTAGGCATGGACATGAAGTTGCTTCTGTAATTGGTCCTTCCCTTCCCCATGGCAACACAAATTAAATATTAAATGAAATATAATTGCTACCCTTTGCTTCCATTCTTACTTATCACAGGATATTTCCATCTCACCCTTTCCTTCAAGGAGCTTAAGGTGGCATATAAATAGTTTGCGCCCCTGTCTCTTTTACATTGTATCATCACAACAATCTCGTGAGGTAGGTCAGGCTGAGAGTGATTTGAACCCTGGTCTCCCAGGTCGTAGTCCAACACTCTAACCCTGCAGTGCTCTCTGTCTGCCAGGGCTGGCCCACCCACGAGGCGGGCTGAGGAAGCCGCCTCAAGTGGCAGGATCAACAGAGGCGGCATATCTGGAGTGTTGCCCGTCGTTGTGGTAACCAAGGTTGCTTGCGGTGCGCACCTTGGAGGCTGCATCTACTGCCTCCCACCACTGGCTCAATGTGCAGGCGCACCAGCCCTATGGCAGCCACCCTAGAGCATCACCAATGGCAAAACACCTGTGCTATGACGAGGAGAGTTATGGGGAAACCGGGAGTGTAAACAAGGCGCTTCCTACAACTCTCCTCGCTGTGGTGCAGACATCTTGCCATTGGCGACACTCCAAGCCAGTCGCCATAGTGCCGGTGTGCCTGTCAAATTGTGGTCAAGGAGGTGGTGGCAGCAGGTTTTTGTAGCAGTGGCGGCAGCAAACAGGGAGGACCAGCACTTTTAGTTTGGCCTCAGGTGACAAAACGACCGGGGCCGGCCCTGCTGTCTGGTCCTTGGAACGTTCCCCAGGCCACACCCTCTCCCTAGACACCCCTCATTGGTCCTGCCTGCTTCATGTGGCGCATGCTTTTGCCTGGCTGGGATGTGTCCCTGAACCCTGCCAATGCCTCTTTGTTGTCTGACTGGAGGCTAGAGAGGGGTGTGTGTCAAAACAAGCCTACTTTACATGTGTTGCTCTGCCTACATTGACCTCTGGCTCCAGGTGGCCCTTGGGAGGTGGTCCAGAAGGAAATGCGGTCCTTGGGCCCACCCCTGCTCTAACTAACCCTTACAACCATCATTGGCTCTACCCTTTAGAAGTGCCCTAAAATCCATGTGCCACTTCCTAATGGCAGGACTGTGTTCCTTCTTTACTGCGCAGCGTAAACAGAGGCTGCCTTGTGGGTCCTTAAAAACCTCAAACTGGCCCTGTCTTGACTCCCGAGGTTAGGGAAACATTGACCTGATGGAGATCTTCAGGCAGATGGGAATGGCTGTCTCAAGGATGCTGCCACATTTTGGGAGGGAGGTTGAACTTTGAGCGAGCTTATCTCAAGACTGAGGCAACGGGAGAGACAGAAAGCGAAAGGGAAGTGGCAGCAACGGTGGTGAGGAGCCATATTCAGAGAGGTGGGCCCAGTTAAAAAAACCCAACCCTGCACTGAATATTCATTTGGTTCCTTTTCAGCCAGAAGTCTCCTCGTCATTTGTGCAGGCCTGGTCCACATCGTCTCCCCTGACTGGGATTCACCTCTCAACACCCTCATTGGCCAGACCTTCAACCTGGCCCGCCTCATGAAAGCCAACAGCACCGCCCTTCTGAACACCTATGTAAGAGCTTTGCCTTTTTTCTGGAAGAGCGGCTTCTGCGTATGCTTCGCAAAGGTTGTTTCCCTTTCCAGCTATTTCCCAATAATCCCTCTAGTTCCTCAGAAGCCTATTACCTTGTGGGCATTCCTCAGGAGGCAGCTTTCTCATGATTCCCCACTTTCCTCTGAAATCCGGTGTGTTGGGTGGGGGTGAGAATTTGCCGAGGGTTTTTTGTTTGTTTGCTTGTTTAACGTTACACCTTCAGTTCAAGTGCTTTGCATGAGCTGAACATGCCACCCAGAATGTAACCCAGAATCCTCTGGATCACCCATAGCAACAAGCAGCAAGTTGAAAGTCTAAACATATATATATATATATGTAAGTATGTTTTTAGAATACCTGCTCTGTTCCAGACCTATATTCTGCAAAAGAAAAGAAGAAATAAAGTGAGGGCAGGATTATGCAAAGTAGGCAAATGAATCAAATACATATGCATTTCCTTATTTCTGCCAGTCCTGGCATGACAGAGAGAAAACTATGCAGGGCAGTGGCACTGCTGATATCTGAGAATCCTGCTCAGAGCCACCGTCCCTTGCAGTGCTTTTAAGATTTTGCCTGCATCTTTTCCAACCTTTCCTTGCGACGTTAAGGACTAGAAGCGTCCTTTCTCATAAAAATGAAAGGTTGGGATTCTGTGCCCAGGACCAGTTCCTGAATTTGGTTGCAGAACTACACAACACATTGGATATATGATCAGCGTTCTTTGGTATGGAGGACACAAGGCCCCTTTTTTAAGTCAGGGGATATGTTTGTAGCGTCAGTGAAGTTGTAGGAGGCTCTTTGGGTAAAAATTTCCGATGTATCCTTGGGACGTTTTCATAGGTGAGGCTCAAATCTCCATTATTGTCACCAAAGCTAAAGACTTAAGAAATGACCAGGCCAAGGTTTATCTAGTCCAGCTTTCTCCTTCCAACAGCACCTGGTCATATACCTATGGAAAATTCACAAGCAGCTTCTGAAGGTCACAGCCCCATCTGACTTCATTTGAGAGCCAGTGTGGTGTAGTGGTTAAGAGCGGTAGTCTCGTAATCTGGGGAACCGGGTTTGAGTCTCCACTCCTCCACATGCGGCTGCTGGGTGACCTTGGGCCAGTCACACTTCTCTGAAGTCTCTCAGCCCCACTCACCTCACAGAGTGTTTGTTGTGGGAGAGGAAGGGAAAGGAGAATGTTAGCCGCTTTGAGACTCTGTAAAGGGAGTGAAAGGCGGGATATCAAATCCAAACTCTTCTTCTTCTTGCCCCCAGCATTTGTATATGCAGTATCTGTATATTAAGGTGGCCGCTTACGCATAACCAACACAGAGGGTATGCATAACCCAAAAAACAGAGGGTGCAGATTTGCACAAAAATTGATGTGCCAATTTATAAGTGTGCATGCACCTTCAGAAAGAATTGCTATAATTTAAATCAAATTATATGACACATCTCACTGTCACATTACAAGCTGGACTGAAGTAAAGCTTAGCTGGTTAGAGCGTGGGGCTGATAATGCCAAGGTTGCAGGTTTGATTCCCGTATGGGACAGCTACATATTCCTGCATTGCAAGGGGTTGGATTAGATGATCCTCAGAGTCCCTTCAAACTCTAAAATTCAATGATCCTGTGAAAGGATTTTAAACCTCACATGTGTAATCACTGAGGGTTAGGGCTTGTGGACCAAACTTGGCCCATGAAACCGTTTTCCCCAAGCAACACCCACTTGCTCCGCACCCGGTGTCAGGAGCTGTACAGGTAGAAAAACGGCTGCCGGTGCACAACCAAGAGCCTTGAAGTGCTTGTGACTTTGGGGCTTCAAAGCGCCCAATCACCTGTTATCATTAAGATAACAGGTGCCTTCCACTTGCTGAATTTGGCCCGTGAGGCTGGGATCTCCTAAGGATCTGGCTCCCCACCTCTGGTGTAAATGCTCTGTGCTGGAAAGAGGGCAGGTGGTCTACTCCTTTCCCTCAAGGCAAGGCCACCAAGCTCCATGCCTTTCACCAGATCAAGCTTCGGCCCTGCAGGACTCAGAAATGCTGCAGACTGGGCTCCAGTCCTGGCAACGTAACCAAACAGGCTGTGCCCGCCTCAGGCTACAGGCTAAAGGCACCCGCAGCCAAAGCAGCACCGAGCCCTTTCCCTTCTGGCGGATCCAGAGCAAACCTGTATCGCCAGCAGGAAACAGCACGGAAAGGTTGCCCGCGGCTGCTCCATTGTTCTCGCAACGCTTGTTCCTTGACTTTGCAACATGATCGAGGGAGAGAGGAGTCACTGGTCGCCCCCCCCCGCCAAAGCTGCAATCGAGAGCACAAATCTCCCGCTCTCCGGTGGCCGCTCCTTCGCCTTTATTCTGATCCCTGCACGCAGTGGCTGAGTGCCCAAAGATTTGCTGTGCCCTGCTTCCCGCAACCTGCCTGGGCACAAGATGCCAGATGTAGGGAGGTCATTGCAGCCTGGGCTCTGGCGTGCAGCCAAGCTGCCAACGGCATCCTCGTAAAAGGGTGGGGGGAAGAACTCAGGTGGAACTACGGCCGGCTGATCTGGGGAACAACGAAAGGCCTGTTTTTGTTGGCCTTCCCTGCAAGGAATTCCAAAGGGATGAAGGAGCCTGGTACTGGTGGGTGCCACCCCCAGGATTTCTGAGAAGTGACGAGGGCACATTTCGCAGCAGGCACCCTCGAGCCCACATGCACGTCTGCTGCTCATAATATTTAACCCCTTTGAAAATTGTCTACCTTTTAGGTAGTGGAAACAAAGGAAGTTGGCTTAAAATGAGCCAGGTCATCGGTCCATCTAGCTCAGAAGCTCTCCAGAGTCTGAAGCAGGGGATTTTCTCAGCCCCAGACTTTCCTGGAGATGTTGAGGATTGAGCCCGGAATTGTTTGCATGCAAAACACATGCCCCGCCACTGAGCCATAGGCCTTTCCCTGAACTTCTGGTGGTTTCCCTGGAATACATTTCCCACATCGGTTTTCCTGTCCCATGCCTTTGGCAGAGTCTCAACAGGTTTTCCTGGCATGTAGGTGCCAGGGGCCAGCAGCCCCATAAAAACGGAGCGTGTCGGGAGACAGCGCAACCTTTATTGACGGTTATTTCTCCAGCGCATTCCTGCACCAGCTTTCTTCTGCTTGGAGGTTACGGGTGATTGAGTGGCGTACAAATCCTGTTAAATTGAAAAACACAACCTCTCTCTTTCTCTCTGTTCCCAGCTGAGTCACCAAGGCAGCCCGTTTAGCGACTCCGGCTTCGATGCCCGGAGGCTGCGCTACGAAGGGGTGCCAACGGCCGCCATCCCGTTCCTGGAATGGCGGACTCTCAGCCACGTCAAACGTGTGGAGAAGAATTACGAGGCCTATACCGCCTTCGCGGAGTTCCTGCAGCTGGTGCGGGACGACCAGTTTGAGCTCAACCCCACCAAAGTGGAACTTCTGGATATGCTGAAGGTGACTCGCTTGCGCATCCAAGGCCTCCTCAGCAACTTGACAGCCATCATGTCTGCCTTGGGAGCGCCGCCCGCTGCCGTCACGGACCCCCTCATGCTGGAGTCTGTGGAAGCCGACATGTTCGAAAAGAAAGTCCGGGGCTACGTGGTGTGCCACACGTACAAAGAGTGGATTGACAGGACGGTGAAAGACTTCTCTCTCCTCGCGGAGAAATTCCCAGCCTAAGGATCGCTCAAGGAGTAACTCCCAGGTTAAAGGGTTCATCTGTTCTCCTTGCCGCAGATTTCTTAGGAAAGCAGGCGTAGGGAGAAGACAGACGCAACACCCACAGACTGGTGGAGAAAGTCTGGAAGTGCCCTTGTTGTGTCCAGTCCAAACTTTATCTATTTATCTCCAGAGCTGAGCTCTGGAAAAAGCAACAACTCACTCGTCAGGTTTTCAGTAGAAGCCTGTGGTTGTGCGTGGTGCTGATTGGGTGCCTCCCCTGGCTGTGCATGGTGCTCATTGGCTGCTGCTCCCCTGTGATGTCACCAAGGGCCTCTCCAGATCATGTACTAAAAAAAAACCTTTCCCATTTTAAATAATAATAATAAGGCAACAAATGATAAATGCATAAGAATGTTTATGCAGCATTTTAAAAGGTGTGTTTAAAAAGACAGACGACCTACCTGCAAGTGTCAGTGAGGAGGAAGGACAAGGCTGTTGGTTGAACATGATTGGCTGGCAGACTTGCCTGTCACTTCAGTTCTAAGGCCTTGGTCACCCCAAGTACTTTAAGTCTGTCTTCACCCTATGAGGTCAACTTGTGCGCTTGTGCTTAGCGAGATCTCTTGCATTTATGCTTCCTGGTTTTGCACTTTGTCCTCCTGCTGGGGGTGGTCTATTATTTTCAGTGGCAAACAGGCAGGCATACACGTAAACTGAGATTAATATGATTTCAACTCTACTGTTACAGTGTGGGGGGGGGGTGAGAGAGAGAACTAGATCTGTCTACTGATCTGTCCATCCATCCCAGCCTTTTCCAATTTACTGCTGTTCAGGTGTTTTGGACTGCAATTCCCATCAGCTTGGCAGTCCTTGCAGGGGTTGATGGGAGTTGTAGTCCAAAACATTTGGAGTAGGCCACATTGGCAATTCTGATCTATATACAAGTACATGTGTACGCACACACACATGCATATTTATAACATGATTGTTATTTATGTCCCAGCGAAGTTTGCATGGGTTATTTATGTACTATTTAACGAGGGGCAATGGGATCTAATTTATTCTGTTTTGAGAGGGAGAGAGAGAAATTCCACAGAGGGGGTGGCCATTTAGAAAAGGATGGGAAATTACAAAATAGACTGTAAAACGAGGACACTAATAATGTATGTCAATACTCTGGTGCTTGCAACCCCAGCACATGGCTGTCTGTGACATGTCAGTGTTTCATATCCATACTTGACACTTTCCAGTGTATGTAATTTACATATTCATCAGTACTTCCTCAAGGAGGCGGGGACATCACACATAGACATTTGTCACCTGACAGGACCGGCCCAAAACATTTCATTGCCTGAAGTGACGACCGTTGGATCTTATGTCAACAGTGTCAACAGAACAGCGTTCTCCCTTGCATCTTAGGGCAGAAGGCTAGTTTGTGGGATGTGAGGCAGGCTGCAGGGCACATGCCGTTCTGTCCCCACAACACCTTGTTGCTGCTCCATGCCCTCCAGCATTTACTACCTGAGGCGGTTGTCTCACACTACCTGATGGTCCCTTGAGCACTCAGTGGTTATGGATGATGGGAGATGTGGTCCAAAATATCTAGAGGACACCAGGCTGGGGGTGATGGCCAATTCCCTTGATGAATTTGTGAACTTTGCAGTGCCTTTCAGGCGATGTGAGGAGATAACGGGAGTTCTATCTGAGGTAGCTGTTCACACGTGCACATTACTGCTTGGTTTGATGTCATCCTGGTTAACCACATCTGAAGAGCCCATCAGACCTGGTGGTAGTGAGGAAAAGAGTTATGGGACTGCTGTTATTTGCTCTGTGCCTTAGATATTTGTAACAGCAGTGAGGTATAGCCATTTCTGGGATGGTTGGGTATGTAGGGAGTAAACTCCTGAGGATATGCAGCCATCTTGGGTAAAACCAAGTGGCTTTAAAATAAAGTCTTTTATATTCTTCATAATTTTTCTCACCTCTCAATGATATAAATTGGTTTTTTAAAAAATGATTTTATTTTGTATATTTTTAAATACTTAAAAAAAAGAATGTTGAAAATAGTATATTTTTGGTACCTCAACGATCATCCATTTTCCTTTCAGGATTTCTTTGGATGTATCCTTGCCTTTTGTACATACATGGGACTTTATTTTGTCTAATAAAATCCATGACATTGGAGGATCCCGGGGTTTCTCTCTCTTTTTGTCTGTGATGGTGTGGGTGGGCAACGGTAGTCTATTTCGGCAGAACTAGGTTGAAGAAGAGCTCAAATTAACATCCAAAATCAAGAGTAAAAATGGTAACACCCCTCCCTGATGTATTTGCCCTGTGATCCTTATACACTGCCTGATTGAGAGACTTTCCAAAGACAAAATGTGAGCTGTACTATGCTTCTTGCAAAAGACTGGTGCAGGTATGCAATCCCTAACAAAAGGAGCCTCTAGTCAATTGCTAGTTTGCTGGCGGGATTCAACCACATACCAGAAATTTAGGTTTCATTAACTAAAGTATGTCACCGTAGCGTGACAAACTTACTTAAAAAAACCACAAACTTTTTGGAGTTAGGAAAGTGATGAGGAAATGCACTGAAAAGTGAGGGGCATACAAATGGTTAACAAGAAAACGTCTTAGCAAATCAGCACGAAGGTTTTCACTGTTGTATAACATCCTTGCAAACAAATCAGAATGAGCGCTCAGTAACGCCTGGGGATATTCTAACTTCTGTCTAAGCTTTGTGCAAACAAAGCAAATGGAATGGCTCAGTGAACAGGTCATTTGGAGAAGCCCCAAAATTGTGTTTGAGGAAACAGGAGACTTGCTTTCCAGACTTGCAAAATCCCTGTGCAGGTGTTATTAACACGGGAGCAAGAAGTGGCGCTAGGCCACGTAACCCTGCACCTAAATATCTAGCCCTTCCGTCTGGTTCCTGTCTTGATGTCTGCAAGCACAGCCTGCAGAATATCTGCACAGAGGGAGGGACAGTCGCAGTGTCTAAGTTAGGCCAAAACGGTAATAAAAAATAGCTTAATGTGGAGCTGGGGAATCTGCGGCCCTCAGACGTTGCCAGACTACAACTCCCATGTTGCCTGGGGCTAATTGGGTGGGAACACTTCCGCCAGAAAAAGTATATACTGGTAGTTAAAAAGAAGTGCGTCCTCAGATATGGGTCCTGGGTGCGAAAATATGGCATGAAATGTCCACAGTTAGTGGCGTAACCCTGGAGTTCCAAGCCGTCATGCAGGCGTATCTTTTGCAGGATAGATGTGCCCGTTGTCCTGCGTCACTTCTGAGGAAACAAAAGTGACAGGACCGGGCGCTTCCTGCCTTTGAAGCAGCTCCCTGGCACTAAAGGAGGAGGAGGAGGAGAAAGTGTGACCTTTGTTTGCTGCCTCTTGAAGGCGTGTGGGGAAGCATGTCAGCCTCTGAGTCCAAGGTTATCTGCTCAGAGACCTGAGTGTCACTCTCCCTCAAAAAACGATTCACACCCTTTCCAACAAATTACAGAGAAAAGAAAGCAATGGACGGGAGCCAGGAATTCTGGGTGTTGTCGCTGGGAATGTGTAGAGATTGGAACTGGCTGTTGTGTAGGCTCTCTAAGCCCACGGTGGTGTTCAGTTTCTTCCTTTGTCTCCCCTGCTTTCTTTATAATTTCTAATTCCATCCTTCCTTTACCCCCCTACCCACCAAACACTACCCCCATCAAGACACGGCCACGGCTGCCCCCTGTTGGATGAGCGTGGGTGCATCTTATCCCTGTTTGCTTCAACCCCAAAGGAAGCAAAGAGAGGCCAAAAGAAAGACCCCAGTCCCACAGACAAGCCTCCTGCTATGCTTTGAATGACGGGCCGAAATTCAACAGGTGCAGCTCCCCCCTGCCTCTTCATGCTGGGGGATTAAAAAAAAGAAAGCCAGTTGTATTATTGGCACCTTTCATCTAGCCACCAAAGAAAAGATGGCAACCGCTGGTTTTTGTGAGAGGGAAGGGCTCTATAAGAAGGTTAAAGAAGGCTTCTGAGCATGGATGTGCACCCCCGGGTCCAGATCCATGTTTGAAGAGTCGTGAGACAGGAAGCTCTTTAGGCATCCTTTGAATTTCTCATAATTCCTCAGAGCAGGGTGTGCCAACCTCTTTTGGGCCAGTGGGTACATGTGGAATTTTTGAGAAAGTGGTGTGGGCGCCAGTCACAAAATGGCTGCCATGGGAGTACAGTGGTACCTTGGGTTAAGAACTTAATTTGTTCTGGAGGTCCGTTCTTAACCTGAAACTGTTCTTAACCTGAGGTACCACTTTAGTTAATGGGGCCTCCCTGCCGCCGCATGATTTCTGTTCTCATCCTGAAGCAAAGTTCTTAACCCAAGGTACTATTTCTGGGTTAGAAGAGTCTGTAACCTGAAGTGTCTGTAACCTGAAGTGTCTGTAACCCGAGGTACCACTGTGTGGCATAATGGCTGACATTTAAAAAAAACAACACAGAAAAAGAGGCAGGCCTTCAAAATGGTGTGGGGATTCCCCCTCCCCAAGACATTTTCCAGGCACCACAAGAGGTGGTTGCAGCCATGGGCACCACGTTGGTGACCGGTGCCTCACTTGGTGCTAATCCAGCCTGACCCAGCCCATGAGGCCTACTGAATGGAGCAAAATTGATGGCATTCATGAAGCTGTTTGGCTCTTTGGAAGCTGCTTGTAAGGATTGTTGTGACAGGAGGGATAAGTCCCGGTGAGACTTTGGCTCCTGGAGAGATAAGGGAAACACTGTGCTTGATAAGAAGCCATGAGGAATAGTGTCAGGAAGCACAATAGCAGGAGAAACCGCAATATGTATGCTTCTGTTTTGAGAAGCGGCAGATACGATGATGAAACATGTTTATATGCCCGGTATGACTAACAGCATGCTGTGAGGATGTCATTATTTATGCTGGGAAATTCTGATCATGCACAGAGGGTGAAGAAGCCGTAGCTATCTTGTGGGTGGGATTCAATTGCATACTGGCAAATTTAGGTTGCACAATTAAAGCGGATGTGGTGCACGTGTAACAAACCAACTTCCAAAACATACACACACTCCATACCTTTTGTGGCAAGTAAAGTGAGGGGGAAATACACAGGAAAGTGTGGGATCACAGCCGCTTGATGCAACATTGTATAGCCTTTCTTGCAAACAAATCAGAATGAAATAATAAATAGCAGCTGTCACCTCCCCACATAATTTGCGCAGACAATTCAGGGTGAATGCTCAAGACCCTTGTCCCCTCTCAGATCATTATAAAGAATGATACATCTAGACTTTTATCAACTTTCCCCCGTTTTGATACCCATAAGTCTCAAAGGGTGTACAATCTTCATCCCTGTATAGAAAAATAGTTGTACATGCATGAGTACTTTTCACGTGTAATGTTCGATGCGTGCAATATCTGTGTACATGATAACTGCGCTGTGCAAATAAAAAAGTGTACAGTCTTTCACCAAACACTTGAACAGGTGCAAGCTTGCACCTGTTTCCAGTGTAATGTGTGAACATGTTCAGGTTCACTGGACTTCCTCCTATTCCCCCATCTGCTTTCCCCCTTTTCTTTATTTCTTTGGCCACAATCCCACCATACATTTGAAGCGCTATGATACTGTCATGAACTGGCGGGATGACAGGGAGGAGGAAGAGGATCCTGGCAAGGGGTGTAGCCGGGGACTGGGACACCATGGAGCAAACTGGGGATGGGGAAGGAGAGATTGGTGTAGGAAGCGCTCACAGAGTGATGGCGGATGACGAGGGGATGGGGGTCAGTGCACAGGAACCATAGCAGCAGGACTCATCACCAGAGCCAGAAGGCCCCTGTCTCTACAAACATGGCGGGTGCGAAATAATAATAATAATAATAATAAAAATACAAACATGGCGGGCTCTGAGGTGTAGGGAGAAGTGGGCAGGGTGCTCCAGGAAGCTGAGGCAGGCAAGGGCCAACAGGCCAGCTCTCTAGCTGGCCAGGTGAGGCTCTGGGAGGAGGTGTGTGAATCCTTGGCTGGAGTAGGCTTGGACAGGTGAGGTTCACCTGCCTCATTGAGCCCAGATGCTGCAGTCCATCAGCATGCGAAGGGCAGCAGAGCCGAGGTGCTGTGTCTCCTTAGCTCTCCATGTTGATGGTCCTTCACTGGAATGTTGCTGGACAACCATGGAACTGGGCTTCAGGGCTGACTCTGGACTGTTTCCTGACTGCTGGACTTTGGACTTGGCTACTTGGATTGACCCTGAACCTCATTTCCTGACCTTTGGACTTCACTTGTGTGGCTTGACCTTCAGACTTTGAACTTTGGACTTGGCCTACTAACTTGCTGCCAGGTAGGCCAGGGGTTCAGGACAGGACTTTAAAGACTTTATGGCTTCCTGCAAAGACTCCTGGAAACTGCAGTTTGTCAAGGATGCTGAAAGTTGTTGGGAGTCTCCTATTCACCTCATGGAGCTACAATTCTCAGAGTTTCCTGTAAATTCATTGTTAAATCCCTCTAGGAACCGTAGCTTTGTGAAGGGGGGGGGGGAAGGTTCATCTAGGTAGGGTTGCCATATGTCCTCTTTTTCCAGGGCACGTCCTCTTTTTCATGGGTAGAGTCGTCATAGTGATCCATAGTTAGAAGTAGAAGTTGGCAAATGTGTCCTCTTTTCTGTTCTTCAAAATAAGCTTTGTGAGTCCTTCCTATTTAAATCTCTGCTATTCCTTTATACGTCTCTCTGAATGTTTTTTGTTTTTTGCAGAGGTGATAACTCTCACTCAGATTTTTCCTCACTTGGTCATGGATTAAGAACTCATAATCCATGGTGTTTATCATAGAATAGAATTGTAGAATTGAAGGGATCCTGAGAGTCATCTAGTCGAACCCCCTGCAATGCAGGAATCTTTTGCCCAATGTGGAATTCGAACCCATAACCCTGAGTTTAAGAGTCCCATGCTCTGCCAGCTGAGCTGTGTTGGGCTTCCTCTCCCTCTGACACCCTAGAAGGCCTTGGTCCCTTTGCCTCTATTGACCTCCGCCTGAACTGGCTGCCTTTTGGTCTCTAGTGCACATGAGCTTTCCCTCCCCATCCGCTTCTGCTCTCTGTGGTTTTCCTGTCCAGATAATGCAGATCCTCTTTTCTCCTTTCAAGTCAGTTTTTACTGAATCCAGGAATTTCTGAAGCAAGCAGAGGTTGACAAATCCTAGCTGTCTTCAGTGACCAACCAAATATCTGTGGTTACCGGAACCCTCCTTTCCCCAATGGGGCTCCACACATTTGAAATGGAAGTGCAAAGTTAGGGCAAGTTCTCTCCAGCTCTAGCTTGTACAGTAGCTGGGTAGTTCTGCTCCTTAAGGTCAGTGGTTTTTTCCCAAAAGGCAAAATGGGGAACCCTGACGTCAACGTTTCACAAAATGAGGTGCATGTATTGCCCTGAGCAGTCCAAACATCTTCCAAAATCCCGAGGGGCTCCCTCGGAGGCTGCCCCCCCCATGTGAAGAACCTTTTTGGAGATTTGTCATGGAACTAAGGACACAGAGAACTCCTTATCTGGGCTGGCATCCAACAATCGGGTTTATGCAGGAAGTGGCGGGTCTGGTGGGTGATCGGAATTCAATGCGGTGCTTTATAGCTGAAGGCATATTTCATTTACTGGTTCCACTGGGTCGTTGGACGTAGCCCAGGATCTTTGAATGACGCAAAAGGGATATTCTAAAGCAAACAAACACATTCTTTGCCAGAGCTGTGTATAAATTCCATAAGACAAAACCGGGGAGAAAAATGTTGCATCCATCCTATAAAGTTGGCGTGGTTTGCTCTGGCATAATTTATTCTTCCTGTCGTGAGGGTTGTTATTATTACTATTTTTAAGGCATGTGAAGAAGCGTTCTGTCAGGTCAGCCTGCTTGAGCTTCTAGCTTAGAATTGCCCTCTGCTATACAGACTGGCAGTGGTGGTTTTTTGGGGAGATGTGTTTTACACGGGGTTGGCACCAGATTTGGGGGGAGCCCATAGCAGCATCCCAGGTCTTACTTGGACCAGAAACCTATACAGTAATATCAGAAAAGTTCATATATCTGTGGGCCAGGGTCTTACATTTTGGATAACTTAAAATGGCAGTCAGCCACTGTGGATGGGAGCTGAGCTACAACACCCACTGCCAAAGAGCATCCAGGGGCCAGGCCAGGAGGGCACAGCTGGATCAGGCTGACTTGGGGCCCTTCCAAGAACCTGGGGCCTTGTCCTACTTGGCTGGCTGCTGGCGCTGGGCCTGCTTTTACAGCCCCTGCCATAACCTGATGCTTTAACTGAAGATGCTGCAGAAAGAATTGGGACCCGCACTCAAAAGCATATGCTCTTCAACTGAGCTATGGTCCTTCTTCAAAAGTTCCAGCCTGGCAGTGCTGGGACCTGTATCTCCTGTTCTCCTGCTTGTCTCTCTGTCCCTTTCCACTGGGATGAAGCTTGCAGGCTGCTCAAGCCACAGCAATCTGCCCTCCTGAACTTCCTCGCCTGAATTCCACCAAGTCCTGCCCAGCCACTTTCAGTCCGGCTATGCAACTTATAACCTAGTTATGTACACACCAACAGTGCCCGGTTTCTTGAAAATCATTATCCTGGGGTGTTGTGGGTTTTTTTGCCTAGGGTTAGGCGGGCAGTTTAATATTTTGTTAGTGTGAGCTACTAAACTCCTGGTCCTTTGGGATTTAGCTGCCCCTACCTCACCATCGTGTTTCCAGAGTGGGAAGTGGTTGCACAATCTCCCCAGTGTCCAAAAAACGCTTGTGTATGAAACGCTGTGTGTATGCTGCTCATGCAGCAGATGGTGAGGCATGTTTTCCATGCTTCTGGTATATCAGAGATAAGGAACCTATCATCCCTGCCCCATCCTGGGAGTTGTAATTTACCCATTAACAGAACTATGAGTCCCAGCACCCTTAAAATGCAATTCCCAGGATTCCTTTTGTGTGTGTGGTGGTGGAGAATGTGCTTTAAATGTATGGTGTGTATGCAGGTGTAGTCCAGAAACTGGAGGACAACAGGATTCCCAGCCCCCTCTTGGCTTTAAATTGGTTTAGGACAAGCCCTTTTGGGGAAAAGTAACACGGCAGGCAGCATAAATCCCTCTTCATAATGCGTGCATGGCGTAGGGTCAGTTATTGAGCCAGAAGTTGTTTATATGCAAGTTTCTGGTTTTATCTACACACACATAGACACACTGCTGAAATGAGTTCTGTTCCCTGCCAAATACTGTATTTGCTCAGAACTGCATGTCTCCACGCACAGAGACAGCTGTTCCATGCCAGTTTTCTACACAGGCAGCACACACTTCTGCAGTTTTGGAAACTGTTTTCACTGTATTTTGGCACTTGTTTATATAGACCCTGAAGTTGACAGTGGGCCCAAAGCTCTGTAACACAGCCGCGTCGTAGTGAAATACCGCTCACTTCACTTCCACTTAAACGGCGGAGAAAGTTGTTGAAAAATGCTGAAGTGTTCTGGCTTCCAGTTTGGTACACCACCGCCTAAGTTGGATTCGTTAAGTCAGTACAGTATTTAGGAAGAAGTGTCTGTGTGCTTGTTTATGGGGGTGGTTCAGCTTCTAGGCCAGGGTGGTCCATCCCATGGGCCACATTGCCTCCTTTGGCAGCCAAGACCACAAAAAATACTGGGACAAAAATTGTAGACGGAAGCCTGCAAGCTGGGGGTCGCTTCTCTTCTGAGCTGCTGCTGCCGCTGTCAGGGCTGCTTCGCTTGCCTCGTGACTGTTTGCTTGCTGCCTTTTTTAGTCAGCGCCTCGCTTGCCTGCCTCAGTGGCAGCAACAGTGCCTATCACGATGGAACATGGAGGGATTTTCCACATGAAGTTAATTGTCGCACCTGCTGGATGCACTTTTCAGCAGAGATAACCGCCGTGCGTGCAGTTCTTCTCTTGCCCTTGGTCCCCTCTGTAGATGAGACTCACTTGCCAGGCTGGAGTTAACATGTTTTCTCCAAAAGGCTTCAGAGGCACAAGACTCTCTGCAAGCCCCATGCTCTGGACTTGACAGCCTTGGCCCCTCGACCTCGACGCACAGGGCTATTTATTAGGCAGTGAGGGAAAGGCACCCTTGGCAGGCCCAAGAAGGCCTCTGACAGAAACAAACCCCTTTTGGGCCTAGGGGCACTTTTGAAAGCCACACAACCACAGAATCTCCAACAGAGCACCTCCCCCCCCCAAGCCTATCCTGTTAATTCCAATAAAATGCTTCTTTCAAGCCCAATTTCAGCATCGCAAGAGGACGGTGTTGGCCACAGGGGAGGCATCTGTGGGCATGCAAACAGCCACGAGCCCTTCCTTGGCCACCCCTTCCATATACCGTTTGAATGCTTGCTTCCATAGGTTTGGGAAATAAAAGCAACCTGACAGAAGTTTATTACATGAGCTCCATTCCCAACCGTGGCAGAGAAAAGTCACAACAACTATGCTTCCTACTAAAAATAGTTTAATTTAACAATATTCACATAATTAGGCTGCAGCTATATAAATATATCCACATATATAATTAATATAAACATAACACATACAGTAGAAACTAAAGTCTCTAGGACAGGAACAAAAGCCCTGAAGAGAACAGCTTTCTCAAAACCAGAGTTTGCACATTCTTCCTCCCCATAACTGGAGAAAAGGGTGGGGTCAGAAGGGCTATTAAGGGTTAACAAGATACCATGAAATAGGTAATGGTTTCTCCCTCAAGATAATTCTTTGAGAGAACTAACTCGGCACTGAGGAACCAATGGGAAAAAAATAATCATTATTACATTTATAGCCCCCAAGGAGCTCAAGGTGGCCTACAGGGCTCTGCCCCTCCTCATTTCATCCTCACAAAAACCCTGTAAGGTAGGTTAGGGCCTGAGTAAGGGATTTGAACTACACACAGCCTCTCTCAATGTGTCTCACCGCCCAGTAGAAAGGTGTTCAGATTGAAAGGGAATAATGCCACAAAAGCCTTGCTCATAAGGACTCCATCTTAATCACCTTTCCCCACCTCCACTCTGCACCTTTAACAACTGTGATGGGAGTAACTGCGGTAGCTTCATGTTTCTCCCGTTAGCCGTCTACAGGGCCTACAGGCTTTCTTTACCTGTTGAATTTCTAAATGCGCCACACAGAGGATAAGAAAAGGCACATAGGCTATATTGGCTTTCCACTGCCTTTGAACATCATGTTTCTTAGTGTTCAGTGTTACAGGGAGGCGAAAAATTTGGAACCAGATACCCTGCTCCCCTCGAGAACCTCTTCCAAATTGAGAGGCCAAAGTATCTCTCACAAAATGGCTGCTGTGGGGTGGAAGCGCCATCTCTCTTGTCTCACAATGAACAAAGGCATTCAGGCCCTGCCAAAAGGCGGGAGAGCCAATGCTGCTCCTCTGCAAACATTTTCTCCTTTCATATTCTGGATTTCCCCCCTTTTTTTTAAGACAAGAAGGACGAGAATGAGAATATGAAGGAGATAGGCAAGATGGAGGCAGTTCAGTGTTGCTTTGCTGGGGCAGCTACATGAGAAAAGCATTCCTCACAAGGGAAGGGCGTTTCATTCCTTCAGCCTTCCCGTGGGCAGAGAGAAAAAGTTTTCTACTCTCCTAACTTCCCCTCACCAACACAAAAACAGAAGCCAACTGGGATGGTACATACGACACCACACAATTTCCCCTCAGAGCGAGGGGACAGGGTATCTGTCAGCCAGGAGGGACAGGTCCTTTACGCAACGGAGGACCCAATCCCGGTAGAGATGGCAAACGCGGTAGCCGGAAAATTTCATGAAAAAGGAGCTGCCAAGTCCCGGCGGCTCAGCCGGCGTCGCTGGAGCAGGTACAAGGCCCATGGAGGCCATGATGGATGCAAGGTGGTTCGACAGACCAAGGCACTGCAGGCGCGACAACGTGAGCTGGTGGTGCAGGTCACTGGCATCGGAGTTCATCACCTCCTGTTGGCTTTTGACGGCAGACAGGAACACTGGCAAATTGGAGAAGGCCGTGACGTTCTGCTGCAGGCGTTCGGCGTCGCTAAGGTCCATCCAGGCGCTGGGGGGAAGGGATGGCGACGGCAGGCCTGGGAAGGGCTCGACGGGAGGGTTGAAACCGGCATTTGTGAAGGGTTCGTCCTGAATAGACATCTGAGAAATGAAAAGACACGCAAGGCGGTCAGAGCTCTTAAGCCTTGACGTTCGGGTTCCTGGATTCTGTACCCCACCCTTTCTCCAAGGTACCGGCAGATGAGACAATCGCATTTTGTCTTCACAAACACCCTTTTGTAACGTTGTTGTTTGGCTGAGATATTCCGAGGCTAGGCCAAGGTCACTCGCCGAGCTACAGGGAAATCGCAAAGCAGATGATCTAAGGAGGTGGGGATGGGGGAAGAGGAGACAATTCAAACGCAACGTGCCTCTGATCACGGGCCAAGTTACTGCAGCTTGGCTGTCCGCACCTGCGTCAGACCCCGTCCTATGCTCAGAGTTAAGGCAAACCAGTATCATTTTACACACAAGGCTAGTCAGATCGGAGGAGAGCCAGTGCGGCCTCATGTTTAGAGCGTCAGACTAGGACCTGGGAGATCAGGTTTCAAATCCTCGCTGGGATTCAGGAAAAAGGCTGGCTGTCTTTCCATGCATAGCTGGCTTTATTGTAGCCACATTTTTGCACCAAGGGATCTCAAAGTGACTTACACAAGCTCATGGGGTGACCTGGGGCCAGCCACTGCCCCTTAGCCTAACCTACCTCTCACAGGGTTGGTGAAAAAGGTGAGATATAAAAGCAATCAATCAATATTGAAGTAAAAGGACATGGCTGTCTTCGGCTCATTAATTTCAGTGCTTAGCTGAACACACACACACACACACACACCTTCCTGGCCTCCAAGAATATGTTCATTTCTCTCAGGTTCTGAGGACTCACATAGTCTGCTAGCAGCTGTTTTGCGCCATCCTGCATGTTGATGGCCAGGTTGTATGCATTTTTGATCCTGAGTGCGATTTCTTGCTGGGAGTGAGATGGTGGCGATGATGAAAGGTGGCTTGGCAAGTCCACTGCAGAAGAAGAAGCAAGCAGAAAGTTAAGATGCTGCGTTGGGCAAGCTCACAGTCCACAGTAAACCTCAAGGTGGGCCTCTGCAGATGCTTGTGAGGGGAGAGGGCTGGAAAAGACAAAAGAGGCAGACTGGTTTCCCCCAGAGTGTAACCCCCAACAGACATGCAACGAGCAGTGTGCACCCAAGGGACCTTTGGGGTTTTCTAGAAAGTAGCAATGACACCTCTCGCACATTATTTATTACCTGTACATATACACATCCCAATTTTCCTCCAAGGACCCCCCCTCCCTTTATGCTACCTGTGAGGTAGGTTAGGCTAAGAGACAGCAACTGGCCCAAAGTCACCCAGAGAGCTTCATGTCTGAGGGGGCACCTCCAGGTCTTGGAGTCCAACACTCTAAATAATGGCTCCCTATTCTATACTAACATGCGAAATCACTTTGGGAGAGGGCAGATAGGGCTGTGTGTGTGTTTTCAGAGTCACAACTCCCCACCACTGGAAATGCCTGAAGTTGGCTGGGATCCAAAAAACAACTCCCCATACTGGAACTCCACCCCCCACCCCCCCTTGCCCAGCAGGATAACTCAATTGTTGGGGAAGGCAGGAGTCGAATGGGACTGAAAACAGTCTTAAATATAATATTTATGGGCCACCTTGGTTAGGAAGCTCTCAAGGCAGCTTTCAAAACCACAGAACAAAACCCAACAAAATCATAAATATATGGCTTTTGTGTTCACCTCCAAAAGATCAGAAAGAGAATGTTTTTAAAAACCCGAGTATGCCAAGCATATTTATATGTGCAAAAAAGTGCGAAACTTCTAGAACATGCACATGTCAGATATGAAGAAGAAGGTGCGTCTGTGTTTAATTGCAATATCCCCCTTTTAAAACATTGCTCTTGATTTGTGGGGGGGCCAGGTTCCCCCATAATTCCTGGATTTAGTAAAAGTAAGAATTAATCAAGGTGCGATTAAACTTTGCCAAACACAGAAACCCCTGGATTTAGTTATGCAGAGCTAGCTGGATGGGCCATTAGCAGGAGACAAAAGCCAGTAATACCCATCAAGGAAACTCATCAAGGAAGGCAAGATTGCAGGCAAAGGGGAGTGGGGCCCCTTCTTCTTGGGTGCTTGTGGGCAGAGGCAAAAGCCAGGTTTAGGGTTTCAACTTTGATTGATGGAGGTCCTTCAAGTGGGTTGGCAGCAAGAAGGAGGAGGAGGAGGAGGGGCTGGGAATGACAGGCTGGAACTAAGAGGCACAGAGGACAGACTTTTTGCTGTCCTTTGACTCCAATGCTGCCCTTAAGGGGGAGGCCAGACCCTCACAGGATGTGAATGCTCTGTAATCCCTCCATGTAGGTACAGGTTGAATATATGTGTAATAAATCTATATATCATAAAGACATCACAGTCTCTGCCATGCCCAATTTCTGAAAGAAACATGAGCAAGCGTCTGGAACCCTGGGAATCTCACACTGCTGGGAAATGGTGTGTGTGTGTGTGTGTGTGTGTGTGGCACGTTCTTCTACTTTGGTGATCACTCGTAGCCAAGTAAGATTGTCTTCCATGAATACAGTTTTAACAGTGAGTCCTTAAGTGACTGTGGAGGCCAATTCTGGAACCGCACGTAACAGTATATTGAAGAGTGAAGAGCTTTCCCATTAAACTGCATTTCACTTAGGCACACCAGCAGTCTTCACAGCTCATGGAATGAATAGACCTGCAGTTTTGTATTTTGGAGTCTGTACCTAAGGGCAAAACCTTTTAGCTGACCTACTTTGCAAGGGTACTTTAAGGACCGGTGATATGCAAAGGGATTTTTAAGTACTGTACACACACACACACACACACACACACACAAATATAAATACACAAAGAAGAGACTGAAACAAAAATAGCACTCCCATATCAGATTACTGACCCAGGTTACCAGAGGCAAAGTCCACATCACTTTCCCCTGAGTGGGAAAACCACAGCATCAACTTATCTACACAGATCACAGACAGCTCAAGGGCTTCCTGCCTGTCCTTATCAGGCACACTCCACCCTTCTCACTGAGACAATTTGTATGCACAGATTATTAACAGCACATCAGAAGCAAACGAGATTTTCTTCAACCAAGCAATTTGGTCTCCCCACCCTCTCATGCAGCAATCACAGACGTCTTGGGTAAGGGCAGAGTAGCTGGGTGGGTAGAGCATCTGCTTTGCATACAGAAGGTCAAAGGTTCAATCCTGGTATCTCCAGGTAGGGCTTGCAAAAGCTCCTGTCTGAAACCTGGGGGAAGGACAGGTGCCAGTCAGAGTAGAGGAAGGAAGCAGTGTCCTGTGTTTCTATCTTGGAAGAAGCTGAGAGGTGGGGAGGACAACCCGGGAGTTATGTGTGCGAAGGAACTGCAGAGAATCCCACAGAGAAGCTCCCTGGAAATAGAGGAGGGTGTGACGGTTTATGCAAGGCGACCAATTTCTAGAAGACATTTCACAGTCCACAGGAGGGCGATAGCTTTTATTTCCGGACATTTTAAAATGCATTTTAATTCCTGGCATTGTGGGGCTGGTCCCAAAAGATGTGCAAGCTTTAGAGTTCCCCAGAGCTCTTCATCAGGCTAGGTGCTAAGCCATGTGGGGGCAGAGAAGGAGAGAGAAGCTGACTTGGCGTCAAAGCCATAAAGTCTGAGCGTAGGAAGAGGCAGCAGACTTAATTAGTTATGAGGCTCTTTCTGGGTGCTAGTTTCAGGTTACACATAGGGATGAAGAAATGGTAGGATGGGCGATTCCCCCAGTTTTGAAAAGGGGGGGAAAAATACACCGATCAATTATTACCCAGGTCTACCTGCTGCCTTAAGCAAAGCAGCAACTTCCCAGGGTCTTGGGTTTCCAAGTTAGAAAAAGGAAACTAAGATGTCTAAAAGGCTGAAGCATTTTCTCTATGAGGGCAGGATGGAGAGTTTGGGGGCCTGGGGCTCGTGTGGTGTAGTGGTTAGAGCTTTGGACTACGACCTGGCAGACCAGGGTTCCAATCCCCATTCTGGGTGATCTTGGGCCAAGTCACTCGCTTTCGGCCTAAGCTACCTCACAGGGTTGTTTTGAGGATGAAACAGGCAGGATGAGAACTATGTATGTCCCTTTGAACTCCTAGGAGGATTCAAGAAACAGATGAAATGATAAAATAAAATTGCTTGGGTGAGGAGTGTTGCAGAGGCTTAAGCTTTTTAAATAAGCCTCTACTATGTCTCTGTTTCTCCTGTGAACTAAATGGAACCTCTTGTGTTCAGGGATAATAATAATCAGATGCTAGGATTGTACAAAAGAACAGGGAGGGCAAATTCTTTCCTGCTGTGGTTGGGGGCTTCCTGGGGATATTTGGTTGGCTGCTATTGCTAAATAGAATACTAGACAATACAGTGGTACCTCAGATTAAGTATTTACCGTAATGCGTTCCGGAGGTCCGTTCTTAACCTGAAACTGTTTTTAACCTGAAGCACCACTTTAGCTAATGGGGCCTCCTGCTGCCGCTGGAGCACAATTTCTGTTCGCATCCTGAAGCAAAGTTCTTAACCCGAGGTACTATTTCTGGGTTAGCAGAGTCTGTAACCTGATGCGTATGTAACCCGAGGTACCACTGTATGGCATTGGGGGCTGTGCACATACCTAACATTTAAAGCACATTATTTCCACCAAAGAATCCTGGGAACTGTAGTCCACCCTTGCAGAGCTCCCATTCCCAGCACCCTTAACAAACTACCATTCTAGGGAATCTTTTGTCAGGCGTTTGACATGTAGCATGGCCTGTATGCAGTCTTGGAAGTCAAGAGAGATCTTTGCCATCCACAGCTGTGATCCTTCAAGGGGGGAATGCCACGAATAGCACCCAGCCATCTTAAGTGCAAAGCACACACTGGCACTCCATGGCTAGGCATAGAAGTCCCCCAAGATGAAGAGAACTTTCCTTCTGAGTGAATGTTTAACTTTGGCCTCAGGTACTGCAGCGGGAGATACGTGCAAAGATTTATCTCTCATTCATTGCTCTCCAGGAAGGCAGGGAAGGAGAAAAGGAAATTGCTCTGGTTTTACAATTCTGGCTTGGACAGGAAAGATTAGAAAGGGAAAGTGGAGAGTGGAATCAGCTTAACCCTTTACCACCTGGTATGGAAAGAGGTGAGCAAATGGGTTGCCCGTCCCAACCACCCAGCAGCCTGCCCTCAGCAACCAACTTTTGACAGTTGACATAAGAGACACATCTGAAGTACAGTATTACTTAACTATGTTTTATGAGCTTCTTCCCCATAATGAACACCCAAGAACATGTCTGCACAACTTGGGAAATTTGGTCAACTGACTGCAGCTGCTCAGCCGTCAGCCTAAACCTGGCGGGGGGAGCCTTTAAAATAGTGTTCAAGTTAACGCCACCCTTTTTGTGGTGTAACTTACCACCAGGTTGCTAGTCCACATGGAACCATGTCAGGATCCTGCCCAAGTCCCCACTCTCTAGTCCCATCCCATAACCTCTCCCTTCCCCTTTTCAGGGCTTATGTTGTTGGGCTCAGCTGGCTGGGTCCTGCTCCACTGAGTTGAGTGGGGTTAGGGTCTCTGGCTGGTGTAAGCCCTGGAAAGGGGGTTTCCAGGGGTGTGGCACAGGCAGGACCCAAAAAGAGGACTTAGGCCAGATCCTAAACCCAGCCAGCTCAGCATTTTGACTTGTGAACCTGGCATAAGCCAGCAAAAACACCATTTAAAGATTTGTGCTCCTTCTGCCGGCTAAGCCAGCAGTAGCCCCGTTCCAGAATAGAGTTTGGATTTGGCGTCCATTACCCTGAGTTAATTTTCCACCAACTTCTTCTGTAGAGCATTTTCCCTGCTAAAGGGAAAATCTGAACCAAAGACTTGTCTTATTCATAGCATCCAGATGCTCTAGACTCATTCATGCAGATGCCAAGATGTTTGAACTTGTGTACACTGCAAGTTCAAACAAAAGTTGGCCCTGATGATTCTCCCCGATAAAAACTTCCTTTCTCTTACCAGCCTGAGTCAGTTGAAGCCAAGGCAGAACTACCATTCGATTATTAATTTTATTACACAAAAAGTCACAGAATTCTTAATTACATTAGATTAACTGCTTTTCAGGCAGGTTTCTTCCGCATTTAAAACCTGTGAGACAGGTAGTATTTCATTTTCTCTCTCTCAAATGGGCTCACGGGAGAGATTTACCAGTTGAATCCCTGCCCGTTAAACAGCTGTTAAAAGGCACAGAAGACCTGCCTTTGAAAACAAGGGAAAAGCCTGCTTCACAAGAGGATAGCTGAAGTTAGGTTAGAATAATAATAAAGCTCCAGGCAATTAAAAAATAATAATCAGGAGGGGACAGTCAATTTTTCCTACCCCCTGCTGCTCCTAGGAGATCCTGGGGATTGCTTCCCTCATCCCAACTGGGGATTCCCCATTTCCTTTTTGCCAGTGCTTTTTTTCAGGGGGGGCCCCAGGGGTACTCATACCCCTAAACATTTTGCAAATCTTTGTCCTTTTGTCCATTTACTGTATTTATTTTCCCCGACTTGAACTATAAAATGGTGATTTTTTTTCTCGAGTCAAAATGAGAGTACCCCTAAACATGTTTTAAGGGGAAAAAAGAGCTCCTTTTTTTTACCAACTTATCTGGGCATATAGACAAACAACACCAGCCTGATCGGCAGATAAAAGCTTTAAGAAGAATATGGCAATGATCCTTCCATAACGTCTCCAATCGAAGCTGCCTTTAAGTGGGGCAACTCTCTGCATCTCTTCCCCCATCGCTGTCTGCGAACTCGTGACTTCTGTTTGCAAACTTTGCAAACTTCCAGAGCAAGAACTCGATCGAGCCATTCTCCTTTTTGCTGGGGGTGGGAGAAGGGATTTACAGGACTTGCGGCAAGATTTACCTCTACAACCCCCCTTTCCCAAGTTTCCTGGCAATTTCCCCCTACCTGAAAGCACCTCCATTCTTGCAGCAGTGCCTTTGGAGCCTCGGATCACCTCCACTTGTTGCACCTTCGTCGCGGCGCGCTTCTTATAGGACTCGGGTTTCCTCCCCCCCCCCCCCCCGCGCGCCGCCTTCCTCGTCCTATCCCGGGATCGCAGGCGACTCGCGGATTCCAGGAGGCTGAGATCACACATGCCTCCGTTCCCGGAACAAGGAATCTAATCTCCTCTCCCTTTTCTCTCCCCCCCCCCACCTCCACGAAACTTGGCACTTGTCCGCTCGTCCGCGGGGGTAACTGGGCGCGGGCAGATCAAGGGGCAGGCTAGAGGGCACGGCCCGCGGGCCGCATGCCTCTCTCCGCCCCCTTCTCCTGGGGGTACCGATGAATGGCCGTCCACTTGCCCCCGGGCCAAAAGTCAGCTCCTTAGACTTAAAGGGGCCGCGGTTACATTTTTTGGCCGCGGTTACATTTTTTGATTTTTGGGCTAGGGTGGGAAGATCAGAGAGAGGAAGCTGCAGACCCTATGATTTAATTCAACTCCATCCAAATATTTCTGTCTTCAAGGATTTTCCAGAGCCAATCCAAACATGAAAAGCAGCCAAGTTAAAAATCCGGTGCATTAAATGATTACAAAACAGCAGGTCAGTAAAGAGAGAGAAAAAAAGACAGCAACATAGGAAAAGATGAATTATGAAGAGTTGGGAGGAACTAAAAGCATGGATTCGTTTTATTTAGGAAAGAACCATACAGGGGTGGAATTCAGCCCCCCCACCCCAGGGATTTTAAAGTGTGGGCCCAGTTTACATAGTTATTATAATATTGGGGTCTCAGAATTAAGTGTTATTTTTTTAAAAAACACACCTTGTTTTAAATTAGCAGAAAACAATTTTGGGACCTATGCAATTTCTTCTGAGCCATCCCATCCCCGAGTATCCAGAGTGCTTCTTCTGACACCGGTCGAAGCTGATCCAATAATAAAAATAGATTTATTTTAAATTTTTATTTTTATTTTTTGGAAAACATAACAGAAAAATAAACTCAAATGTGGCTGAAACCTTTAGCGGTTTCAATTAATTGTCTTAAACTGTGCAGCCTGAGCCTATTTACTTAAAAGGGAGACCCACTATGTTCCAGGGAACTGACTTCCAAGTACAGTTGAAATGGACAGCTTTTGATCACTGCATAGTTTATCCTTCGGTATCTCCAAAAAGCATCTGGATATGCGACTGTAATTGCTTGATCTATGAATTAGTTAAAATGTAAATGATTAGTTAAATAATTATTCATTATCAAAACTGGTTTGGGAGTATTATGCATTGGAAGGACTACAAAAAGTACTTAGGCCAAACCTCTACACGCTTCACTCACCAGTTCCCGAAAGGTCAGTCCTGCCCAATTAAGAAGAATGCTGTGTAATTTAAGTAAGAAAGCTCAGACACACTGTTACAGCCCGGTTTGGCGGTAGTGGTGGAACCGGATAGCAAACTTTCAACAACAGCCTTGCTGTGCGTGCCAAAGCTGATCAGGACAGAGACTGTACAGCAGGGGATTTTTTATTTGCCAAAAAAAAGGGGGGGGGATGCAAGAATACCAGGATAAACAACCAAACCAAAAAAGAAAAGAAAAGCAAGTTCAACGTTTTACAGTGGTACCTTGGTTCTCAAATGCCTTGGTTTTCAAACGCTCTGGTTCTCAAACTCCGAAAACCCGGAAGCAAGTGTTCCAGTTTTTGAACATTTTTTGGAAGCCGAACATCTTTTGTGGCTGTTGGCTATCGTTTCCGAGGCATCTGTACCAATTAGAAGCTGTACCTTGGTTTTTGAACATTTTGGAAGTCAAATGGACTTCCGGAACAGATTAAGTTTGGCGCTCTTGTTTTTGATGTTTAATTTGTGTTTGTTTTTAGGCATTTTTGATTAATTTGTTTTTGTGACTGTCTGGAACCCAGTTCAGCTACTGACTCATTGATTGTGTGATAGTGGAAATGGATAAAAGCCACCCATCCAAGCAATGACTATCATCAGTGCAGGTAAGAATTTTTATTTTTTTATTTTTATCATCTACAATACTGTCTTATTTATTTTATAGTACAGTACATTGATTATTGCTTTCATTTTATGGATCAATGGTCTCGTTAGATAGTAAAATTCATGTTCAATTGCTGTTTTAGGGTTTTTTTAAAAAAGTCTGGAGCGGATTAATTAGTTTTACATTACTTTCTATGGGAAAGCGTGCGTTGGTTTCAGAACGCTTTGGTTTTGGAACGGACTTCCAGAATAGATTAAGTTTGAGAACCAAGGTACCACTGTATTTGCTAATCAAATGTTACCGCAAAGGATGTTTTCCCCCTTGTGAAGAGAAACCCTGGAAATGGGGAATAGAAGTTGGGCTGAAAAAATTATCCTATCTACCCTCGAGTCAGGACTGTCCCTGGACAATAGGGACACTTGGAGAGTCTGTAATTAAGGGGATGGGCAACTCCTCTTTGACGAAAGGTTAAAACATTTGGGACTTATTAGGTTAGAGGAAAGGTTGAGGTGTAAACAATTAGGCATTGTGGTGAGAAAGTGGATCGTAGCCCACTGACAATGTTCTGTTTCCAATGTCCTGGGTGCCTACTGTAAGAAGAGGGTGTCATTGGCCTGGTCTTAAATGCTCTTAAATGGCTGGTCCACACCATTCTAATAAGTTTTTATATCTATTCCATACCTCATAAATTGATTTTCTTATTGTGTGCTTCAGGAACCCTCTATGAACTTTGACTTTGTCATACCATAAATATGTGTGCCATCCATATTTATTATCATGTCCTTCTAAATCTAGTAAGTCTGTATTCTCCAACAATATCCAATCCCTCAGCCAGCAAAGGCAGGACGCCTCATAATATAATTTCAAGTCTGGTAGGGAGAATCCACCTCTTTCTTTTACAACTGTGAGAAGTTTATATTTACCGGTAATTATTGGTTTTCCCCCGCCAGATAAATCTTGATAATGCTTTTTGCCAATCCTTAAAGTGTCCCACCCCACTGATCACTGGGTTTGTTTGAAATAAAAACAACATCTTAGGTGGCATATACATCTTTACAGCAGATAGTCTTCCCCAAAATGATCATTTCATCCTTCACCTCATGGCTGATCCACTCTGGCCCTGCACATTAGTTTCCCTGAGGCACCTAGGCTGACCACTGTCGGGGAGAAAATGCCAGGCCAGCAGGATTCCTTGGCGTATCACAGCATGATCATTCTTGCATGGTTTCATCAAAACTGTCAGTTGTTTGAGCGAGAGCTCTGTGTCACCAGGAAGTTTGCACCCATACTGACACTCACAATACACACTACGATAAAAAAAGTTTATAAACCTAGACACGTACATCAAGGTAGTTAATGATAATGCACACAGTCATAAAATAGTAAAAGATTATAAAATTAAAATCAATACGGAGTTTACTTTTACGGTAAGTCAGGTCAAGGGCAGGGGGAAAAACCCAAAAGCCTAGACGGCTTATCGTAAAATAATACCGGAAGATCTGTTTAGAAAGGAATGTTTTCTTTTTTTCCTTTTTCTTTTAAGCTGATTCTCACAGTCACCATTCTGAAAATCTCATGTTGGGGTGTTGGACACATGGACACAGTTACCACACATATGATGTAAGGAATGAAGTACGATGCCCATCCAGACCCTACGACCCACATCCTTTCAGGGGGCAGGATAAGGAGCAAGAATGGATAGGTGCAGGTTTTTGCAGGAACAAATGAACATTATTTGTTTAAGATGCATATGTGGTGTTGGCAAATGTAAGCTTTTGGGTTACACAGAACACTTCACCACAAAGATTTTTCTTTTCAAATGGAGTGTGCTATACATGCTTAAGGAGTTGACTGTTCTGTCCTTGTTCAACAGGTGCAGAGTGACTTTAGCCTTGTGCTTGCTAGTCTTTCTTGCTTGTCTCGCTAGAACCCCCCCATCCACCAACGGACCTTGGGATCTATAGTTTCTTAAGGGTGCTGAGAGTTGGAAAGAACCGTGAGGTTCCTCTAGTCCAACCCCCTGCAATTCAGGAATCTTTTATCCATTGCAGGGCTCGAACCCACAACCATGAGATTAAGAATCTCATGCTGTGCCAACTGAGCTACTCAGAGCTATTTGGTAGGAGACCCTTCTTCACAGATCTTCAGTTTGCAGCAATTCCCTGAACAAACTACAGTTCTCAGGAAATTTGTTACTATTTGAAAATTGACGGGGCAATTTCCCCAGCATAATGTTATAGATCAGGGCAGGGAGAGAAACCTTTTCCACTCTGAGGGCCTCAATCCCCTCTGGGAAAACCTCCTGAGGGCCACATCCACAGCACTGGATGCAAGTGTTCCCTTTGTATGGGCAGGCCAGTTTCTACACACACACTCCTTTCTGCCCAGGTGAGCAGGAGGCATCATCATCTGAATGCAAGGACACATTCCAGCTAGGCAAAAACACACGGGATTCGAATCCAGGCCACAGAGGAGGATGTGGCCTCGGGAGAGATCTACGGGACAGACAGAGAAGCTTGAGGGGTTTCTTTTGTCCCTTGGGCCTCACCCCATCCATGACACGGATGGATTTGGGGAGTAGAGAAGCCTAGCTGCAGAGCGAGGGCAACTGAGCCTTGTCTTCGGCTCTGGGAGGCCAAGAATAATGCTGGGTTGCAACATTATGTGGTCAAGTTGCGAACGATAATCCATCTTGTTGGGCTACCCAAGGAATTTTGCTGGTTGCTTTCCTTAAGGAAGCAGGCTGGCTGGCTGGGGTTTCCCCTGTCGTTTTCCCAAGAAAATGACAATGTTTTCTGAACTCAAGGAGACAAGGGGGTCGCAGTGGGAAAGGTGCAGAAACACGATCCTCCCTTCCACAGTCCCTTTGCACAGAATGTGCATTTACAGTGGTACCTCAGGTTAAGTGCTTAATTCGTTCCGGAGGTCCGTACTTAACCTGAAACTGTTCTTAACCTGAAGCACCACTTTAGCTAATGGGGCCTCCTGCTGCTGCCGTGCCGCCGGAGCACAATTTCTGTTTTCATCCTGAAGCAAAGTACTTAACCCGAGGTACTATTTCTGGGTTAGCGGAGTCTGTAAGCTGAAGCGTATGTAACTTGAAGGGTATGTAACCTGAGGTACCACTGTATTCTCGTTGATTGCACTTTTAAAAACCATCTCCCTCTTCTTCCCAAGAGCTTGAGGGTAGCGTACCTTTTCACAACCACCTTGTTGGTAGTGGCACCCCTCCTGTCCCCAGGGAGGATTTCGGCAGCTTTTTACAAAGCAAATCCTATACATGACTGCACAGAAGTAAGCCCCATAGGATCACAGCTCAATTCTTCCAAGGTTTTTACAGCTTTTTGGGGTTTTTTTAAAATTCCTGGATTGTGTTTTTTTTTACAAATAACTTCGTGAACTGCCCAGGTTGGTGGGCGGTACGAAAGTGCAATCCATCAATCGGATTTAGAACTTTTTAGGGCTTCTAAGCCAGTCATAGTTTTTACTAGCTGTTCCTTATTTTTTTATATATGTATTCAGTATGATTTATCTGTTGTTTCTTGCTGTTTCACTGGTTTTCATTGTTTGATTTATATTGGTTTTTATCCTAAGAGGATAACAAGAGGTTAAGCTGCCCTGAGAGTACCTGTGTGCTGAAGGTTTGCAGGACACACCCTTAATATTAAGTAAATCATAGAATCATAATATTGTAGAGTTGGAAGAGACCCAAGGGTCATGTAGTCCAGCCCCAGCAATGCAGGAATCTCAACTAGATCATACATGACAGATGTTCAAAAACCTCCAAGGAAGGAGCATCCACAGCCTCTCAAATGAGTCTGTTCGACTCTCGAACAGCTCTTACTGTCAGAAAGTTCTTCCTTTCTTGTAACTTGAAGCCATTGGTTTGAGTCCTACCCTCCGGAGCAGGAGAAAACAAACTTGTTCCATCTTCCATGTGATAGCTGTCTAGATATTTGAAGACATCTATCAGATCACCTCTGTCACTTCTTTTCCAGACAAAACATACCCAGCTCCTTTCAACAGTTCTTCATAAGGCATGGTTTCCAGACCCTCGATCATCTTGGTCGCCCTCCTCTGCACACGTTCCAGCTTGTCAACATCCCTCTTAAATGGTGGTGCCCGGAATTGGACACAGTATTCCAGGTGTGGTATGGAGGCTGCCCCTCATATGTAGACTGAGTACAACAAAAGGCTTGGCTGCCCATTTCCTCCCGAGGTGAGGGGAAGTGGCATAGCTGATAAGCCTGGCAGGACAGCTTACTCTATGGCATTAACCCCTTCATGCATTAATTAGACTCAAGAATGCTCGTTATATGATGCTAGTTACCCTACAAATAAGAGACTGCCCTAAAAACCTTAGTCTGCCCAGAGGCGGAGCAAGCTGATTGGGTGCCTGGGGCAGCACACGTGCCCTGTGCCCAGAGGCGGGGCCAGCCGCCCGTGGGGCAGGACGCTCCGCGGGGCCGCCGAGGAGTCTGGCTGCCTCCTCCCACTCAGCCGCCCTACAGCTGAGGGGAAGGTGGTGGGCAGACCATTTGGGGCAGCACGGAGCCTGTGGGTGCCCAAGCCACCGTGTCACTCCCAGCTGAGATGCGTGGCTCGGGCGCATTACAGGCTCCACAGTGAGTGCCGCCCGCCATTTTGTCACCCCCCTCAGTGGTGACACCTGGGGCGGTCCTCACCCACCGCACCCCCCTTCCTCCGCTCCTGAGTCTGCCCTCAGGCAGCCCCCACTGACCTCCCTATTTTGTGTGTGTGTGTGTTTTTTTAAAAAAACTTACAATCAGTTGAAAGGGTGATACAGCCTGTCAGCTTCCACCTCCTTAGTCTCAGTGTTGCTCTTGCACAACTCAATGTGGAGGAAGAGAGGGAGGAAACTGCAATTAGTTGACTCTGCCTCTCATTGGCTCTAGCTCCACCTACTGTTGGCCTCCCGGCTTTCTGCCCCACAGGCCCAACCACCACTGCCTGCCCTATAACCCACCCCCCAACCTAGCCTGCTGCCTTCAGATGACCCTGTCCCATTGAGTGAGAGGTGGTTGCCGGTGCGGTTGGCCTTTGTACATCTTGTCTGTCATCTTAGGCAGCAAAGAGTGGCTTTGGGCCAAGCTTGCCTGCAGGGCTCTTATAGAAATCTATACAGTGCTTTTTCTGGGGGTACACATACCCCTAAACATTTTGTGAATCTAAGTTTGGCCTCCTTGAGAAGCAGTATTTCAATATGAGTAGGAAAATGAGAGTAGCCCTAAACATTTTTGTTAGAAAAAGCTGTCTCTCTCTCTCTCTCTATTTTCCAATTGCTCAAAGGGGCACAGAATATTTTAAAAATGAAACCTCCGCAAATAAAATAAAAACAGCTGCCATGAAATCCAAACCCAGGGAACTCTGGGAACTGTAGCCATGTGGAGTGGGGGAAGGGGGCCTGTTCACAACTCTAAGCACCCTGGACAAAGGATGGATTTCTTTGAGCGAAGCCACGAGGGTCTAAAGTGGCATGGCGCCGCTTTAAATGCACAGTGTAGTGAAAGAATGCAGGTCCCATTGAAAGAGGGGGCCTCTTTAAGAGCATTAAATCCTCCTCAGCCTAAAATTATCTAAGTGTACCACTGGGCCCCGAAGCACGTGGGCCTCCCCCCCTTGGCCTTGCAAAGACCGGGCTGAGGTAATGGCGACCCCAAAAAATGCCTCTGACTCACCGCAAGGATCCGAGCGCCGTGTGGGAACATGGCTGAGCTTCTCAAGTCCAATCCCCAGAAAGCAGCTTTTGGAGATTAACTGGTTCTGTCTCATAGGCTTTGAAAAGCGTGGGGGGGATGGCATGGGAAAAGAAAATAGACAGCGGAGAAAAACACATGCTAATTGTAAAAAATTGTAAAAAAAACATATTGTGAAAACAGCTGCTTTTTTTGACAGTTGCTTGCCACTTTCTTCCCTCCCTGCCCTCCCCACCAAGGAGGAAGATCTCCTGAGCATGTGGAGAGTGTTAGATTCCTCTCACGGCCGAATGACTGCTGCCAGCCCACCCTTCTGTCATAGGTTTTGGGTCGCCACACGATTTCCGGCACAGGCTCTGTAGTTCTAATAGGCATGCACCAGGCAGGCATGCAACAGGTGCAGCTCCCCTTGAAGATGCAATATCTGTTCTGCATTTAGCAATCTAACTGCCTGTGTGATCTGTATGCACATTTATTCAGAAATAAGTGACAATGAATTCAGGGGGCGTACCATTGAAAAAATGTGCCCAGGAGCGGAAGCTAGCAGTGCAATCCTAAGCGTGCCTACTCAGAAGTAAGGCTCATTAAATTCAGTAGGACTTACTCCAAAGTAAATGTGCAGCTCTACCTCATTTAGTTTAACAAGATGTACTTCTAAGTAACACACAGGACTGAATTTCAGCCTGTCTGAAACCTTTTTCTGCACTCCACCTTTTCTCTTTTTCCGTATCCCCTGTTCATTTTGCTTCACATCTAGCTTGAAAAAGAATAATTCTGGAGAAGGTGGTTGTGTGCACATTGTGTATGCTGCTTCCCAAGTGCTAAATGGATGTAGAATAAATTGGAGTCTGTACACAGCCCTTGAAAGCTTGTCTTGTTGCATTTTAGCTGGTCCTAGTAAAAGGTGTTACCTTCCTGCGGTCCCACCTGATGTTTAAAACTTGCAGCTCTGATATAAATGATCAACTGAGCATCCCTTCTGAGCTCAAAGGAGAAGTGTGCACAATTAATCGCTTGCTCTGTTTTTGCCTATTCTTAATCTGTCTTTCCACCTGCAGGCTGCTCCATCATCTGCCTCTCTGCATTTATCAAAAAGGATGAAATCCTCTATTTCAGACTGTCAATTTCTTCGTCTTCTCCAGCTCTCCTAGTCACCAGAGGGCGCTCCCTGTGCAGCAAATCTCTGTGAAAAAAGAAAAACAACCCAAAGAATTTATATTATTTTCTTCCGATGGTGAGCCGCCTTTTTTCCGTTTTCTTTTTTCTCCCCCCCCCCCCAACAAACGGAGGACAGGAAAAAGAAGACAAAGAGGAGGAAGTAGAGATTAACGGTGGACTAAGCCGAAAGGGAGAATTGTGAGTAGATGAGAGCTCAGATTAAAAGCAAAAACCAAGAAACCGAAAGAGGAGAGAAACAGCAAAATATTGACGCAAACTGACAGAGGAGGAAGACTGACTGATGGAGAGGCAGGCTATGGCTGGATATCCGGATGGCAGAGTGATGCACAGGGAATATTTCTAGTTCTGTGCTCGGATAGTCAGCAAAAGGAGGCAGAGAGGGGCAGAGGAACAGGGAAAGAAAGGAAGGAAAAAAGAAAGAGAAAGGAAGAAAGAAAGAAATGGGATAAGGAGAGCAGAAGAACATAAGCAAAACAAAGCAATCCCAGCCGTAACGCTATCTGTTTCTCCTCTGCTTCTGCCTCCACACTCTGCTCAACTCTCCAAAGTTGCTCCCCGGTGATGTCTGGACGGGCGGTTCGAGCTGAGACACGCAGTCGGGCAAAAGATGACATCAAGAAAGTGATGGCAGCCATCGAGCATGTCCGCAGATGGTGAGGCATAGGGGCTGGAGGAACTTTTGGAGGGACCTGGCATCTCTGGATGCATCCGTTTTTAGAAGGGTTGTGAGCTGGTTGCCGCGGTGCAGGTGGCGAGGGGTCGATTTGGGCTTTGGGGTGCATGTGGCACAACACCTGTCTGGTTCGGAAGGCTTGGCAGCTGTGTTTTGGGCTGCAGGGAGGGGCTGCAGCTCAGTGCTAGAGCAGAAGGCCCCAGTTTCAAACCTTGGTGTTCCTACATGAGGCTGGGAATGTCCCTTGTCTGAAACCTGTGTGAGCTGCTGCCAGTCTGTGTAGGCCATATTGGACTAGTTGCACCAATGATCTGACCTGCTGTAACTGCCTGTGCATTCCAAACCAAAGTTTCACACTGGGAAGCACACGATCCGTTTCATGCAGTTTTGCGAATGTTTGCCAAATGCATTTTGGGATGGGGATTGTCGAGTTTTGTATTTTTTTTAGGCAGTTCCCTCACTGTGAGAAGCCAAGTTACAGGGAACCAGGCAGAAGGCCTTTTCGGTAGTGGGGCCCACCCTGTGGAAAGTCCTACCATCAGATGTCAAGGAAATAAATAACTATCTGACTTTTAGAAGACATCTGAAGGCAGCCCTGTTTAGGGAAGTTTTTATGTACAGTGGTACCTCGGGTTAAGTACTTAATTCGGTCCGGATGTCCGTTCTTAACATGAAACTGTTCTTAACCTGAGGCACCACTTTAGCTAATGGGGCCTCCTGCTGCTGCTGCGCCGCCGGAGCACGATTTCTGTTCTCATCCTGAAGCAAAGTTCTTAACCTGAAGCACTATTTCTGGGTTAGCGGAGTCTGTAACCTGAGGTGGATGTAACCTGAGGTACCACTGTATTTTTAAGGTATTTTTAATCTTTGTTGGAAGCCGCCCAGAGTGGCTGGGGAAACCCAGCCAGATGGACGGGGTACAAATATATTATTATTATTATTATTATTATTATTATTATTATTATTTCATCTACTGGTATTGGTGGTGTGGGATGATCCTAGATTTGGCAGCCAAGAAATTACCACATTTGCTTCCTTTCCAGGGAGGGCTTTTGAAAAGCACTGCTTCCTTTCCATTATTTCTTCCTCACAGCCCCAACGTTAGGTGGGATGAGGCAGAGTAAGCCAGCCTGATGCCCTCCAGATGTTGCTGGCCTACAGTTCCCTTCATCTGTGACTATTGGCCTTACTGGCCGGGGCTGATGGGAGTTGTAGTCCACAACACCTGGTATACACCGCCTTGGCTATCCTTGGCCTAAGGCTACATAGCGAGGTCATAGCAGAGGTGGAATTGGAACTGAAGGCTTCCTGATTCACAGTTCTGTCCGTTAGCTGATACATTACGCCAGCTCAGGATTGCGTGACGGGGCCTTCTCGGTGGTGGCTCCGAGGGCTGTATAATATTCTTCCCAAGGAAGGCTGCATCCACCTTGCTGCTTGTCTTTTGATGAGCAACTAAAATGTCTTTCTTTATGAAAACATTTGGCCCACTTTAGTTGCTGGTGGTGGTCCAGTTTCCATCTGACTCATTTTTTTCTTTTATGGCTGTTTTTAAGGTTTTTAAATTTTTGTTGTTGCTTTTATATATTTGCCATTATGAGCCACCGAAGGTTCTTTAGTGGAATGGCAGGATATTAAATGTTTCCTTATATAAATGCATGTGTAATATAATATTTAGGATCCCCTTCCCATCAATTGGTTCTCTGTAAATGACTGCACACCAGGAGGTTGTAATGAGTGGGTGCTGCTGGGAATTTCCCTGAGGTAAAATAGGTTGTGGGGTTCACATGGGAAGCTGCAATTTGCATAATTAACAATATTAATTAATTAATTAATAACACTCACACCATTTGCTGTTCTCTGCTTCCTAGGGAAAAGCGGTGGGTGACGGTTGGGGACACATCTCTTCGGATCTACAAGTGGGTACCTATTGTGGACCCCCGAGATGAGGTAAGGGGAAGAGTTCCATCTCTATATTTATTTAGCTCAGTTTATATAACACTTAATTTTTTAAAAAGACGTTTATATAGGAAAGTATAAAATTTTCATTAAAAACTGTAATAAAAACAGTAGACATAATAAAAGGGGTCTAAAGATAGATAAAATCAACAGTACATAATGAAATTACATGTCTTTTTTTAAAAAAAGTCAACTTTTTTTATACTTTTCACTGATTTTACAATCATTTTGACATTTCCAAACTTGACTTCCTCCCCCCACCCTTTCTGCGGTTCCTTAAATTTATTTTTAATATCTTCTGCATATCCTAATTAACTAAATTTGCTCATTTGTTCATCTTCTTTAAATATATGCTCTTACGAAACTGCAGATTATTATAATAACCCTGCCAATGTTCCTATCTGTTTACAACTTATCTGTAAGTATTCAATAAACCATTTCTATTCTTTTATTAAAAAGTTTGTTATCTTGATTTCTTATTCTTCTGGTTTCGCCATTTCTGCATATTCCATAAGTTTTTGTATCATTCTTCCTTTGCTGGGACTTCTTTCTATTTTTGGGAATGAAATCACATGTCTAGTGGGTAGGCTTTCCTAAGCAAAGAAGTGTTTAGCTGGTGTTGAAAACAGTACAGCGAAGGCACTGTTGGGGTCTGCTAATCGGGCCCATGCTGCCTTGGTCACTGAAAAGCCAATAAATGCCACAGACAGAGGAGATTCCCATAAACACTCCTTTATTCAGCTGAGTAAAACAGAGCAGGCAAGGCACACTCACCAGTGTGATGGTGAAGCCGCCCCAAATAGACTTTGTTCACACTTTATATAGTCATCCCCCCTCCCTTTCCCCCTTTTGAGGTTCCTTGCGCTGATTGAAACAGGACACCCTGCCTGGAGACCTTGAAGGGGAGAGTTGCCTGTCAGAGGGAGGTTTTCCTGAAAATCGCCTAGCAACCTTATCTGGCCTTCACATATTTGTGGCTCACCCTCCTAAATTCTAAAGCAGGCATAGGCAAACTCGGCCCTCCAGATGTTTTGGGACTACAGCTCCCATGATCCCTAGCTAGCAGGACCAGTGGCCAGGGATGATGGGAATTGTAGTCCCAAAAAACACCTGGAGGGCCGGGTTTGCCTATGCCTGTTCTAAAGCAGGCAGTTTTTTTTTACAGAAGCAAAATGGCATCTGTTAGGCTAAGCAAAAAAACAGGACAAGAACAGGCCTCTGTGGCTTTTCCTGAGACCCCACAGCGCCTGACTAATATCAATAGGCAGGAAGTTCCAGAGAAGAGGCCCTGCCCTGCTAAAACATCGATTTCTCTCAAGCTCCCTTTCCTATCCTCTTGAAGGCTTCCCTTATTTCTTGGCTCCCTTTCCTTCCTCGACAGGAGAAGAGGCGGCTGGCAGGCAACAGCGAGCAGCAGCGGACCAAAGAGCGAAGAGCCCGCATGCCCAGCCCTCGCAGGAACCCAGCCCTGCTCATGCTGGACCTCAATGGTACATTGTGGAAGGTGGGGGGGGGCAGGAGAGGGGAGGGGAGGGGCAAACACTTGTCAGGCCCCGGAGAAAGGATACTTACAAGGCCCTGCCCACATGGCTGCCTGTGACAGTTTGTTGGGTCGTATATCTATTGACCCACTGAGTCTGCTGCAACAGCCCTGCAATAAATTTGATTTATTGCCACTCCAACAAACTTCCAGCGGTGCCCACATGCTTCCACTCCGCGCGCTGCCACTCTCCCCAGTTGCTGGGTGATAGCAGAGTTCACACGCGGCAGCAGATGGCTTGTCTGTGTCCACGTGGTGTCCTTAATAACGCAGACACCGGGGCTTCTAATCCAAAACTCTTTATTTAGTAGCACTCAAAACAGAAAAGAAAACCTGCAGAATCTAGCTGCATGTTCGCAGCTCTCTGCCTCTTAACAAAAAGCGAAAGGACCTTGTTAACGCCAGCAGACAGACTGCTCTCCAGAGAGAGCTCAGCCCCCACAGAGCACAGATCAAAGGAACAAGCATGGATCATGTGGGCAGTGCCCCCAGTTGATAAGAGTGCTCCTGGAGTGTTAACCCCTGACAGTCCAGAACCGTAACACTGCCCAGGCCTCTTCCACCACACTGGTTCTCCAAAGGTTTTCCCCAAAGGTGATCTGAAATTTAACTTTGGGAAGAGATTCTGCTTGCTGCTTCTGGAAATTAAGCATATCCAGGAGAGTGTTTACTTCAGTGGTGTCTATGTCAGCCGTTTTGTGACTGGTGCCCCTGCCACGCTCTTAGAAATTCAAAACGTGCCCCCTAGTCCATAAAGGTTGGCGCCCCCTGCTCTTGGCTACTGTTTAGAAAGAAGCATTTTGAAAGAGGGGGACGTACCCAGTTTTAGAAGCAAAGGGGGGCTTGCAGCAGAGGTGGAGTCTAGGATCCTGCTCCCCTCCCCTATGGCTTGCCTCCCCTTCTTCTGTGGCCTCTTTCCAGAGGTGCCACTCTGCCAGCCCAAGCGGTGGCATCGGAATAGGGTTCTGCAAAGTTAAAGGAAAATATTTCATATCTGTTCCTTAATTCGGGAAGACGCTTCCCTTTATTGCTTAGTGGGCCTCTCCTTACATCTCGTGTGTGACAACTTTCCGTAAATCACTGATGTGATGTTCTGTAGGTAGAAGAACTTCCTTCCCGTCATGTTTTTTTTATCATGTTTTCATATTTTTTTTAAAAATATTATTTTCATTTATTAAATTTGTATACAGTACGGCCCTTCATCAGATGATCTCAGGGCAGTTCACAGCATAAAAACGCAGAATAAAACCACAAAGCACATAACAAGAACAAACTAATAACTCCTCCTTCCACATTTAAAAGGACAGAGATGGTTAACCAGGCAAAGGCTGAAGAAGAAAGTTTCCCCCTGGTGCATAAAGATATACAGTGGTACCGCGGGTTACAAACACTTCGGGTTACAGACTCTGCTAACCCAGAAGTGGTACCTCAGGTTAAGAACTTTACCTCAGGATGAGAATGGAAATCGTGTGGCTGTGGTGCAGCAGCAGCGGGAGGCCCTATTACCTAAAGTGGTACCTCAGGTTAAGAACAGACCTCTGGAACGATATTAAGTTTGCAACCCGAGGTACCACTATATAATGAAGGCACCAGCCGAACCTCTCTGAATCGAGGTGATGATGGTATTGGGGAGGCTATTCACAATTCCTCTCTCGATATTCTTTGCACCAGCAAAAGTTTTGGGGCAGTCATACTGCTTTGTTTGCAATCAGCGTAGGTCCCGTAACTTCTTGCTGAAATCCTTTCCCTTTTTCTGCCACAGATGTTCCAGGTTTTGTCCCTCTTTCGTTAGGCTGAAGTGCAGGAGTGTCTCTCCAGAAAGCAATAGTGTGAGAACATTGGGGAAGCAAACCAGAACCAATTACAAAGTGGAATGATGGGTGGACAGTGGTAATCATACACTGTTCATCATTCCCCCCCCCCCATCATTTTTAATTTGTATACTGTCTTTCTATCTTACAATACTCCAGGCGGTTGACAAGCTGAAGAAACAAGAAATGTACATCTTATAACAATCTAACTCAATACAAAAATGTGATAATAAAACAAAACTTTAAAATAAGCAGCCTACATCAAAAAAGTAACATTCAACAATCATTAGAATAGTATAAAGTAATAATATCAACATATAAAAGTTAAACAGAAATCCACTCAACAGTTACAATAAGTAATTTCTAAACTATAATCAATAAAACAACGGCAAGCCACAGTACATAAAATACCAGTAATACAATACAAATTGAGAAGCAGAGACTAGAGGGTGGGGCAAGGCAGGTGGACAGAGGCCTTGCCTGATGGAATCTCTCCCCTCACAGTTCTTCCTCCAGGCACAGCTTCCTTATGAGGAGTCCCAGGGCCAGGGCAGGGAGGCAAGGCAGGTGGAAGGAGGCCTCGCCTGATGAAGTCTCTCCCCTCACTCTCCTCTCCCCTGTTACTAGTGACATCTTGCAGAAGACACCCCTAAAACCACCAACCAGTCTGGAGTGGCCTTATGTGATTGGAGGGAGGAGCAGTTCTGTCACTTAAGCACATGGAAATGCTGACATTACGCCTAGAATCAGTGCTATTTTTCTAGGAAAAGAGGTGACGGAACTCACCATGAGCGCCTCCCTCTTTCTCTTATAACGGCAATGGTGCCCACCTGATAAGTGCAGGAACTGAGTTCCGGTAAGTTCCAGCTGGGGAAAAAAGCCCTGCCTAAAAATGGCACCAGGCACCCTGTGGATTCATGCAAGAAGGGTGGATGGGGAAATCAAAGAGGCGTTTGGATCCTCACCGCCAACCACCAAGCTGCCCAACAACAGCAGCCACAGGCAATTCCTAATGCTCCGCTTTCCGCTTTCCGCAGATGAGAACAGCAATCAGAGTTCCATTTCAGAGACCTCCTTGCTGAAAGGCGGGGACACCAGCCCCAGCTCCACCCTGGACCGCAGCCAGACTGTAACTCCCACCCCACTAGGGGAGCTCAAGGCGGAGGACTCTCAGCCTCCTTTGCTGGGGCAGGAAGGAGGTAGGTGATGTTGTTGGCTATTTGCAGTTTAGTAGCGCTGCAGAGAGCTTGCTGGGGAAGACCATGCATACAAGGAACTCAAAAATAAGTTTAACAAAGGTTTTAATAACAAAAACAAAAACTCCTTTTACACTAAAGATAACAACAACAGACACGACACAACCCAACCACCAACCCATCCCCAGGGTAATCAGAGAGCTAGGTGCTGCTCCTTATATACTATACCCAATTGCTGACACAGCTTGATTAACACAACTCAGCAGCACCTGCTATGTTTCACAGCTGTAAGACTGGGTCTCGTTATTTGCCCTGGCCCTTAAAGACATACACAACTTGTGAAGCAATAATGAACCTTCACATTTTAAAGTGACCATTCAACAGATGTAACTGTCACCCTGAAGGACCAGGTGTGTAGCCTGGGAGTCATTTTGGACTCACAGCTGTCCATGGAGGTACAGGTTAATTCTGTGTCAGGGCAGCTGTTTACCAGCTCCATCTGGTACGCAGGCTGAGACCCTACCTACCCACAGACTGTCTCGCCAGAGTGGTGCATGCTCTAGTTATCTCCCGCTTGGACTACTCCAATGCACTCTACGTGGGGCTACCTTTGAAGGTGACCCGGAAACTACAACTAATCCAGAATGCGGCAACTAGAATGGTGACTGGGGGTGGCCACCAAGCCACATAACACCGCTCTTGAAAGACCTACATTGGCTCCCAGCACATTTCCGAGCACAATTAAAAGTGTTGGTGCTGACCTTTAAAGCCCAAAATGGCCTTGTCCCAGTATACCTGAAGAAGCATCTCAACCCCCATCGTTCTGCCCGGACACAGGTCCAGTACCGAGGGCCTTCTGGTGGTTCCCTCACTGCAAGAAGCCAAGTTACAGGGAACCAGGCAGAGGGCCTTCTCAGTAGTGGCACCCGCCCTGTGGAATGCCCTCCCAACAGATGTCAAAGAGAAGAACAACTACCAGACTTTTAGAAGTCATCTGAAGGCAGCCCTGTTTAGGGAAGCTTTTAATGTTTAACAGACCACTGTATTTTCTTTTCTTTTCTTTTTTAGACCACTGAATTTTAATACGTTTTTGGAAGCCGCCCAGAGTGGCTGGAGAAACCCAGCCAGATGGGTGGGGTATAAATAATAAATTCCATTCTATTCTATTCTAGGACGGTGAGGTTTTAAATCCTTTTGTTTTACACTCCGTACTTGTTTAATCTCTCCATTTCTCTCTTGGGTGGCAGAGTCCGGAGTGTTGCTTCTGGAGGGGACAGATGAACCTCCCATGCTTACCAAAGAAGAGCCGGATTCCAAGACGTCAGAGACCCAGGTGAGGGTGCTGATCCTTGGAAGGGACGGAGCTCAGTGGTAGAGGCCCTGCTTTGCATGCCAAAGCTCCCAGGTTCGATGGCGACATTTCCAAGTAGACCATATTCGGCTAGATAGACCCAGTGACCTGACTCAGTCAGCTTCTTGCATCTCCCTGAAAATGGCAACGGACCTTGTTGCAGCATGTTCCGTCTAGGGCTGAGTGGGACCAGCCAACCAGCTCCACAAAGTTTCTCCTTTGTGGCTGAAGCCGTACAATAGACCTGTTTAAGTGTGGGGGCCTTTTGGGGTGAGGCTGGGGGAGGGGGGTCAAGGCAGAATGTTTCTTGGAGAGGGTTTGTTACTTGGTAAGGCCCTATTTATTTTATTTTATTTTATTTATTAAATTTATATACCACTGTTTTAAGAAAAACTGCTCCCTTTCCCTTATGGGGTATTCCAGAGCCCCTATAGAGTTCTTAAGTGGATTCCCCATCAGTAGGAGAAAACAGAGGCAAACCAGAGTATATTGAGAAGCAAAGCCTGATCTTTATTCAAGGAACCTTTACAACAGGGTCCCCACTCATTACATGCAGGAGGGGGGAGAACCCTGAACAATGGTGCGCAAGCCCTTATATAGACTTTTGAAATTGCCCGCCCTGTAGTCTAAGACATCATACATCACAGAAGGAGGCGGTCTACAGCAGAAACCCTGTCTGCCAGGATACCTGATAATGGTCACTGATTGCATTACCTGGGCAGCCTGGCCATTCTTTTGCGATGGTTAATGCTTTAGTTCCTGAATCCAGGTCACAGGCTCACCCTATTCATACATAAATACACCCTTAAGACAGGATTTGCAAGGAAAAAGACAATGGCCTCCCTTACTGCAGAGGAATATTTGAGGTCATTGGGAGAGTCAGTTTGGCTCTCCCATACTATTTCAGACACATGGTTCATATATTTAGATATGTGTGCATGAATATTTATTCTATATTTATGAATATTTATTCTATATTTGAGACCTTAAAATTCTTATAACACCACCCTCCATCGAAAGATCTCAGGGCAGTTCACAGAATAAAATACAAGGTAAAACACAAGTAAATAATAAAACCAAAAACAACAAAACAATTACCGCCCCCCGCTTCCCACAGACACATTTAAAAGGCTGTAGGATATTTAAGCAGAACTCTCAAAAGCTAATCTTGCTCCTCCAACATTTACATTCATGTGTGCTGTACGCCAGGTATGGGGAACTTTTTTTTCAGATTGAGGGCCACATTCGTTCCTGGGCAGTCTTCTGGGGGCCCCATTGGAGTGGTGGGCAGGGCTAGAGGCAGAAGTGGGTGTTCTCCCCTTGCTATAGCATGGACATGATCCTTTCCCTTCTCTTCCCCGCACAGGACACAGCAGGCCCTGCGAAGCCCGCGAAAGAGGCCTTCGAAGTACCAATGCCTGAGGCAGAACAGCCGCCCGAGGCTCCGCCATTGAAGCGCATGCGCAGTGAGGCACAAGAGTCGGAGTCCAACCAGCCCTCAGATGCTTAACCTCAGGCCTGCTTTTGCTCTCCCCCATCTCTTTTGACAGGGGAGGGGACTTGCTGGGAGATATATATTAACATATTATGCTAAAATATGGTGGCCAGCCCACCTTTATGCCACCTTGCCCACCTGGGTACTGTCACCATTTCACTACGCTTGCTGCCCCCTGGTGCAGCCGCTGGGCAAACAGAAGACTGTTGTTGGTGAATAAACATGGCGGCCATCCTTGGATACCCTAAGAAGCCATGCTTGTTTACATTCAACAGCCCCTTTCCCCCCCACAGTGTGCATGCATGATTCGCAGTATTAAAAGGAAATGTGCTGGTGGGGAGCAAAGCTCAAGCAAAGGCGGGTGGGGAGATTATGGTGACGAAAGGGAACTGGGAAGGTTTCCTGAAAGGCCCGGTGGACCTAATGCATCATATAGAGATCTCTGGCACTGTGAGAGAGGAAGGGAGGCATAAGCACACTAGCCCAAAGAAAAAGGAACAAAGGCTTGATTTAGGAAAAAATAAATAAATCAGGAAAGCCAAAAACTCCCAGGTTGTTGTTTTTTTCTACCCCAGGTTAGAGAGCTTGAGGGCATCTGGGGGTTTAAAAGCCAAGCTGCATGGACCACCAAACCCACCCAAAATCAAAATTTTACAACCGGGAAGAAACATCTGGCGAAAAGAGCCGAATAAGCATCTTTGCTTACTTCTGTATAATTGTATTATTTTTGTTTTTCGAAGGAGAGGATTGTGGAGGTGTTTCTGAGCTCTTCAGAATTGCAGATTGCATCATCTCTCACACAGTTTTCTAGGCACACAGGATACTGTGGAGCCCAGATTAAGGGAAGGATAGGCCATTAATTGCTGCAATAAATCCTGGAGGCCAAAGCTATGTAGATGTTATGCACTCTGCCTTGAAAGCTCCTTTGCCTAATCCCAGATATGCAGGGGCTGCGTTTGGGGAAAGGAAAAGGAACTCTATATGCTTAGGAGAAAACTCCCTGCATTGTTGTTCCTTAATGTTTGTAGAGCTCAGAACCTTAGAACTGAAACAGTCTGGGGGCAGAGACCTCATCACTTCTGACTCTCAATAACTCATGGCAAGGGAGATGGAGGAACTTGGCTTCTATTTCTGCCTCTGGAAGAAGGCAGGCTCATCTCCTGAGGTGAGAAGAGGGAGCTGGATGTGTCTGAGCCCATGCTTCTTGGACTAAATAGAGCCCAGCCTTTGCTAGAAGGGCATTGAGTGTTGTGGGTTGAAAGGTGGAAGCCTAGGACTCCTGGTTCTCCCCTCCCCCCCATCCGGATGCAAAATTGGAAGGAATCAGGAGGCAAAAAAGGTTCCAAACTAGTGGAATAGTAGAGAATCAATCGGCATTTGGGGTTTGGTGGTGTATATACACTTTCTTTTCGTTATAGTTTGCTGCTCAACAGCAAGCTGTGTCTGTACAGGAGCTTTCACATTTCCATACCTTACCCCAAAAGTTGTTAGCTTTCTCTTTGGTTGCCTGGGCTTTGCTACTCCTTTCTGTTCTTCCTCCTCTCCCCACTCCCACCCCGTTTCCCAACCACTCTGTTAAGATGGAGACATGGTGCTTTAAGAGCACCGTATCTCCTTAATACCATCATATAATAGTTCCTGGATAACTGTGCCACTGCAGGTGATAATCAGGAGGGATGTTTTAACGTCAGGAGATTCTGGTTTCGACAGGCTCCCACAAATTGGATGTGTTCAGTCCTTCAGTACCACCCCTTGCTAGCTTCGCTCTTTGATAAAATGCCCTTCTTGTGACTTCTTCATGTAACAAGAGGACTGAGGGGTGCTGGTTGTTTGAACAATGAAACTAAATGCCTCTCCGGGTTTTGTGGGGCAGCATTGCTCATGGATATAACTGTACATAAAGCACACAAATGGATGCTTCAGATCCACCCCCTCTGCTAGCTGGCTTTCCCCACCTGGGGCAGGATGCCAACCAATCATGGCTGCTGGCATCACCCCCTACCCACCTGGGCTGTGGGCAATCTCCCCAAATTATTGGCCGTTTGTGCTGTTGTCATGCTTTAGCCCTCTGAGCACGGCTCTTTTCTGCAAACCAACAACCTGCTTGCTCCCAGTTTAGCTTTTCAAGTCCAAATCTGCACCTCAGATTTGCAAGACGCAGCTTTCAAGTGATCTCAGTAATCAGGAACTTTGAATTCAAGGTCAGCCCAAATCGACTCCGAGCAGGAGCCGAAAAGAACAGGACTCAAACCCTTATGCCTACCATTAGGCAAGGTGATAATCCCTACACCTCTCAGCTGTCAAATTTTGGGGTAGCATCAAAGAACAGTAAAATAAAGTTGTTGGTTTTTTTGAAAGATAAAAAAGGGACTACAGGAACATATGGAAATGCATACTCTGTTGTTGGTCTCCCACCTTCTTCCTCTTGTGGTTGGCCAAGGCTCAGTGGGAAATACCTTTTTTGGGTTAATTCAGTGTGCTTCAAACGTGACAATTGCACAAATCCTGCATGTAGTCTGCTGCATGTAACAGACCCATGTGCATGTACTTTCTCACATGCAGCCAGCCCCAGTAAGTTACTCCAGTTGTGGGTTTGCCTTCAAAAAGACATTAGGGTCATACTGTGGGGCCATCTTGTCTCACGTGGTATTTGCACAATGTCAAGCATGGAAATGATTTCCATGTGGGAGCTTTTAAATGTTCAACATAGGCCCTTAAGGCACTCATTCAGCGAAGCCCTTAGTAGCAGCGAGAGTGTGCTATTGTTTATTTCAGCAATAACGTGTTAATGTTTCTTTTGTTTTCTTACCTATTGTTTTATAAGCAATTTTACATTGTAATTCTCTTGGTCTATAAAGGAGATTCCTCATCCTGAGCCCGTGTGTGTCTGTTCATGTGTGAGAGAAGGTATACTTTGATATAACCCGGAATCATTACTATTAATGGCATATATTGATGTCCTGCCCTTCCTCACCAGTTGAAAGCATTCTCCCATCCAAGGATCTGGAACAGAATTATTTAGTCACCAAATGCCTGGGTAAACAGGGATGTTTTCAAATTCCTCCTGAAAGTTAATAATGATACAGACGGTCACAGTTCACTAAGCATCCTGATCGCTTTGTACATGTGCATTTGGGTGCATTTAATCAGGGCTGTTTCATAAATGACTTTTCTTTGCACAGAGCTAACCTCGGCTTTGGGGAGAGGAGAGAGATAGAGAAGACACAGCTTTAATGGTAGGAAGAAGTTCAGCACCCACCAGACATCTGAGCACATAAGATTTCCAGCACCTGGAAGGAACTGTAGTTTCTCACGAGTGCTGGGAATTGTAGTTCTGTGTTGAGGAAGCTAGAACTCCCAGGATTCTTTGGGGGAACCCGTGTGCTTTAATGTATGGCGTGGAACCACTGTGAGGAGGGGGTAGCACATGCTTTTGCAAGCAGAGGACTCCAGGTTTGCTTGTCGACATCTCGAGGTGGTGCTGGAGAAAACGCTACCCAAAGTGCTGCTGCCAGTCGATATAGACCAAGACTGGGGAAGCTCTTTTCAACATTTTCCCTTGTGCAAGCTGTGTGTGTGTGTGTGTGATGCTGGTGGTGGGCAGGGCCAGAGTAGGCGGAGCAACAGATGTGACTCTTCCCTTCGTACCCTAGGCTGTATTCCAGCCACACAACAGCCAGCGGTTTCTACAGAGCCACACACTTTCCTCCCCATACACCATCCAGACAAACAAGAGGTGTTACTGGACGCAATCTAGCAAGTCAAAAGCACTCCGGTAGAATGTGGAACATGAATGGTGAGGGGTATGACCCAGGAAGACTTCCAAGGGCTGAACAGAGAGGCCTGGAGGGCTACTTTGGCCCCTAGGACTGGAGTCCTGTCCCCACCCCCCAATATGTACACAACATTGAACTTCCTGCATTGCAGGGAGTTGGACTAGATGGCCCTTAGGGGTCCCTGCCAACTCTACAATTCTACAGTTAGATGGACCAATATGGTCTGACTCAGTTGTGCCATGTGAGAATAAGGCTGCAATTTTAACCGTGTGTACAGAGATGCTAATCCCACTAGAATTATACCCCTGTGGCTTGGGAATTAACAGCAGGACAACAAAAGTGGATTTTGTGAACTCTTTTAATCACCTGGAAGGATAAAATACCCACCATCTATTGTACAGTAGTCTGAGGACCTCACTGCCCTTGATACATTTGAATGCATTTCTTATAAATGCCAACTTTGTTTGTATATCTTAACAGAACATCCAGATGGACTGTGTCTACTTATATATTTAAACCGAGATGGGCTGTATTAATGGCTATTGCACTACTAATGGGAGCTGCTGTTGTTTCTTTTTGTTAGTCATACAATATTAATTTAAAAAGAAGTTGTTCCAGTGAAATTGTGGGGCTTACTCCCCAGTAGATGTTAGGATTGCAGCCTTTAATTCATTAAAACTGCATACACTGCCATACAAATAAGCCGTTGTACTGAAGAGAGAAAGAGCATACTTTGTTTTCATTTCATTTGTTTCCCCACGTGGCAGCAAAGCATCATCTTGTAAAAGGCCTTCCTTACTGAGAGAGGAGTGTGTCTCTTGCAAGATGGCATCAGCCACATTGTTTTGCGAGTCGCTTTCTTTCTCATTCAACCCACCCCCCAATAAAATTGTTCCATTCCTGAAGATCAACTTTTTAACTGATCCCCTCCCCCACCTCAGTTCAATCGATTGTTGCAGCTGATCGTTGGCAAGTGATCTCTCTCTCTGGCTGCAAAGTGGTCTGCCCCCTTAACTTGGGAGAAAGCCCTCTCGAACGCAGTAGGCCCTCCTTCCGAGTAAACACTCCTGGCCTCAGGTCCACATTTGCACCCTCTGCAGCGCTCAGGGTTGCAATGCAATGCAATGCAATGGGGGTGTGGGTGGATCTTTGCAGGCAAACCAGCCCCTTATTAGATCAGGCCGGGAAATGAATAGTTAACCCTGCCCACTCTCTTCCCACTGACCCCCCCCGCCCCAATATCGCGCCCGTCTCCATGTGCAGAGAGACGGAAGGGGAGGGCAGGCAGCGCCTCGTTGGGAGGGGCTCGCGGCAGCGCGGGCTGTTCGCTCATTTCCTGAGGGGTGGGGGTCCGATCGGTGCTCGGAGGGGGAGAGAGAAGGGCGGGCTTGCTCTTGCCGGCGAGAGACGCCCCCCCCCCCAATACTCCCCACGGAAGAGTCTCGAGCTCTCAGCTGCGGAGGAGGCGCCGCGATCATCATTTGGAACAGGTAAAAAAGACGGAGGAAACGCGCAGCAGCAGGAGTTAAAGGGGGGCTGCCTGGCTGGGTAGGGCGGGCGACACTAGGGCTCTGCTCTCTCTCTCCGTGCATAGGGATTTCCGACTAGGGAGACGCAAGGTGCGGGGGCGGGGGGCAATTTGCTTTTTGTACATGCTTCCCCCACCCCGGGCACAGCGTGGGAGCAGAACCCAGGAGTCCCGATCCTCGCCTCCCTCTCTCCCTGCAACGCCCCCCTTGCCCCACTCCAGGCACGGTGTAGGAGGAGAACCCAGGAGTCCGGGTCCTCGCCTCCCTCTCTCCCTGCAACGCCCCCCTTGCCCCACTCCAGGCACGGTGTAGGAGGAGAACCCAGGAGTCCGGGTCCTCACCTCCCTCTCTCCCTTCCTCCCTGCAACGCCCCCCTTGCCCCACTCCAGGTGTTAGGATATCTGAACCTAAGGGGTCCGGATCCAGTCACCTCGTGCCCTCGCCGTGAGCGTGAAGGAGTCAAGCAAACACCAGGGTGGGTTTCACAGAGAAAAAGGTTTATTGCAGAATCTGCGCAGAGACAGCCAGCGGAATAGCTTCCAAAGACTGGCCGCCCCCCCTATTGTCTTGCGAGCATTCTTATACTGAAGCTGCAAGCTTGGCTCCCCAGTTGCTCCCCAATCAACAGGCAGAGATACACTTTATTACCTTATTAGGCTAGCTAAGCCCCCCCTTCCCTTTGCAGATATTTGCAGATATTATTTGCTTTGCATTATAAATGTTTGCATCTTTAGCTCAGCTAAGGCAGGAAGCTAGACAGGAAAGTTTGCATGTTCACCACAACTGAAGCAGGAAGCCAGACAGGAAAACCACTGCCGGTCTGCATAGCTAGCCTGCATAGCTGAAGCAATTGTTAGCTGGAGCGCTAATACACGGTGGAGTTTACCCCCCCCTCTCCCCTCTCCCTTCACAGGCACGGTGTAGGAGGAGAAGCCAGGAGTCCGGGTCCTCACCTCCCTCTCTCCCTTCCTCCCTGCAACGCCCCCCTTGCCCCACTCCAGGCACTGCGTGGGAGGAGAAGCCGGGAGTCCGGATCCTCGCCTCCCTCCCTACAACGCCACCCTTGCCTAGAGCTGGTTCCCAGCCTCGTGGAGACGGAGGGGAGGAGGGGAGGCACAGGCGCCGCTGCCTTTTAACCCAAACAGCAGTCCCGCCCCCTTGCTTCCCTCCCACAGCTGGGGAGGGCGGAGGGAACCCAGGCGTCCTGGCGTCTCCCTCCCTCGGCTTTAACCTATCCATCCCTTTTTCAAGAGAGAAAGCTCAGGAGTCCTGCTGAGACCTCTTGCACGCCCCCTCCATTCCTTCCAGCCTCGGGTCCTCCTTCCTCCGACTGGGGTTGGGAGGCAATCCCGAGACCCTCCCCATTTTGGAGCCCGGCCATTTCACCTTTCACTTTCCTTTCTGACTTCCGAGCCGCTGCAACTGTTGGTTTCTGCTTTCCTTCACTGTGCAGCTCTGCTTGTCACGAGACGGTGTTTACATTCCACAGTCTGTACTGTTGGAGTTTCTCACGGGAAAGGGAGACTGGATGTGACGTACACTGGTTTCCTGTTTTTCACTGTGTGATTCTCTCCGAGCTGTTGAGGAGAGAGGATGCATTTTTCTGCTCCTGCAGAGGCAAGATGTCTTTCTGTAATATACCAGCTTTGAACTGTAAATAAAAGCAATATAGAGTATGTAGCACGTATTGCTCATCCTTCCGCTGGGCACCAGAGACTCTGCTTTAAATCAACACGTGGTTATGGGCTCCAGAGGTCGAATCGGAGTGCCGGCAAAGGATCGGAATGCAGAGGGACGGATCGGAAAGGAATCTGCTCTGCGCGTAGAAGTGATTGATGAGGTATGTGCTACTGCTCCGGGCAGCCTGCCAGCTTCAAGTTAATGGCTTTATGGCTGGACTTTGAACTTTTAAAGCCGGTTTTGCCGGGAATAGGCAAAGGCTCCCAGGCACAAGTCACTATGCTGGGGAAATCGAAAGTAACTTTTAAGTGTGCCTTTGTAATGAAGCAGCTGCAGCAGTGACGCAGCAAGATTTAAAGCAGCATATAATGACGCTGAAGGCTAATGCCAGAGTCATGATGGCCCTTCAGGATGCTTGTGGGATTCCTAAGCTCAACAAGAAAAATTACAGCGACTGGGTTCAGTATGCAGAGGCAATTCTGCGGAAAGAGGGTTTGTTTGAGGTGATTACAGGAACCCCCAGTTCCAGTTACAGATGCATGGGAAGCTAAGGATTCCAAAGCAAGGGGAACTCTTACATTGATAGTATCCCCAGAAGAGCTCTGTCTATTGCGTGATAAGACCTCAGCCAGAGAAATTTGGGACGCTCTGAGAGAGGCTCACTTAAGGACAGAAGCTGGATCCACTATGTTTTATTTTAACAAGCTGCATAATATGGCTCTTGCTGAAGGTGGAGATGTACGTTTACATCTGATGCAGATGCAAAATCTGAGACATGAGCTGCAACAGAGAGGACTCAACTTTCCAGAGGCTGTGTATTCTTTCATGATACTACAATCTTTGGGTTCAGGTTGGGAGTCTGTTGCAACCCAGATTGCTGTGCAACCAACTGCTCAGCTGACAGTGGACTTTGTTACTGCCGTGATTTTAAATGAAGCAGATCGCCGGGGTGCTAGCTGCATGGGCAAGGGGGGAGTCTTCACAGACGTCATCCCATAGTGCAGTGGAACCACCAGATGGCGCCAAAGCTTTGAAGGCAGTGAAATGCGACTCGTGTGGACGTCTAGGCCATATGAAGAGGGAATGCAGACATCCCAGGGCCAAGACAGAGCAGCGCAGCGAAAGCTCATCGCGCGGAAAGGCCGAGGCAAAGGCAAAGGTCCGGTGTCTAGGACAACGCAGCACAAGGCTATGGTTTCACGCTTCACTCCAAAGGTTGCAGAGGTCCAGAAGACGTCTAGATCTTTCTTCGTAATTGATTCAGCGGCCACCCACCACATGTGCAACGATAAGAAACTGTTTGTGTCTTTTACACCGCAGGAAGGTGCGATTCACCAGGCGGATGACCACACTATTCCCAGTAAAGGCTACGGAACTGTTGTTCTTCAAAGTTTGGACTTATCGATACAGAATGTGCTTTACGTGCCAGACGCCAAACATAATCTGCTCAGCGTTGGACAGCTGAATGAGCGGAACATTGACGTTTCCTTCAAGAACAAGAAGTGCATCATCACAAAGAAAAATGATTATGTATTGCATGCAGAATATGTTGAGCGTTTGTTTGTTTTGTATTATGATGATGTGGTGCAGGATGACACTTGTTGCATTGCAGGTTCTAACAAAAGTTTGCATGCAGAATGTATTCACGATTTTCATCGAAAATTTGGTCATTTGCATTTTGAGGCAGTATCTAAAATGCCTGCCTTGGTTGAAGGTATGACTATTAAACCCTGCAGGTACCACATGAAGTGCAAAGCATGCGCAGCAAACAAGGTGAAAATGGCTGCGAAAGGTAAGGTGTCTAGTAGGAAAGCTACAGAACCATACCAGGTTGTTCATGCTGATTTGGTTGGACCACTTACGCCCTCTTTGGGTGGAAATAGATACTTCATGGTTCTCATTGATGCATTTTCTAGATATATTTTTGTGTACAATCTCAAGCAGAAATCAGAGGCTTTTCCTAGGTTCAAGGAATTCTGTGCTTGGTTGGAAAATGTGCATGGTAAGAAGATAAAGACTCTTTTCAGTGATCGCGGGGGGGAATTCACTTCTCAGCAGTTTGAAGCTTTTCTGACTGAGAAAGGAATTCAACACGATTTGTCTAGTCCTCGCTCGCCATGGCAGAATGGACTTGCGGAACGGGCAAATCAAACATTGCTTCAAGGATTAAAAACCTTGCTGCATGATGCCAATCTTCCAGAGAGTTATTGGGCCGAATCTCTCTCGTGTTTTGTTTACAGTTACAATCGCAGGCTATCTTCAGCGATTGGGTGTACCTCTATGAGAAGATGTTTGGCAAGAAGCCATACATCAAACACATGAAGATTTTTGGTTCTGACATGTGGGTTCGCTCACCACAAAACTCCAAGTTAGACAAGCGTGGATTGCATGGTATCTTTCTAGGTTATCAGAAAGGGTCTTACAGAATAATGATGACTGACTCTAAGACAATTAAGCTCACGAGAAGTGTTGAGTACAATGCAAAGTGGGGGGGAGAATGTGGGAATTTTCCAATGTTATCCTGATGACAGTGATGAGACTGAGGATAGTCAAAAGCAACCACAACAGCCCACACCCACTGATGAAAGTTCTGAGTCTGAATCTGAAACTGAATCGGGTGATTCAGAGGATTTCGAGAGTGCGAAAGCCTCTATGCGACCCTCTGGAAGCTCTGATCAAGAATTGGAGGAACCATTGTTCACAATAGGTCGTTTTTCTCCTAAGAAGGAAGAGGAGAGTGTTGAAGACTTAAGGCTAATTCGTAGGTCACAGAGAGCCACAAAAGGCAAACCTCCAAAGAGATTTGCTGATGAGTTTGCTAAGATAGCAGTAACAGCTGTTAAAAGCTCCAAGAAGGTATTTGAACCTTCAAGTTTCCAAGAAATCCAGGGTTTGGATTCAAAGGAAGCTAAGCCATGGTTAAATGCCATGAAGGCTGAGCTTGATTCCTTAGAAAGGAACAAAACATGGGAGCTAGTTCCAGTAGTTCCAGGAATGAAACTGCTTGGAAGCAAATGGGTCTTCAAAGCGAAGACAGATCAAAATGGCAAGATAGTCAGACACAAAGCCAGATTGGTAGCCAGAGGTTTTGCACAGGTACCAGGTGAAGACTATCACGAGACCTATTCACCCACAGTGAGATATGAAAGCATTAGGCTTATACTCAAGCTAGCTGCAGAGGAAAATCTACACATTAGTCACCATGATATTAATACAGCTTTTCTGTACGGATCTCTAGATGAATCACTTTATATGCTTCCACCTGATGGCGTACAGGTAAAACAGGGATTTGTTTGTGCTCGAAGAAATCCCTTTATGGTCTCAAACAAAGTGCACGGTGTTGGCACACAAAACTCACTGAAGTATTGTTTTCTCTAGGTTTTCAGCAAGGGAAAGCTGATCCATGTGTATTTGTCAAAGAGGAGGGGCAAAAGAAACTGTACTGTTTGTTTTATGTTGATGATTTATTATTCTTTTGGAAAGATGTTGCAATGTACAATAGCGCCCTAGCTCAACTGAAAGAGCACTTTGACATGAAAGATCTTGGTGAGGTAAACAACTACCTATCTCTGGAAATAGAGAGAGATCAAGATGGTAACATTCTAGTACACCAGTCACGGAAAATTGCTGATGTGTTAAGCAAACTAAATCTGATGGATGCTAACCCTGTAGACACACCGATGACAACAGGTTATCAGGTAGATGACACTGAAGAAGCATTTTCTGACACTACACTGTACAGGAGTGTGCTAGGCAAGCTAAACTTCCTTGCCAGATGTTCAAGACCAGACATTGCTGTTAGCTGTAATTTGCTAAGCAGACAAGTCAACAACCCTAGTGTCAAGGATTGGAAAGCTCTGAAACGCATAGCGCGGTATTTGAAAGGCACTATGCATTACAGACTGAGATTTAACAATCAGAAGTCTGGTGGTCTTGAGATATTTGCAGATGCAAGTTTTGGAAGTGACGCTACAGACAGGAAAAGTACGTCTGGAGTTTGCTACATGTACAATCAGAGTCTGTTTGATTGGTCATGCAAGAAGCAAACAACAGTTAGCTTAAGTACTTGTGAAGCCGAACTGAATGCACTGTCTTATTCACTTAAAGATTGTGAATGGATTAGTACAATTGTGCAAAGATGTGAAAATTCCTGTCAAATGTCCAATCCAGGTTTACCAGGACAACAAAGCATGTTTGGCTTTGCTGAAGTCTGAAGGTTGTAAGCAAAGCACAAAGCACTTGCAATTAAAGTTGCAGCATGCTAGGGAATGTATTCAGAAGGGACTCGTAACGGTGTCCTATATGCCAGGTAATGAAATTCCTGCTGATGTATTGTCCAAGATTGTATCAAGGGATCAACACTGTACCTATGTGCAGAAGTTGGGTTTGTACTGATATTGTACGAACACGCTGCCCAGTGATGTTCACAGAAAGGGGGAGGATGTTAGTTTCTGCTTTCCTTCACTGTGCAGCTCTGCTTGTCACGAGACGGTGTTTACATTCCACAGTCTGTACTGTTGGAGTTTCTCACGGGAAAGGGAGACTGGATGTGACGTACACTGGTTTCCTGTTTTTCACTGTGTGATTCTCTCCGAGCTGTTGAGGAGAGAGGATGCATTTTTCTGCTCCTGCAGAGGCAAGATGTCTTTCTGTAATATACCAGCTTTGAACTGTAAATAAAAGCAATATAGAGTATGTAGCACGTATTGCTCATCCTTCCGCTGGGCACCAGAGACTCTGCTTTAAATCAACAGCAACAGCCTCCCAATAAGGGGGAGTTTTACTCACTTGCCGACTGCGATGACACTGGGAGAGGATCCCGGCTGAAATCCTGGAGCTGCCAGTCCGTGTAGACAATATTGAGCTTGATGGTCTGCCTGAGTAGAAAGCAGTTTCCTGCGTTCCTTTGGTGTGTGTGTAAATTTGTTTACAGTATTTGGTTTTCAGACCAAACTTTTACAATCACATATCCAATATACAATATACAAACAAGATTCCAAAGAATCTCCTGGACTTTCCTCCTCCCCTTTGTGAATCTTACTGTTAATAATTTCCTCCTGTATCTTTTATGATAATCCAAATCTTTTACGTCTCCATTATGTCCAAAAATCACCATTAAACTACAAGTGTTATTCCAATCCTACTTACGGTTTTAACTGTTTACAATCGTTTTTAAGATAAATTATAAATTTCCCCCATCCCTTATTAAAATTTTGGTCTTCCTGATTTCTGACTCTTTGGGTCATTTTAGCCATTTTGGCATAATCCATCAACTTGATTTGCCATTCTTCTCTGCTAGGGACTTTATCTTCTTTCCATTTCTGGGCCAATAACATCCACACATCTGTGGTTGCATACATAGTCTTTTCTGCTCCCTTGGGATTTCAGCTCCTAAGATTCCTAAAAGAAAGGCTCCAAGTTTTTTAGAAAAAGTTATTTAAAACATTTTTTCCCAACTCATTATATATCATTTCCCAAAATTCTTTTACTACCTTACATTTCCACCACATATGATAAAAAGTGCCTTCTTTTTCCTTACATTTCCAACATACATTTGACCCTGTTTTATACATTTTTGCTAAAAAAAATTGCTAATTTACTGGGAGTTAAATACCAACAGACGATGAGCAGTAGGCCTGCTCCTCTTTTAACAGCAAATGGAATTGGAGCTATTAGCGGGTCTCATAATACTTTTCTTCCTGTGAGAAGTTTTGCGGTTCCTACAGATCAGACTCTTGGGGGAAGGCTTTAGACTTGCACGCAGCCAAGAAGGCAGACCTTCCTCTGTTCTTCTGCAAACAGTTTCCTGACTTTGACAGTTGATGACACAGCCCAGGTTCCAGGTTCTTTGCTTCTGCAGACGGAGCAGGCTGCTCAGTGATACAGATCTCCTCTTCCTAATCTGCTCCTTGCATTTGGTGTGTGCCCCGTGCCTTCCCTGTTTCATTTGATCGGGCAAATGTTCTACAACCCTCAAAGCTTAAGTCCCAAACTGGTTGCGTTGATGCTGAAACTAACCACGGGACAGGATTCCATCCCATATCAGTTGCCGTGTAAATAGTGCGCCTGTGTAAATGCCTGTGATTTCCTGCCATTTTGGAGCTGGAGTGACCACGGAAAGCCCTTTACACATCATTATAAACTGGAAGCTTTTATTTTTATGCTGTGATTCCTACATTGCAGGGGGTTGGACTAGATGAGCCTTGGAGTACCTTCCAACTATACGATTCTATGATTCTATGAATAAAAACTACATTCATACCGAGGGCCTTCTCGGTAGTGGCGCCCGCCCTGTGGAACGCCCTCCCATCAGATGTCAAGGAAATAAACAACTACAGTATCTGACTTTTAGAAGACACCCGAAGGCAGTCTTGTTTAGGGAAGTTTTTAATGTTTGATGTTTTACTGTGCTTTTAATATTCTTTTGGGAGCCGCCCAGAGTGGCTGGGGAAACCCAGCCAGATGGGCGGGGTATAAATAATAAATTGCCGTATTTTCTGTGTATAAGATGACTCCTATTTTTTGAGCCCAAAATTAAATAATTGCAACATTCCGTGTATAAGACGACTCCCAGTTTTAAACTTTAAAAAATTGGGAGAAAATATAGTCTGATACATGGAAAAATACATCATCATCAACATCATTATTTTGCAGTGGAAGTCAGACTGGAAAACCAATTTAGTTTTCAACCAGAAGTACCAACAAATGCAATGATATTGTGTGTTTCTAGTCTCTTTCTATTTCTGTAGTGGCAGGTGACTTTTCTGTTTGAGTCCTCTTCTCTTCTGTCTAAGGGTGAAATGTTTAAGTACCCCCCTCCCACACACATACCTATGTTTTTTAACCATATAACATTTACTTTTTCCACCTCTCAGCTGCCTGGCTTCCTTCAAACTCGCCACTGTCAGGAGATGGCTGTTCAAACACCAAACATAAACTGAGGCTCCAGAACGTGGGATAACCGCCACCACCCATCCTTCTGGAAGCCGGCTGAACTATGACCACCAAGGAAGGTGACTCATCAGCTACTTGGGTTCTCCGCTTCCCTTCACCATTAGAACCAGGGGTCCAAATCAGTGTTGAAATGGAGGAGAACTCGCCTCCCATTGGGACCATCAAGGAGATCCTCAAGCGCTCTCGCTCCCGCAAGGACCGGATGGATCCGCATGAAGCTGTTGTGAAGCCTCAGTGTTGGGAAGTCCGGCAACAGGTGATTCTCCCCACTCCAGAAGAGGAGGCATCTAAGGCAGATGCACCTGAGGTGATGCTGGAGGATAAAATTGAGACTTGTGTGGTCTCTTTTGAAAACGCCTCTGACCCCAAAGAAGAGAGAGGGACCAAAACGGAAGTGATGGTCAGCCCGGATTGCGTGATTACTATCGAAGAAGAGGAGGTTGACCCTGAAAAGCAGGAGTCACCAGAACCTGAGTTTGTGTCAGATGACGACGACATTGAGGCCTGTGTGGTGTCTTCTGAAGAAGGCTCTCAAAAGGAAGAGGAGACCCAGCCTAAGATCATAGATGGAGGGAGCGTTGAGGACTTTGTTGAGTCTCTTGAACACACAGGTCTCCCTAGAGTAGAAAAGGCCACCCAGACCGAACCGACACAGAGGGACAGTGCTGAGAGCTGTGAGGCCTCTACCCAGAAGGCAGCCAACTCCAAAGAGAAAGAGTTAATGGAATCTAAGGTGGCATCTAAGGAGGGTGGCCAGGCCAGTTGGGTTTCTCCAGAGAAATCAGAGGACCCTAAAGGAGGAGGAGGAGGAGAAACACAAGAGGCTTGTAACGGCCCAGAACATCAGGGGGCCATCTTGGGAGAAGGTGGCATCGCCATGGAGACTGCCCGCCAGGGTTTCCGGTGGTTTCGCTACCAGGAAGCTGAGGACCCGCGGAAAGCTTACGGGCAGCTGTGGGAACTTTGCCGCCTTTGGCTGAAGCCGGAGAGCCGCAGCAAGGAGCAGATTCTGGAGCTGCTGGTCCTGGAGCAATTCCTGGCCATTTTGCCTCAGGAAATTCAGAGCTGGGTGTGGCAGCAGCACCCAGAGACGTGTGCGCAGGCCGTGGACCTTGTAGAAAACTTCCTGACAGGCCTTTCTCTGCTTCAGAGACATGGGGAAAAGGTGAGATACCCCATATGGGGGCGGCATGTGGGTTAGCCATGAGGCATGGGGTGGTTTTTTGGGGGGGAGGGGTTACTGGAAATTGCAGTGTGGAGCATTGGGCTACCCAGGGTTCGAAGGCTGTATGAGGTTGAGATAGCAGAGTAATTTGATGTGGATTGAAAAGTGGCGTTGTGACATAAATGCCAATTATAGACACAGGATACATAGTTCCAGAGTTGTGAAGATCAGCCCCAAGGCTTTCCAGACTGAAACACTGAGGAAATGCAGGGAGTTTTACAGGGAAAGGTGGCTGACTTCTTGGGTGTGCTGAGAACTCTTTTATTTTCATGCGCGGCAAATTTCCTGTTTCTATAAATTGTGTGTCATTTTCTTTTTTTAAAAAAGGAAGCATTAATTAGTGAAATAACAAATGGGTATGATACTAGTGAAACAGGCATTTTCAAAGCTTTGATCCACTTTTCACGCACGACAAATATAAATGCTCAATAAAATGAATGTGTTATCGGTGTTTTCTTTACAACTTGCAGAGGGCAGCCTAGGGTTGTGTATTCAGATTCACCTCTGCTTCTCCTTTCACACAATATTAATCACGTGGGGAAAGGAATGCCTGGAGGAGGTCAGATCCCAAGTCATTTCAGGGGAGCCATGAATACCAAAAACGAAAAAAATCAAGTGATTAAACTCACAAATATATTTAGGGTTAGTGCAGGGGAGAGACAAAGTGATAATGCCTTTATTGAAAAAAGGAGTTGGTTTATTTCCTATTGGAATGCAGTTTCGCAAACATAAATTGAATAATTTTGGGGGAAATTTTCTTCATATTTATACTGCTTCTCTGGTTAAATGTATATATTTATAGTAGTATTTTTTCCTGCTGTGTGCATGTGCTTAAATATTTTTTTTTTCATTGTTTCAGGCACTGGTGACCTTTGAAGAGGTGGGTGTATATTTTTTTGAGGAAGAGTGGAGATTGCTGGATGAAACTGAGAGGCAGATCTACCGGGAGGTCATGCTAGAGAATTATGAGAATGTCCGGTCACTGGGTGAGAATTGAATGTCTGTAGAGTCGTTGGCGAAGGATCTCTGAATCAGCTTGGCTGCTCCATTGTTTACATTCATGGTGGGGAGGTGTTGCCGAACCTTTGTCCTATCAAAAATGACAGGAAGTTGTAGCCTTTGGAGGGGCTGCTAGCTCGACTTGACTGCTAAATGTAGTGGTGCTCTCCTTTGAATTACAGTTGATTTATTAACTGCATTCTAAACCACCATCGCAGAGCCATTTACAGATGGGTCATCTGTTGAGTAGAAACAGAGTGATAAATCTTTCATCCTTAGTTGCTCTCTGCATAGATTAACATACCATACTTCATGGCTTCCTGCTCTAGAACACCATTCAAACGTTCAGGATACAATCAAAAAGGAAAATGCAAATACAAAATTTTAACAACTTTTAATGATATTAAATGTGATGGGCTCGATTTGAAGGACCCTGCAGTGACATTTAGGCGTCCCAAGGTTATCATAAGTTAATGATTCCACACTGCGTTTCATTCTCATGGACTGGAATATTTTGTTAATGAATAAAGGTTTATGGATGTAGAGGGAAAAGGGCAAGGAAGGGTTAAGTTGCGTGTGTTTGTCCTGCACCAGCAACTTGGTGGAGTGAGAGTGACTCAGCAAGCATGTGAAAGCGACTCAGCAGAATCTAAAGTGTAAATACACTTGTGTTTGAAGCAAGGTTGCCCTTGGCCCCTGACCGTTTCTTTTTATTATCATTATTATTATTAAAAAATCTGTTCTTCTTTAAAATATTCTTTATTTTGTTTCTCTTCTCCACTTTGCAGGATTTCCAGTTCGCAAACCAGATCTGATCTCTAAGATGGAGAGTAGCAAGAACCCAGATCCATGTTTCCAAGATCTCCAGGAATCAAAAAAAGGAGTCCCACCAAGAGATGCTGGTGAGAAAACGGCTGCCCTTGATGTTACTGGTTTTTATTCTGCATTCAGATTTGAAAGCTTTCACTTCTGTTTATTTGGACACGGCTTATTGTGTTGTCCAAACTCAGTAAACCGTGGTTAATCTTAACCATGGTTTGTTAGAAACAAGCTAAGCTTAAGCCATGCGTTATAAATCTGGTTTCTTTCCACAAAATACAGTTGTATTCATTAGAGGCTAGACTGGTTATCAGGGAGGTTGTAGCAGAGGCCAGATGGCCAACCTATCAGAGAGATTGTATTAGTGGCTCTCCTGCATCTGCAGGAGGTTGGGCTAGATGACATTTGAGGCCCCTCTCAACTCTAAGATTCTATGAAGCAACTCCTCTCAAGTCCTAAACATGGATTCTGAGAAAGATACAACTGCTTGAGAACCCGTTTGTCAGGAAGACATACGACTTGCCTTCATAATGGGTTCCATAAGGGGTGCACATCACAACACTGCAGTACAGACTTTGGCCATTGTGGTGTAGTGGTTAAGAGCGGTAGACTCGTAATCTGGTGAACCGGGTTTGCATCCCCACTCCTCCACATGCAGCTGCTGGGTGACCTTGGGCCAGTCACACTTCTTTGAAGTCTCTCAGCCCCACTCACCTCACAGAGTGTTTGTTGTGGGGGAGGAAGGGAAAGGAGAATGTTAGCCGCTTTGAGACTCCTTAGGGTAGTGATAAAGCAGGACATTAAATCCAAACTCCTCCTCCTCCTCCTCTTCTTCTTCTTCTTCTTCTTCGGCTCCCCTGACCCTGATGGGGACTAACTACAGCCAGCCAAAGACAACCAACCGCACGCTAAGCCACACACAACCTCTCTCATCACCAAGGAAATACAACAAGTGAATAGTAAGAGAACCTATACAAGTAACGCTGACACAAAACCTCACACATAGACTAAGTAGAAGAATAGAAGCATAACCACCCCGCTTGCCACTCCCCCTCCGCCTCTTCCCCCCTTTTCTTTTTCTTTTTCTATTTCTTTCTTTTTCTTCTTCTTCCTAATTGTTTAAACCAATTCATAAACCAAGAACTTATGCATTCACCGCTAATAATGAAACCTATGTTGTAGATATTTTCCTGCATTTATTATGCTATTTTTGTGATATACAAGTGACATTAGAAAACTTGGTATACTTATTTGTATAACATTATTCCTGCTTATAAAACCCAATAAAATAAAAATTAAAAACAATAAAGTCAGGGGGGAAAAGAAGGCACACTCTCTTTGAACTTAGCTTTGTACTTAGTTTTTCACACATGGCGCCTCCAGTTTGGCTTTATTTTTGTTAAGTAAATCATGACACGGTGTCATGTGTCTCGTGTTGTTGTAATGACCTAATTTTAAGACCTGCTAAGGAACAGGTGATTTGTTATAATGTCCTGATATGTAAAACCACAGAATTCAAAGAGGGTTTACTTCCTTTTTCCTATGACTGCATAATCCTTCCCCATCCTTCTCTTTCTTCCCTTTTCCAGAAGATGCTGAGCTCTCGAGGGAGTCTAAATGTGAGGAGCTGTTGACCTGGAAGGAAGAGAAAGCAGCGGACAGCCCTCCGGTCGTGCCGAGAACCAGAAGCGGTCTCAGAAGCGCGGACAGGGCTGTCAAAAGCAGCCCTCCCAGCACGGACAGCAGCAGGCCCCGCTGGCATCGGACGGAGCAACGATTCACGTGCCCCGACTGCGGCAAGACATTCCCTTGGCAGTCCGCTTTGGCTCGGCACCAGCTCTCGCACGCTAGGGACAAGCCGTACCGGTGCTCGAGCTGCCCCAAGAGCTTCGCCCAGCGCTCAAAGCTGGCCCGGCACCGCTGCCTCCACCCCAGGGACCCCTCCTGCAAGTGCCCTGAGTGCGGGAAGCGCTTCTGTGACTGCCACAAGCTGGCCCGCCACCAGAAGACCCACTCGGGCAAGCGGCCGTACCGCTGCGACGTGTGTGGGCGCGGCTTCTGCCTCAACTCCAACCTGCAGCAGCACCGCCGCGTGCACACGGGCGAGCGCCCCCACAGCTGCCCCGAGTGCGGGAGAGGCTTCAGCCGACGCTCCAACCTCATCCAACACCTCCGGGTGCACCAGCTGCAGGAAGGAGGGACCGGCGGGGAACTCCGCGCGGGAGACGCCGAGCTGGGACCGGGCTCGGACCTTTGCGAGGAGGAATGGGAATATGAGTGGATTGCGGACGGGCAGGGTGGCGAGCAGGCAGATGACGCGCTCCCTGCTGGAAATAGTGAGGGCAACCCACCTTTAGAGCTCCAGCAGGACAAGGAGATCCTAGAGCTCCGTGTTGGGGATTCTGAGCATGGGTGGGACGCGGAGCTCCACAGCGGCAAAATTATGGCGCTCCTGCCTGGGACCCCTGGGCACCAGCAGAGCTTGGAGCTGCGTGCTGGAAACCGCGAGAGCGAGGAAATAGTGGAGCTGCGCGTAGGGGATGGTGAGGAGCACAGATGGATTGAGGAGGAGGAAGATGCCGATTGCCTGCTTGTCAGCGACGGAGGGCCCCTCTGCTCTGACAGCCGGGAGAGCTATCCCTGTCTGGATTTGCAGCCCGCCAATCAAACCTCGCTGGAAGGCAGTGAGGTCCCCCAGTGCACTGACTGCGGGTGGACGTTCACCTGCAACTCCAGCCTTTCCCGCCACCAGCGGATCCATGCCACGCAGCACCACCACCCGCTGGCCCTGCACCAGCTCACGCGCGCCTTGGGGCAGCCCCATGCCTGCCCCGACTGCCCCAAGAGCTTCAGCCACCGATCCAAGCTGCTGCGCCACCAGATCGTGCACACGAGCAAGTGCTCTTTCCAGTGCGGCGAGTGCGGGAAAAACTACAGGGACCGTTCGACGCTCCGCCGGCACCAGCGCTTCCACGGCAAGCCGGAGGCCTTGGGGCTGGCTCCCGTGTGGGATGCCTCTCCTTACTCGCGTGACCCCGTGGTGATGATTTTATGAGCGGGAACACCATGCAAATTCCACTGTGGGAAGCGGCCGCTTTCTGGTGGGACCCTGGGACCCTAGATTTTGATGAGCCGCATTTGCATTAGCTGGTTGAACAGTTTGTTCTGACCATGGTCTTGAGGGCGGTGACTGCTTGGAGTTATTTGGAGAAAGGGTTGGGAAAAGGGGGTGTGCACGCCGTTGCGGATGGGTGGCTGCGAGCCTGGAGATCCAAATAGCCCCCGCTTGCAAATATTCGGGGTTGTAGCTTACTCCTAAAGATTTGTTCAAGCCTACATCCAGAAAGGGGACTTGGGATTTCAAGAGGGGCAACTCCAAAGCCCTTACAGTCTTTAGGTTTCTGCTTGGTGTAATAGGGCACCCCAAACAATGAGTGTTATAAACAGAAGAAAGGCTTAGACCAACCCAAGGGAAAAGCTAGCGCTTCCCACTTGCCGGAACAAAGCTGGTGCCGGTCACTTTGGAACAGGTATTCAGGAGCTAGAGCAGGCATAGGCAAACTCGGCCCTCCAGATGTTTTGGGACTACAACTCCCATCACCCCTGACCACTGGTCCTGTTAGCTAGGGATGATGGGAGTTGTAGTCCCCAAACATCTGGAGGGCCGAGTTTGGGGATGCCTGAGCTAGAGGGTTCATCTCCAGGACCACAACAATGGTCCCCATCCTAAGGACCGATGACATGGCAAGCCTATTTTTGGACTGTACCATATCGGCCTGCAGGATGCTTGCGTGTGTTTAAATCTTTCAGTATTTGGTGGAGGCAAATCTCTTGCACACAGAAAGCCAGCGGGGGCGGGGAGCATTGCTTTAGAACCTTTCTCCCTGACATGCCAGGGAATTGTGTCATTTTTTCTCCCTATAGGGAGCTGTGTAATCCTTCCAGCAGTCTGAAGTGGTACAGCCCAGAAACTTCCCAAACTTAAGGGTTCAGGATCAACACAATGCCTCTTTTATTGGAGGCTCAACCAGTCACTTCCTGGCTGTAAATTTTCACCCTCCAGCTTACCTCCAAGTCTCTCTCCTCAGTTCTCAAGCATGGTCCATTGCAATGACTTGGTTGAGAGATGGCTAATGGCAGCTGTTTGTTTATTTGTTTCGTCTTGTACATGTCAAGTTTTTTTTAATCTGCTGTGAACTCTCCGCCGTGGTTTTCCATTGGGCAGGGAAGGTGGCAATACCTACTGGGAGATTCAGCATCATGGGGAGAGTTTTGGGCTGCTTGATTGTACATATGGGAAATAAAATATATTTTCCTTTTTTTGTTTCCATTGCTTTCCTGGCTTAATCCATTGAACTATTTTTATTTTTTTTTTGGTCTGTATCACATACAACCCCCTTTCATCTGGTGCCCAAAGCGATGGAAGTGTTACTCTTCCATTTCTGGCAGCACAGAGTTCCAATAATAACCTTTAGGGCAATCGTCTGGCTAATGGGATTTGCTTTGTTTTTGACTGGTCCTGCGTGCCCCACCTCCTGGAGCCAGGTGTGAAGCGGTGGCTCATTTGGGCAAATATCTGTGAAGAATTAAGGACCAGGGTGCCTCTGAGCATGTGCTAGAAGCTCAGGAATTGCTGAACCATTCATGGAACCAAGCACACAAGTTCGTTTCTGGTTTTCCCCAAACCGTTCCTTTTTAACAACCCAGTTTGCTGCGAATAATAATAATAATAATAGAGGGAGGCTTTTTTGTTTTTGCTTTTTTAAAAGACAATTGGGAGACAGAATCCCTTTGCCAATGAACTGCAAGTTTCCTAGAGTTGTATGAATGGTTGAGGGTCTATGTATTCTCCACCTGCTCTAGACCACATATTGGCAATTATATTTCTTGAAGGTTTATAGAAATCAATGTTACTAGCAGTCGTAGGACCTGGAGGCTGATCTAGCAGAGATGGACTAGGGGCCGCTGCTCCTAACTCTGACAGGTAAACCTTTATAAACAGGTGAAGTAGACAAAACTTGAAAGTTGAAAAAGGTGTTAGTTTGTTAGAAGTTAAAAATCCCAAAAAGTTTTTAAAAAGCTAAAACCTTCCTTGGAAACATCCAAAATATTTAAAAACATGGGTAAGCTTTAGAGGCCAACAGAACTCTTCTTCATCAGGCTGGATTCTTGCTGCTGGCAAACAGAATAAGAAGGAAGGTGGGTCTGGGGTCTCTTCCAGAGCCTTGAAAGGGGAATGCAACCCAAATAAGGATGTACTCTGTGGGGAAATTGCTGATCTACTTTCTGCCCACCTCCTCCAGCTCCATATTTAAGGACATTTCTCTCTGCACCCTGGCAAATAGGCTTTTGATTAAAAGTTAACGTGTTTGCGGCAGTTAGGTTGGCCCTGGCCCATGAAATCCCCTTTCCGCTCCATTATTCGGATAGCATGCAAATTCAAAACTTCCAAAACCTTCCACCAGGGTGTGCCTGGTGTTTATTGTTCAATCAAGTGCTTCCATATCCTAGCAGGTAACTGATTACCAGTAACAGGGGAAGCTCTATAGCAGGGCTGCACACTTTAGAAATGCACGTTCTCTCCTGAGTCCATTTGGTCTGAAACGCATAGGGCTGGCAGTGTTTGTACAGCCCCTTCTGTGCTTTTAGCAGCAGCCTTGTGCGCAGAAATGTAGCAAAGGAATCTTTTCTGGCAAGCTGTGCAATGCAGTAGAGCCAGGTTTTGTTTTTTTCAAAGGGGAGGGGAGCCTACATTGCTTTTGTGAAAGTGTTATGTGCAGAGAGGGTGGGTTGCTAAACATCTGTGTTCCCGCACCCACACCCCTGTGAGCGATAAGCGCATATCTTGGGCGTTTGGGAGCAAAGTTCAGCCTTGGATTTCTGACAGGCGCAGGCAGTGGCTGGGTCTAGATCAAGCCAGAAGCTCCACAACTTGACAGCTTGGACCACTGGATTGCTGTCTCCTAACTCCAGCAGAGACATCTGGGCGTTTTGGGGGGTGGGCAGGCAGGAAAGACGGCCAAACAGCAGACTTTGGGGTCCTCTTCCCAGCTATAATATTGTGGTGGGCAGGGAGGAGGACTGGGACCCAAGTTTCTTGAAGTTCCTAGGAGTGACCTGCCTTCGCCATGGCTTCCTCCACGCACTTTGAGGACCTCGTTACGGATTTCTCCTGCCCCGTATGCCTGGAGTGGTTCTGGGAGCCGGTTGCTCTCCCTTGCGGCCACCTCTACTGCCAGGCCTGCGTCGAGGCAGCGTGGGGAGTCCCTGGCAGCAAGCCCATCTGTCCTCAGTGCCGGGAGCAGTTTCCAGAGAGGAGGTACACGCCGTGCAAGCTCCTGGGGACCTTGATTCACCGAATTGGCGGGATGAGAGCCGGGGAGGCTGAGGAAGGTCGACGCACCGAGCCCAGAGAATCTGCGCTGCGCCAGAATGGCACGCTGACCTCTGTCCAGGAGACCACAAAGCTGTACAAGGTGCGGGGGGAAGAGTCCCGGCAGAGCCCCCTGTGTCCTGTTCCCAGATGGCTAGTAATAGTGATGAATGGGGTGCTGAGAGCACAATGGGTAGGAACTGGGAGTCGAGAGAAAGGCTGCCAGCTTTTCTATGGCTGGCTGGCTGAATTAGCATTATTAAGGGATCTCAAAGTGACTTATGCAAGCTCGCTGAGTGACCTTGGGCCAGTCACAGGCTCTCAGCCTAACCTACCTAACAGGGTTGTTGTAGACAGCGGGGGGAGCCATGTATGCTAGCTTGAGCTCCTTGGAGGAAAAGGTAGGATGTAAATGCTATTATTATTATTATCAAATAATGAAGACATTCCCATGCATTTAACAGTACTCCAGCAGCTGCTTTGTTAACCATTCCCTGCTCCCTTTAATGGAGAAATGTTCGAGTGTTTTATAGCAAGGGCTGAGTTTCCTTTGGATAAGAAACCTGGAAACCTCTATTGCCTCCCCCACCCCCAATTTGCACCTGTATTGGAATTATTTTTAAATGTTTGATTCCTTGTGCATTTGCCATGTAAATTTAGCAAATAAGACAGAAAACAGACAAGCAACACCTGTCCTGATTGGCAGCAAACTAGGAAGAACTACACAAATAATATCATTATTCCATGCAAGGAATCTAGTTACAGCTTGACTTCTCTACTGCCTTTGTAAGAGATGTTTGCTTACAAACATACAAGCAGAGCAGAGTGGAATCAAGCCCCCCACCAGGTTAGTAGGCAATCCACTTCCTATACAGTGGTACCTCGGGTTAAGAACTTAATTCGTTCCGGAGGTCCGTTCTTAACCTGAAACTGTTCTTAACCTGAAGCACCACTTTAGCTAATGGGGCCTCCCACTGCTACTGCGCCGCTGCTGCGCGATTTCTGTTCTCATCCTGAAGCAAAGTTCTTAAGCCGAGGTAATACGTCTGGGTTAGCGGAGTCTGCAACCTGAAGCATCTGTAACCCGAGGTACCACTGTATCGGCATCAGATATCTTTAAAAGGGTGACTTTTTATTCAGCCAGTGAATAGTTCTTCCAGTTTGTCTGCCTAAATTAAAATGGCAAAATACCCTCCCAGTTGTCTCTATTGCTCCCCAAAGTGATACATGTTGGATTCCAAAAGCAGGAGCCATCAAGGGACACCCAGCCCTTTTGTGTAGACCTTAATTTCTCATTGGAGTTTATATCACACAGAACCATTGGAATAGGTCCATGCAATGGGAGACAATCAGATTCATGGCAAGCAGGTGACATTTTTTCCTGGTGTGGACAATTTCTGAATGGTCAGGTTACTGTTAAATGTGTATTTTTAATTTCCACTCGCCATCTTGAATAGGAGGAGCTGTCTCTGGCTATTTTGCGGATGGAATCTAACCTGACCAAACTTGTCCTGCTTACGAGGGAGGAAGAAGAGAAGCTCCAGAACCATCAGGTGAAGAAGACTGGGGTGGTGAGGAGAAACTTAATGAGGGCAATAAGCTCATATATCTGGGAGGGAAATATGCTTAGATCTCTCTCTGGTTGCTAGGCAGTTTTGCTGAGTCTGGATGACCACATCTCCACCGAATACAAGCATCTCCATCGCTTCCTCTATGCTCATGAGAAAGCGTGCAAGGCAAGGCTGGAGGAGGAAGGGGCACACGTTCTTCGGGAGATGGAGGAGAGACTGAGAGCGCTGAGGGAGTCTTGCCAGCTGGGCCAGGAGCTGCTGTTGGAGGCCAGGGGTCACCTGCAGTTACAAGACTCTGCAAGCTTCCTAGCAGTAAGGAGAAAACGGGCTTCCATGGAGATTCTACGGCTGGAACTGTAATAAGAAAAACTTATGGGGTATTCCAGAGCCCGTATAGAGTCCTTAAGTGGGTTCCCTATCGGTAGGAGAAAACAGAGGCCAACCAGAGTACAGTGGGGCCCCGCAAGATGAATGCCTCGCAAGACGAAAAACTCGCTAGACGAAAGGGTTTTGCGTTTTTTGAGTCGTTCTGCAAGACGAATTTCCCTATGGGCTTGCTTCGCAAGACGAAACGTCTTGCGAGTTCTTGCGAGTTTATTTCCTTTTTCTTAAAGCCGCTAAGCCGTTAATAGCTGCTAAGCCGTTAATAGCTGCTAAGCCGCTAATAGCCGCTAAGCCGCTAATAGCCGTGCTTCGCAAGACGAAAAAACCGCAAGACGAAGAGACTCGCGGAATGGATTAATTTCGTCTTGCGAGGCACCACTGTATACTGAGAAGCAAAGCAGCTAGTAAGCCTGATCTTTATTAAATTATTGCAACAGGGTCCTCACCAGACGCAGGAGGGAGGAGAACCCTGAACAATGGTGCGCAAGCCCTTATATAGAATTTTGAAATTGCCCACCCTGTAGCCCAAGACATCATACATCACAGAAGGAGGCGGTCTACAGCAGAAATCCTGTCTGCCAGGATACCTGATGATGGTCACTGATTGCGTTACCTGGGCAGTCTGCTCATTCTTTTGTGATGGTTAATGCTTTAGTTCCTGAATCCAGGTCACAGGCTCACCCTATTCATACATAAATACACCCTTAAGACAGGATTTGCAAGCAAAAAGACAAAGGCCTCCCTTCCTGCAGAGGAATATTTGAGGCCTTTGGGAGAGTCAAATTGGCTCTCCCATACTATTTCAGACACATGGTTCATATATTTAGATCAGTGTGCATTTATGAATACTTATCCTATATTTGAGACCTTAAAATTCTTATAAAAGCTTATAAAATCGAAAAATCTCAGGGCAGTTCACAGAATAACTGTGCTGGTGCTTGGGGGTGATGCTGAAGTTGGTGGGGATTCTGTTTTGATGATGTTTGGCCTCACTGATGACCTTGCGGGTGATACTATGATTGCGAGATGGATGAGGAAGGGCGTTTAAGCAGGCAGTTTGTTGCTACTTGCAAAAAAATAGCAAAGCCAGGAACTCCCGGCTCTAGTAGGTCAAAATTATTAAAATTTCAAATCTCCTTGGTATTGTTCTAAACATATGTTTCCCCTTTGTCCCCCCCTCCCATGCACAGGGAATACATTCTCTCCTGAACAGGTGAGTGAACCAAAAAGAAAAGAGTAATTTCTTATTCCTAAAGAACCCCACCCCCCATTTTTATTTTAGTTATTAACATCTACTTGTATGTGTGTGATTGTTTTCCCTCCCACCTGGCTAAGGGTGAAGCAACAACAAGCCACACCAACGTTTCCACTTATGCGCCCCATACTACAGACCCTTGGGCAGTTCAAGGGGCCTCTACAGTGTGCTGCTTGGAGGGAAATGAAATCTGCACTCAGCATAGGTAAAGGTGATGTTTGGGAGAACTCAAAAAGCGTCCTTGTTGCCTTTTCTGAGTGCACTGCATGAACAAATCTTGACTCAGACTGATTGTATTCCTTCTCCACTGGGACTTCTTCTTCTTCTTCTTCTTCTTCTTCTCCTCCTCCTTCTTCTCCTCCTCTCGTAGCTGATTAAGATGGTCTTCCATGAACACAGTCTTAACAGTGGGTCCGTAAGTGACTGTGGAGGCCAATTCTGGATCCACATGTCCTTCCACAGTGGAGACATAGGTTTCAGGATGGGAGTTGATCATGGTGAGGGTTTTGCCAAGCGTGCCTTCATCTTAGCACGTTTCTCCCTTTCATCCTGAGTTCAAGCGTCTTCAGAGCCCATGACGTATTTGGTAAAGGCTGTTCTCTAATTGGAGCACTCGCAGGCCAGTGTTTCCCAGTTGTCGGTGTTTATACTACAATTTTTTATTTTATTTTTTGCCTTGAGAGTATTTGAACCTCTTTTGTTGACCACTGGCATTACGCTTTCCATTTTTAAGTTCAGAATAGAGTAGTTGCTTTGGAAGGCGATAATCGGGCATCTGTACAACAGGACCAGTCCAATGAAGTTGATGTTGAAGAATCATTGCTTTGACACTGGTGATATACAGTACAGTGGTACCTCGGGTTACAGACGCTTCGGGTTACAGACGCTTCAGGTTACAGACTCTGCTAACCAAGAAATAGTACCTCAGGTTAAGAACTTTGCTTCAGGATGAGAACAGAAATCATGCTGCGGTGGCACAGCGGCAGCAGGAGGCCCCATTAGCTAAAGTGGTACCTCAGGTTAAGAACAGTTTCAGGTTAAGAACGGACCTCTGGAACGAATTAAGTACTTAACCCGAGGTACCACTGTATTTACTTCTTTCATTACACTGGCATTAGTTCCCTTGAGTAGGGCAGACCCTCCCAGCAGTGGATTGCTAGCCAGTTCCTAGTGTGGGACACATGGCGGCTGCTGCTGGTTCCTGACAATAGTAAAAACAGGAAGCTCCTTTTTACCATGGGTCAATCTAGCTCAGTATTGTGCAATGTCTACACCAGGGGAGGGGAACCTGTGGCCCACCTGACGTTGCCAAACTACAGCTCTCGCCATCCCTGTGCCTTGGTCATGCTCACTGGGGCTGGGCAGTTGTAGTTCAGCAACATCTGGAAGGAACCCCAGGTTTCTTACCCCTGGTCTACACTGACAGGCAGTGTCTTTCCAAGGGTTCAGGCAGGGATTTTTCTTTCCCTTTGTATTTGAGGATGCCAGGAATTGAATGTGGTACAGTCGTACCTCATATTACGTTTGCTTCAGGTTGTGCATTTTCAGGTTGCGTCCTGTGGCGACCCGGAAGTACCGGAAAGGGTTACTTCCGGGTTTCGCTGCTCACGCATGCACAGATGCACGCGCAGGTGCGGGTTGCGTTCTTATCAGGTTGCGAACGGGCCTCTGGAATGGATCCCGTTCGCAACTAGAGGTATCACTGTATTTATTTATTTTTTGCACACCAAACCTCTGCCCCACCGCTGACCGCTTCCCAAAGGATTTTTGCAGAGGTGCTGGACTACGTGGGCTTTTTGATCTTGCGAGGCACTCATCTTGTGTTCTAAACAAGAGATTGACGCAGATTAGTTCTGCTTAACAGTTAAGAGCTCTTGAGTACCTATGTATTTACTGTTCAACCCACCTGTAGCAGCTGGCACCTGTGGGCTCGCTCAGCTTGGCTGGGGATTCTGTGGGTCATGCAGAAGGTGAGAGGGAATGACTAAGAGAGCTCTGCGGTGAGTCAAGGAGCAGTGAAAGGACACCCAGGTGTTGATGCTGAGAAAACAGATAATGAAGGAATCTGCATTCAACAGGATCTTTGTGATTAGGCGATGACCTGACCTAGGAAGAGCTATGTATACCAAGCCAATTAAAAGATCAGGCCAGGAGCTAATAAGGCTCAGGGATGACCTAACAGAACGGCAGAGGAAAAAGATGAGTCAATTACAGATCATGAATAATGGATTTATGATTTATGTTAAGGCCAGGGACAGGACACCCACCTGCCACCATCCCCGTCTAGCTCCATCTAGCAGATTTGGAATGAAATGTCTCAACAACAGATGTTTTAAATTACTTTCCTTTGACCCCCAAGTGCTTGGAAAAATCTGTCAAAATCTTCGGTCATTTGAAAACTAGGAAGTGGAATAAAAAATTAACACCAGGGAGTTATAAAGTACTTTTTGCAAATTTACAAAGAACAAAACAACGTTTCCTGCTTGGCAGGGGGTTGGACTCGATGGCCCTTGTGGTCTCTTCCAACTCTATGATTCTATGATTCTATGATTCTAAAACAAGCTTTCTTGGATTTGCTGAAAACCCTTTCAGCACTTCCTTCTCGAATTCCTCCTCTTTTCCAGGGATAAATTCTACTTTTAGTTGAGTATTTTTGTGCATTTACTTGATTGAGGGGGGCAGTTCCCCCTGGTTATGCTCACGGGGAATGCATGTTGACCTCTTAACTCACTGAATCCAGTGATTTTGGGTGTGCCGTTTGTATTAGTGCTGGCTCACGAAACGTCTAGTATTTAGAGCAGGGCTGGGGAATGTGTTGCCTAACTATGACTCTTGTCATCTCAGACTATTAAGTTTATACCTTCCTTATACATTAAGCCAGGCATCCCCAACCTTCGGCCCTCCAGATGTTTTGGACTCCAATCCCCTTCATCCCTGACCACTGGTCCTGTTAGCTAGGGATCTCCCCCTTTTATTTTCCTTTCTACACAGGTTCTGTTTCTATTTTTCTTTCTTCTTCTCTTTTATTTATGTCTCATCATGTTTAGTGCACATATAATTACCGTATTTTTCGCTCTATAAGACGCACCAGACCACAAGACGCACCTAATTTTTGGAGGAGGAAAACAAGAAAAAAAATATTCTGAATCTCAGAAGCCAGAACAACAAGAGGGATCGCTGCACAGCGAAAGCAGAAATCCCTCTTGCTGTTCTGTCTTCTGGGATAGCTGCGAGCCTGCATTCACTCCATAAGACACACAAACATTTCCCCTAACTTTTTAGGAGGGAAAAAGTGAGTCTTATAGAGCAAAAAATACGGTATATACTTTTTAAACTTTCTATAAAGATGTTTATAAAATAAATATCATCATCATCATCATCAGGCTATGAAATGCAAGGACAACTTGATTTTAAAATTTGCTCTCTCCCTCTCTCCCCCCCACCCGCCATTTTGCAGACTTCCCCCGGATAACCCTGGACCCTGAAACAGCACACCCGTGTCTTGTCCTATCAGATGACTACACTTGTGTCCGGGACGGAAACCTGCGCCAGGAAGTCCCAGACACACCCATGCGGTTCAACTACTGTGTAGCTGTGTTGGGTTGCCAGAGTTTCTCCTCGGGGAAGCACTATTGGGAAGTGGAAGTTGGCAACAAGCTCTCTTGGACCTTAGGCCTGGTTAGCGTTTCTATCAACCGCAAAGGCAAAATCGCTGCCTCCCCTGGTAGTGGATACTGGGTAATCCGGCTGCGAAATGGCATGGAGCTCATGGCCAAGGACGACCCGCCTCAAAGGCTGTGCCCCACATCCTTCCCCAAGACAGTTGGGGTTTATCTGGACTATAATGGGGGCCTGGTGTCTTTCTGTGATGCTTCTACCATGGCCCACCTTTACACTTTTGCGAGTTCTAGGTTCAAAGGGAGGTTGTGCCCCTATTTTTGCCCTGGGCTGTACAATTCAGGGAAAAATGCAACCCCCTTAAAAATATGCCACCTTCCACTATGGTAGAGGAAAAAGAACATCTCCTGTTCTGTTTTTCTTTTCTCAACTCACACCTGCTTCTGCAAGGACGATGCCCTGGACATATCGTAAGCAGATGGTTCTTTAAACTCCCATCGTACAAATAATATTATTGTATTTATTTTAAAGGGAAAACTCCTCCCAAGGCAATTAAAATGCACACAGTGCAACAATAAAATAATTCAAAGCCCAAACACCAAAATAAACCCCAAAACATGCCACAGCTATAACAAGACCATAACCAACTCAAGAAAAAGCAGACAAGAACAGATGGATCTACAAGGCATTCCTAGAGAATCTCCTTCAGTGAAAATAGTAGTGTTTCTTATTTATTCGTCCACAGAAAAGGGTAGGCCCCTGGAGATTGCTGCTATGTTTAAAGAGCTACTCGGGAAAACCCAATATAGGTAAAGACTGCAGTAAAATAGAGGTTTATCCCCCAACTATCAGTGCAGTTGGTAGTGGGGACTGTCACAAAGTCCATTTGAAAGAGGCACAAGAACAAAGTTTGGAGTGGGATCATGGAGGAGAAGGCGTCTTTCCCCTGAACTGTGCCCGCCACCTCTAAGGAGCAACGTGATTTTAAAACTGTACTTCTCAGACTTCATGAACTTGTGATTTGAACCCCCCTCCCCAACCCATCTCTTAGCAAGGAAGCGCATAGACACCTCAGCAAAGGCAGTATAGATGAATGTGGCACCTGCTCTTTGTGTAGGGATGTGTGGATTGAGGTAACCCAACACACTGGCATTAGGAAAGGACCAGAATAGGCAAGCTTGGCTCTGGGTGTGTATCGTCCCAGGCAATTTGCCCTCCAGTGGCCTCTTCTAGGAAACTTACCCAGTTGTTGGGGTTCTTGGGCCCCAGCAGCTTCTGAGGGATTCCATGAACTGGCCTTAGACTTTAAGCTGCAGTGTATTCTAAGTGCTTAATAAACTTTTGCTCTATGTAAAAGTGTCTTAGGACTGAAATCCTGTTTTGAGGCATGTGGGGGGTCTATGCAGATACAAGTGTGTTATGATGGTTGGTCTGGGGATCAGATAGGGCATATTCACTCATGTTTTGCAAATGGCTCCCCAACTGGATTTCCCTTTTTGTGCAAGATGACTGCAAATTTCCCTGGGTAGATCCAGTGGGTTTTTTCTGGGGGGGGGGGACACAGGGGGATGCATACCCCTAAACATTTTGTGAAATTTTGTACTTTTGTCCATTTACTGTATTTATTTCCCCCAAATTGAACCCCAAAACGGTGATTTTCTTGAGTCAAAATAAGAGTACCCCTAAACATTTTTTAAAGAAAAAAAGCACTGGGTAGATCCATCTGTAACATCTCTTGCCGCAGCATCCTTTGGATGAGAGAGCACTGGAGACTTATGATGCTACAGTATTTTTGCTTTAATATATGAGCCAAGCATATTGGAAGAAAGGAACCTTCGGCAGAATGCTGGTCTCCAGAGTACACCTAGGGCAGCTGGAGGAAGGCTGCCATCTCAGTTCCAGCAATAAAACACCACAAACTCTCTGTCTCTCCTTCTGTCCCTTCTACCTGCTGTCTTTCACGTACATGTCTGCCAAGAAAGTGAATTGCTCAGTATGCAGTCTGAGCTCCCTTCCAGATGTTGTTTTTATTGAGCGATCGTCATGATTTGTGCTCAATATGCTGTTGGTTATGCATGACCATGCTTTTAATACCATTTGCACCTGCAAGTTTTGAGCCAGTCCTACTGCTTAGTTTAAAATATTATATTTCTTCATACCACAAATATTTCAGGGTGTTGTGTATGTTGTTTTTTGTGTGTCCTGCTATAACGCAAGAAATGTGGTCACACGGAGGAAGCATTGCAGAACAGCTAATAACATGGAATGATTTAGAGGTGGTGAAGTATAAATTCACCACTAATGCGCTGTGATTGCGGTTGTGACTTATGCCCCATCTGCACAATACATTTAAAGCGGTATCATACCGCTTTAAACAGTCCTAGCTTAAGAATCCTGGAAACTGCTGCTGTCTTTATCTTTTGAATGTCTGTGGAGCTGGATGTGCTTATGTAGTGACAATGGGCAGAAAGGCGCTCTCGTCTTCGTTACTGCTCACTTTTTACACACTCCCAATACTGAGCTCTGGACTGAATCACAACAATTGTTTGGGTTGTTTTAATTGCAAGACTCCTGCACTATTAAAAACTCATGAAAGGCAGAGATTTGGATAGCTTGGGTTTCTTTAATCAACTTATTTTCTGAATGTCTACCCAGCAAGCGTTCAGCACAGATGCTGTCTCAGGGCGCTCAGCAACAAGATTAAAAACTTGCAAACTAACCTCCCCATCACCTGTTGAATCCTTGCATGAAATGCATCTGCTAAATGCATCACACCTCTGTCAGGAAGAAACAAACGAGACAGACAGGCAGGCAGGCAGACAAACAAACAAACAAACAAACAAACAAACTGTGGCCTGAATCCTGGTGCAAATGTAGCCCCCTTCTGGAGGAATGGTCAGTCCCCGTTTTAAATCCGAAATGCAATCTGGGGCAGGAAGAGTTAAAGGAATCATAGAGGAACTGATTTTTGTTGCTGCCAGATTTCTCCCCAGCGAGGAATTTGGGGGAAGGTAATCAGAGATGGACTTCTTCCTGTTTCAAGCTCAATTTCGCCCCCTCCCCTTCCCACCTAGGGACACATAAGAGGTTTGGGGGCTCAGAGGGAAGATTCCTCAATCAACAAAGGAGAGCGATCTGCAGCCGCACTCGGGGGGCGCGTTGGGTGAGTCAGAGGCGCAAAAATAATTGCAGGGGGGAAAGGCAGAGGGCAAAAGTTTCGTATAAGGGGAGGGGGACCGAATGCTTTGAAGAAATCAGAGATCTGGTTCATTTTCTCTTGGAGTTTTCTCCTTTTTTTGTAATTACAATGGATTTCTGATTTCATCGTTCCTTTTCAATCCCGTCCTTTCTTTTATTCCTCATCTAATGTTACTAAGGAAAGTGTCAACCCTGCACGTTTTCTACAGAAAACACCTGCATTTCCCACAGGGAAAACATAATATGTGGACGTTATGTCTGTATGCACATGTATCTTTATATAAACACCTGCTGGAAGAGACTCTGGCTCCCATCCTCTTCCCCAAATAGGCACACATGGGCAATTAAAGGTTTTGTGGGCACTTGTACATTTTGTCCATGTTTTCGCCGCAGGAAAGGTCTTCTCCCATTCTGGATTCTGCATGCTGCAGGTTGTGTTCTGTCTCTCAAAATTCCTTTTGCCACATGTTGTCATAGGTTCAATTTAGGGTGATCAAAGAGTGGGTTTCTTTTATTTTTTAAAATAATAAAATTCCCCTGCCCCCCCCCACCTCTGCCAATCTGTGAACGGCATGAATTCTTCAAATAATTCCAAATTCATGCTAGCAATTGTAGGATACAGAGGTTGAGCATCTGTAGTGACTGTGGTGTGATTACCATGTGCTTTTGAGGTGTGAAGATTCTGTGAGCATAGAGGAGAACGATCTCTTTTCCATTAACCCTGTTTTCCATCTGCACGGAGAACCAAAGTTCACTGTGAGATTGCCTTTCTATATATGGTAGGAATATGCCATGCGGATCCATTGACCTGTATAGCTGTGAGTGACAGATGCAGTGAGATTAAGCAAGGAGGGCATTGCAATCTGGTAGAAACAATAGAAGCCGTTTCTGGTGAATTGTAACTTTTGCAGTTACAACATCCAAGGACTGGGTGAGGTTTATAACGCTTCTGCTTCCCCTGCAATCTGCCACTGCAGCCAGAGGCTGTGAGAGATGTCAGCAGCCTAGTGAGGGAGTCCTGGCCTATGAGGAACTATTCTCTGATTCCTTCGCCATCCATTTCCAGGTCAGGAGATTCAACAAATTCAGCAGCAGAGTAGCACTAGAAACATTTGAGAGCCAGGGGACTCTTATATGTAGTATACACAGTTCTTATGCTTTGTTTGAAGACGTATTTCAAGACGTATTTCAAGATGTATTTCAAACAAGTACTAAAATAAGAAATCTGCTATATAAGAAATGCTAAAAATAATAGAATCATAGAACTGGAAGGAACCCTGAGGGTCATCTAGTCCAATCCCCTGCAATGCGGTAATCTTTTACCCAACATGGGGCTCGAACCCACAACCCTGAGATTCGCAGTCTCATGCTCTACCAACTGAACTATCCCAGCTTCTTTTTTAAAACAATGTGAGTGATTGAAATAATTTATTTCTATTTATACCACATTTCTGTCTCCTTTTTTCAGTCTGCAGTGATGGGATGTTTGGGTCCCCTCCCCCACACCATGGGAAGTGAGCTCTAGACAACTGGAGCCACCACCAAGAAAGCCCTGCCCCAGATTTGGACCCACAGAGAAAAGACCATAAACTGTGCTTCTGAGCCAGATCTGTGACCAACTGCAAAGTTCTATTAATATTTCAGAGGTGGGAAACCTGTGGTGGCTCTCTGGAGTCTAGGGCTGATGTCAGTTGTGGTCCTGCAACACCTGGAATGCCACAGGTTCCCCCATCCCTGATGTATATCTTTATCTGAAAGAGCAAGTTTTCCTCTGGGTCACCTTGGTACAGGAATTGAGCTGCTTGGTGCAGAATTTGCACACTAACCCTGCTCATTTACCAAGGCAAGAATGTGAGCTTAGTTTTTTGATTCCTTTCATTCTCGTTGCCTGCAGACCATGTGTGAGGGATATGCTGCTCCTTTAATGAAAGAAGAAAATGGCCACCCCGATTCCAGATTCCAGGAGATCTTCAGTGGTACCTTGTGCCTGTCTCTCAGTGAGGTGCATCAGTGCGATGAGGAACGTCATCCTACAGTTGTGACTGCACACCATTCCCAGCAACGTGGGCGTTTCAGTCAATATGTACGGGAGATGCTATGAGGGTAGTTGCTGTGCTGAGAGCAAACACCTTATTGATGGTTTGGAAGGTGGTGGGGATACCCGATACCTAGCTGGGTTACAAAATGTACCCAAACAAGACGTCCGTAGCAGGTGTCGTGATGGCTTGGATGCTGAAGGAGAACAGAGATCCCACCCAGAGTTGGACGTTGATGAGTTCAAGAAAATAATCAAGTTGCACTCAAACACAGAATGTAAGCAAACTTGTGGCAGCAACTGGAATGATCCTCCACAAGCCAATGGGGATTTAGATGGGGCGAATGATTTGCATGTCTATCTAGATGAGGAGGGTGCCCAGAATTTGTCTTCTGATGTGGACGGTGACATTAACCAAGATACGGGTAGAAGCCCTAATCAAGCTTTCCACACAGATGTGGAAGGAACCCGAAGTGTCTCTCCAGAGGTGGAGGGGGAAGCAGATGGAGATTCCGCCGAGGACTTTGTTTCTGATGTGGACGATGGAGAGGACAGTGTTCTCTGCTTGGATGTCAGCGATGGTGACCGAGACTTCAACATTAGCACCAGTCAACGGGACGTCAACCGCGAATCGTCCCTCACGGCCACCTCGCCCGTTTCTCCTTCTGCGCCTGACAAACCGTACAGGTGCCCCGAATGTGGGAAATGCTTTGGCACCAGCTCCATCTTGGGCCAGCACCGCCGTATCCACAGCGGAGAGAAGCCCTACAAGTGCGCCGCCTGCGGCAAATGCTTCACCCGGGGCTCGACCTTCCTCCAGCACCAGCGGACGCACACGGGCGAGAAACCATACAAATGCCCCGATTGCGGCAGGTGCTTCGGCCGGAGCTCCAACCTCATTCAGCACCAGCGGGTCCACACGGGGGAGAGACCCTACAACTGCGGCACCTGCGGAAAGTCCTTTTCCCTCAGCTCCACCCTTATCCAGCATCAGATCATCCACACGGGAGAGAAACCGTACAAATGCCCCGATTGTGGCAAGTGCTTCAACCGCAACTCCAACTTGCTGAACCACCGGCGGGTGCACACCGGAGAGCGCCCCTTCGCCTGCCGCGCCTGCGGCAAGACGTTTTCCGAGAGCTCCTCCCTCACCCAGCACCAGCGGACCCACACCGGGGAGCGCCCTTTCCGGTGCAAGGAATGTGGCAAGTCCTTTTCGCTCAGCTCCACTCTGATCCAGCACTACGTCACCCACACCGGGGAGAAGCCTTATGAGTGCATGGACTGCGGCAAGTCCTTTGGCCTCAGCTCCACCCTGCTGCGCCACCAGAGGGTCCACACCGGAGAAAAGCCCTTCGAGTGCCAGGACTGCGGGAAGACCTTCGGCGTCAGTTCGCACTTCTTGCAGCACCGCCGAGTCCACACGGGTGAACGCCCCTTCCGCTGCCCAGATTGCGGGCGCACCTTTAGCCAGAGGGCACATTTGGCACTGCATCAAAAGACCCACCAAAATGGGGCGGCCCCGCAGCTCCGCCACCAAACCCTCTACATCTGCAGCGACTGTGGGAAGAGCTTCCGGCAGAGCTCGCACTTGGCGCAACACCAGAGGGTCCACACCGGCGAGAGGCCGTACCGATGCGAGGACTGTGGGCACGGCTTCTCCCAGAGTTCGAAGCTGCTGGAGCACCAGCGGGTCCACACTGGCGAGAGGCCGTACGCTTGCAAGGATTGTGGGCGCCGTTTCGGGCACAGCTCGGCGCTGTCGCAGCACCGGCGCATCCACACCGGCGAGAGGCCGTACCAGTGCCCACGCTGCGAGAAGGCTTTCTGCCAGAGCTCGGCTCTCATGCAACACCAGCGTATCCACACCGGGGAATTGCCGTACGCGTGCCAGGAATGCGGGAAGCGCTTCCGATACCTCCTGCAGTACACGCGGCACCAAAAGGCGCATTTCAGGGGAGGGGCCTCAGCTGCTGGTCTTGCAGGAGAAGCAGCTACATTAGCAAAGAAGAACAAGTTGGTACCTTCAGCAGGGGATGAGACTTGAATGGCGAATGGTTCTTTCACAGTGGAACATGGAGTATGACTAATTTGGCATGAGGCTGAGTGGAATAGCAGAGGCTTATAAGGTGGAGGGAATTCTGAGGAAATGATGGTGGGCAAAAATGGTACTTAGGTCCTGTAGCATCATAATGCTGCTTTGGAGAATGGTGTGGCAGAGGGAGTGGGGCAGCTGTTTCATAAGTGGCGTGGCCATTTTGAATTATAGAAGGTGTGGATACGGAAATTAGGGTCAGAAGAAAGCAGGCTCATGTAGTAGAGCAAACATTTTCAGCAGGGGGCTGGCCCACTGTCCCTCAGACCTTGTGAGGGGCCAGACTATATTTTGAAAAAAAAGAAGAACGAATTCCCATGCCCCACAAATAACCCAGAGATGCATTTTAAATAAAAGGACACATTCTACTCATGTAAAAACATGCTGATTCCTGGACCGTCCTAGGGCTGGATTTAGAAGGCGATTGGGCCCTGGGCCTTAGTTTGCCTACCCATGGTGTAGAGGAAAAGGAAAATCCTGTGTGAGGGACATTTTAAATAGGTGGAAAGTTGAAGACAAAAATATTCTCCTCATAACCTCTTGTATGTTTGTCTTCAGGGAACATCTTTTTTCCTCAGAAATGCTCCCTAATATTAACATGTGTGTACAAGAGGCAGAAGAGGAAATGTTCCTCTTTGGAGGCACTCTTCCCTCCAATAATCCTGTCATTTTTACTGTCACTGATTTCTTCATTGCCCTTCTAGAGCACTTCCATCTATAAGTAGGACATGACATCTCCAATTAATTCCTGTTCCAAGATATAAAACCTCCGATTTATTTATTTTTAATCAACTTAGGGGGAAATCGCTGAGGAAAATGGAAAACTGCTGCAGTAGTTCGTGGCATTCAGAGCTAAATGTAAAATGTAAATGTAAAAATACATAGGTCCCGCTATCCAAATACTCATTTGAAAATTCACTTATCCCAAAATGAGGAATTTGTACCCAAACTCGTCATACACACTGCAGATTCAGGTAGCCAAACAGCCAGACCTGTGTGCAGAACAAAGTTGCCTTAAACGAGTCTTACTTTTTTTGTGTTTTGCTGGTCCGTGGTTGTTTTGCCAGAAACCATGGTGGCAGGGGAGAAAAAAAGGGGGAGAAATCAGACAAATATTTGCCTTTTGTAGGATTTCAGAGGGTTTTCCTGTTTTTTTCTTTTTGTTCTTTTGTAATTTTGAACTCTTAAGTTCCACGGTTGGGAACACATTAGAAATTTCCCCATAGGAATCAATGGAAATTATTGACTCGTTATGCAAATACTCACCTAACGAATAATTTCCTGAGAATGCATTGTATTCGGATAGTGGGACCTGTGTAGACCTCTAGAATGATTAATACATTATGTCTAATTCGGTTGGCACACATATAATACTATTTTATACAGTTAGGAGAGAAGCAAGAGTACATTTTAAACAGTTCTAGTACTGTTGATTAATTTCCCTACATTGAGTTCTACCAACTTAGAACCCAGAATAAACCCATTGAAATTAATGGACCTAATCATGCCCATTAATTTCTTTGGGTCTACTCTGGGAATAACTAATAATTGGATACAACCCAACAGTTCCTGTCAAATTAAATTTAGTTGTTAAAGACAGCTTGATCCTGGGGAGATTTTGGTGGGCTTATTGATTTCATTTGGGCCTGGTGCAGCTAATTTCTGTATAGCAGTGGCTCCCTGTTGGTGGCCTGCAGACCCCAGGGGGTCCACGAAGCCCACCCAAGGGGTCCGTGGCACCATTCACGTAACAAAAACTACCATGGAAATATCAAAAATTTCAAAAGTAGGAGGTCTGTGGCTTTGCTTTTGAAAAACAGGGGTTCTGCGGTACTTAGCTAATTGTCAATCCCTGCCGTATCAGGCTGCATGGTTGATCTTAGCCGTGTTCTCTTCTGAATAAATATGTACGCTATTCAGCTACATGTCTCTCTGGAACTGAATGGAGCTTACCTCACATTCAAACCACACACTTAAAATGTTCTGATGCCACTTTAAGCAGCCATGGCTTCCCCCAAAGAATGCTGGGAGCTGTAGTTCATTAAGCGTCCTGAAAGTTGCTAGGTTGCCTCCCGTTCCCCTCCCCACTACACCAGTGTGGTGTAGTGGTTAAGAGCGGTAGTCTTGTAATCTGGGGAACTGGGTTCGTGTCTCCGCTCCTCCACATGCAGCTGCTGGGTGACCTTGGGCCAGTCACACTTCTCTGAAGTCTCTCAGCCCCACTCACCTCACAGAGTGTTTGTTGTGGGGGAGGAAGGGAAAGGAGAATGTTAGCCGCTTTGAGACTCCTGAAGGGGAGTGAAAGGCGGGATATCAAATCCAAAACTCTTCCTTTAGCAATCAAACCCTCTTCAAGGGATCTCTGGAAATTGTAGCTCTGTGAGGGGAATAGGGGGTTCCCTAACAACGTTTGACACCTGTAACACACAGCAGCTCCCAGAATTCTTTGGGGGAACCCGCAACTGTTTAAAGCAGCATTACAGTGCTTGAAATGTGTTGTGCGAATGCGGTCTGAGTAGACATGAATAGGATTGGCCTGCACATTCAATGGGACGCATATGCTACGTAACCCTTAATCCATGGCATTGATTTTAGTAGAATTTCCACTGCAATCCTCTAAATGTCATTCAGAAGTAAATCCCATTGAGTTCAGTATCCTATACTCCCAGATTTGCGGGGAAGCCTAGTAACTGGATTTGGGCCAATATGTACTGTGGACTCAGTACATATATTTTAAGGACATACTGGTAATCACTCCAGTGATTTCTTTTGTTTGAAATGCTGGCATAAATGATATGTTGTTTTTTTAGTTGCAATTGGTTCTTGGAAGAGTTTCAACTACTGATCTTCAGCTTTCCAAAGGTAATTACATTTAATTGCTGCCTTCTAAACATTCTTTCACCCTTCACTTTTAGGAGGGAAAAATCCCAAGCACTAGTCTCTGAATTTTTCGCTTTAGTTATTTTATTCTCTGCCAAATAGTTGCTTTCTGGCAAGCAAATCTTCCACATGCCCTGCACCTGCTAAAACTACCCCTGTGCCCACCTCCTCTTGCCAAAGAGATAAACATAATTGTTTCTGGTTGAGAAGAGGGCCCTTGTTCTTCACTCTGCCCTTGAGGCGAAGACAAAACGTTGTGAGGAAGCATTGTTCTTTACTTCCAGCTTTGTCCCGAGGACATACACCAGGAGGAAAGGGAACCTCTGAGAGAATAGGCTTTTAAGAGAAAGGCTGGCATTCTTGATTCCTTCCCCAAGTCTGAGAAAGGCAGTGAATCCTACTAGTTAGAGTGGGGGGGGGCACGTTTGGAAATCTAAGAAACTGTTGCGGGTTTCACAAAATGCCCATTTCACAGAAGAAGAATCAGCAATCCTCATAATGATATCCCCTCCAGAAAAAAGGTAGAACACCCGCACACATCTGCAAACAAATAAAACACAAAAGCAGGCGACGCTCTGCAAAACGCAACAACTTCCAACAAACCAAATCACAAGAAAAAATAAAATCATTGAGAACTGGGAGCGGCTGGGAGCAGCAAGGGTGTTGCTCCATGTTGGGAACTGCAGAGTTAGCCTGATTCTCCTGTGTTTTGTCACTGGTTCCAGAACAGGGAACCGAGAGCCAACTGGGTTAGAGAGGGCAGCCCTCTGAGCCTGTCAATGCCTCACTTTCTCTCAGAGAGGTAGAAATTAGCTTTTCAATATGCTGGGTAAGGTAGGTGGGCAGCCCTTTCTAGAGGAAAACACCTCTCTTGTGAACAGCAGGAGAGCTAGAGCAGCTGAAACACGCCTTCACAGATTCTTGAGCAATCAAGCTGTTTTCAAGATGTTGATGCGAAAACCCTGAGAAGGAACAGAATGGACGTCTGCTTCCTGTTCCCCAGGGATGAGAGACATCCCTCGATTAAGAATGTAGCATAACTGAGTTATCTCATTCACCAGTTTGTGCCTCTTTCACTTGCTTGTAATAAAGACTTATGGGCACACCTGGGTGTACATCTCTTATTTACTGAACTTCAGGATTGCCGTCTCTGCACGGTTTGAGTCTTGGGGCTCTCCTATTCCATAAACTTTGGGTCTGTTCTCCACTGTTACATACAGTGCAAGGTTTCTCTGGAGTTATCTGCCCTCCCTCAGACAGGTATTTCCATGAATTCATAATGGGTAGCCCTTCAGATTTTGTGGACTACAGCTCCCATCATTCCTGACCATTAGCCACGCAGCTTGTGGCTGATGGGCGTTGGAGTTCAACATCTGGAGGGCACCATGTTGGCTACCCCTATATGAACATGCAGAAAGGGTTTTCTTCACAGGGACCAACACGTCTTTCCATGCTTCGTTGTTCTTAATTATATGCAATTAGATTTTAATCTAATTAAATAACAAACCTAGACAGCATCTTAAAAAGTAGAGACATCACCTTGCCAACAAAGGTCCGTATAGTAAAAGCTTTGGTTTTCCCAGTAGTGATGTATGGAAGTGAGAGCTGGACCATAAAGAAGGCTGATCGCCGAAGAACTGATGCTTTTGAATTATGGTGCTGGAGGAGACTCTTGAGAGTCCCATGGACTGCAAGAAGATCAAATGTATCCATTCTTAAGGAAATCAGCCCTGAGTGCTCACTGGAAGGACAGATAGTGAAGCTGAGGCTCCAATACTTTGGCCACCTCATGAGAAGAGAAGACTCCCTGGAAAAGACCCTGATGTTGGGAAAGATGGAGGGCACAAGGAGAAGGGGACGACAGAGGACGAGATGGTTGGATAGTGTTCTTGAAGCTACCAGCATGAGTTTGGCCAAACTGCGGGAGGCAGTGGAGGGCAGAAGTGCCTGGCGTGCTCTGGTCCATGGGGTCACGAAGAGTCGGACACGAATAAACGACTAAACAACAACAAAGATTTTAATAATCAGCCGAGATGTATGCATGCATACCTTCAGCTAGGATGCAGGTACAAAAGCAATACTGATGAAGGGACTGATGAAGTCTGATGAAGGGACGTCCTAAGGAAAAGCTGGACATTCCAGGATCAAATCAGAAACTGGGACGGCTTCTGTGAATCCTGGACTGTCCCCATATACCTAAAAGCCCACCTTCTTGGTGGTTCTGCCACCCTCAGAAGCTCAGGCTGGTGGGCCTGGAGAGGGCCTTCTCTGTGGCAGCCCCTAAGTTGTGGAACTCCCTCTCCACAGAGGTGCAGCTATCTGGCAACTTCTTTATACAGTTCAAGGCGAATGCTGAAGATGCATCTCTTTACCCTGGCCTTTGATACATGAAGTGTATATTTTCAGGTCCCACCCTATGTTATGTGGTTGTATTTTTTTAATAATAAGTCTTTAAGTTGCTGTTAATGTTGTGTTTTAACCCCCCGAGAGACCTGAGGACGAAGGGTGGGTAAGAAATTAAAATTATAATTAATAGCAGTAGCCATAACACAGTAAACTAAACAGATGTAACAAGAATAAAATGGTCAAATTAAAATATGATTAGAACACACAGGACCAACAATAGCAGATTAATGGCAATATCATCACCCAACTCCAGGAGGTTAATCATAATCATCTTAAGAAATTTATTACTTATACCCCACCCATTTGGGTTGCCCCAGCCACTCTGGGCAGGCTTCCAACAGAATATAAAAACACAATGAAACACCAGACATTAAAATCTTCCCAAATCTTGGGGGCAACTGCAATAAAGACCCTGCTTAGCACACGTGACATCTTCATTTTGCACATGGAACAGGGCGAAGGGATGTTCAAAGGAAATCTGTGGATTTTGTCTTTTGGTCTGGGAAATCCCGGCTGTCATCGCTTTCCTTAAATCAACCTGCCTGACTACAGTGAGCAAACAAGGCTGCCTACCGGCTAATTAAACAATTTAAACACACTCAAGGAGCGCTTGTGTTGGTCTGATTGCTTGATTAAAAAATAATTTCTTCATTAGCCTGGGGAAACACCGTGCTAATTCCAAGAACCACAAACTGCTTCCACACCCTTAGGACTCTCTCTCTCTGGTAGTGGGCAGTTTCAACCTCTTGCCCTTTCCCACAATAGGGCTACCACCTCACCCTCCCAAATTCCCCATGGCAGCCAGAAATCCAACAGGAGCAGCTTTCTCCCACCAGATGGGAAAGAAGGACCACAAATTAAATATTTCGCCCCAGGAGGTATTAAAGCTTTGTAAACGAGTCCTTTGCATCTGTAAAAAGAAGAAGAGAGAAATATGCACAACTCACAGACTTAACACATAGAATAAGAGAACCAGAAGAACATACGTTCAAAGAAGATTGGATAACGTTTATTGAATATATGGGAAATAATTGTGTATAGCTGAAAACGCTGGCAGCATTAAGATAAATTCAGCAGTGTAAATCAGTTTTGATGGATACAATAATGGAATACTGAATGGTATATTTTTTGTAAAATACGCAGGGATTTATGATATGTAGAATGAACCATGGAAAGAGAAGAAGGGAAGTCATTGATGTCTTAAGGAAAATGAGTATCTTAAATTGTAAATCAGAAAACTTAGTAAAATTTATATACAAAAAAGAGGAAGGGAGTTGGGGCATTTTGGCTCCCGGTGCTTATTGCTCTGGACCGCTTTGCAGAGGAGCGCCGAGCTGATCTGGGAATCCTGGTTCCCCAAATCCACTGCGCTCCTTGGAAATCGAATGCGCCCACGAGGGCGCAATGCGCCTTCCCGGAGCTGCAGCCAAGCAATTCCTCCCTGAGCCTGTTCCGTCCCAGAAAGCAAGCCAGGAGCCCCGGCCCCGGCCAGCTGCCTCTTTAAATGGAAATGGTTAACCACCATAGAGAATGCCTCCTCTTTCTCCTTTCCATTCCCTGCCTGCAAGCAGCGGAAGAGGGGGACAGTGCAGAGGAGGGAACTTCCTCTGACTCGCTCCCTCCCAGTCACCCTGAGCCCTGGTGGCTGGTGAGCGGAGACAGGGTTACTGCAGTGCACAGGGAGTTCGGGGCGGGGGGCTCCCCTGGCCTTATGGGGAGGGGGGGTCCCCGTGGGGGGCAAGATCTCCCCAGAGCTGCAGACCTCTGAGGCAGCGGCAGTTGCGATGGTGAGTTTTAGGGTGTCTTGCAAGAGCTGGGAAATGGGTGCATTTCTATTTTTTAATTTTTTATTTTGCAAACAAAAGAGACGGGGGTTGGCGTTGGCGGTTGTGTGGACAGGCCAAATGCAAGGATTTTGCTTTTGTTTTTGCAAAGGATCAAAACATAGGTCATTATTTAGTGGGCTGGCACCGGGAGATCGGCAGCGTTGTACTTCAGATCACTTCGATCTCCTTGTCGTAGCCTGGGGAGGGGAGTTAGCGACGCGATCCGAGCCCTCGGGTTCCAGCGCGGTTTACTCCAAAGTACGCGTGCATAGGATTGCAGTCGGAGAGAGGGATTTTCGTATTTGCTCGGCAAGGCACATTTAGTAGATGAAGAAGCGTTCCTGATCTGCTTTGTTGATTCTAACCATGAGAACAAGGGGAAGTGCCATTTATTCTGCATTAAGCTTTGTGAAATATAGCGGGTGAGGAGCGTTTGTGTGTGTGTCTTCTGAAGCAGTTGTGGACAGAGAACCACAGTGTGGGGTGCTAAAACCTAGGTTGTCTCATGCCAAAAGAAGGGACACAACCTTTTCTGCTCCTTAGCTGTGAATCATCATCTATTAACCCCCTAACTCTGTATAGTCCACTGATCCTCCTTGTACAATTCTTCTGTTGCTTTCCCCAAATAATAATAATAATGATAGTTATATTTTTTTATATACTGCCATTTCCCCTGGCAGGGACTCTGCGTGGGCTACAGATAAAATAAGAACAGCTAAAAACATACGGGAAAAAACATGAAAAACAATTAAACATTAGTATAATTAAAACTCTCTTTGTCTCTAAGATATATTAAAAGCATAGAGACAGTTGCAACAAAAACAGCACGGCACCGGCCCCCTTATTAAAAGCAGTCGGTTCCCAAGCACTTGTTGGAGCAAGAAAGTCTTCACCTGCTGACAGAAGGACAAGGAGGAAGCCAGTCTAACTTCTCTAGGAAGGGAGTTCCAAAGTCTGGAAGCAGCCACCGAGAAGGCCCTGCTGCCTGTGAGCGTGACGGAACCGAGAGATGGGTCTCCCCTGAAGATCTCAGAACTCGGGCAGGTTTGTGTGGATAGTAGTTTTCATTAACAAGTTTTGCATTAACATAAGATCAGCAGTAAAAGTCAGTGACCAATGCATTTCAGAGTATGTACAGGGATAGCCCATGTGGTCCGCCAGAATTAGTTCAGCAATGTCCAGAGGGTCACAGGTTCCTTGTTTTTTTTTATTTAAAAAAAATGAAAGGGAGCTCTTTGGACATTTGTGAAGCCCATCGCACAACTCTTTAGCTGAGATAAACCTGTGCACCACAATCCTAAACTTTGTTTACGCAGAAGGAAGTGCCACCATGTCCAATGGGACTTATTCCTGAGTAAGGAGCAAGATCTGCCAGGACGAGTGGTTAAGATGCAGCCGATCTCTGGCTCAGCCAGCTGCCCACTGCTCAGTGGCAAAGCGAGTGGTTTGCATGCAGGCGTGGTCCCAGGCTCAATGCTGGCCTGTGTGTGGGGATGGGGAATCTAGCAGGGCTGGGCAATACCTTGGCTTTGTGCCCTGCAGAACTGCCTGGGTCAGAGTAAACCATGCACCCCACTCGTGCTAATGAACTAAGAGCATAGCCGTCAACTTTTCCCTTTTTTTAAGGGAAATCCTATTATTCTGAATAGGATTTCCCTTAAAAAATGGGAAAAGTTGACAGCTATGACTAAGAGTCTGACTCAAAAAGAATTGCATCTCTTTGAGGGGGAATAGGGGTCCCCTATCAATTCTCAGCACCCTTAACAAATGACAGTTCCCAGGATTCGGGGTGTGGGCATGGGGACTGTTTAAAGTGGTATAGCGGTGCTTTAAATGTATTGTGTGGATGTGGCTTTCACCTTCAGTGCTAAAGTGTCTGTTTGTATGCACTTCATACTTGCAACTAGTTTGGAATCTGCCCACTTCCCTGAGTTTAATTGATTATTATTATTTTCTCTTTTCCCCACTTCCCCCCCTTTGCAAATTGTGGCCAGTCCCCATCACGAGGGCAGCGTAAATTAAGAGCACATGGCTCTTGCTAAGGAACCAGCGAGTGAGGACTTTGTATCTGGACTTGGCCCTCTCTCAAGTGGGCGTTTGCTGGCAGTTCCCAGCTGCCAAGGCTGAGTTTCGTAGTAGCCTCTAGAGACAAAGGCAGAAGCAGGACCTGTCCCTCGCACGCGTGTCTTTGCTAAGGTGGTAGAGCTGTCTGGGTCCTTGGTGGCTTCCCCGTTTTGCACAGACCCTCTGCTGCGCTGGGTCCCTTCGCTTGTTGGTGTCTTTGTGATAAGGGTTTGAAACTGGGGCAACAAATCTCAAAGATTGTCCCAAGTAAAAACAGCAATGTTTGCTTGGCTGTGCCGTTGTTCCTGTGACTGATGGGGCAAAGAATCACATGAGCGTTGGGTCCATGTTCGCTTTAAATTCTGGATTGATATCTATATTTATAAATATAAAAACAAGCTTTTTGCATTCTGCTGTGCTATAGTGGAACCAACTGGAGGTGTGAATGCTATATTGCGTGCATTGCTGTTTTGTATATTTTTGAACCAGCCTGAGCGAGCCATTGCCACAGCTGCTACTCCCCCGCTTTTTGGTTAGCAACTGGAGAGCCAGGAATCGCTTGGACCTAGGAATGTTCAGTGCCCCCTCTCTATGGGCTGGGCTGGCAGAGAACAGGATGCTGGGTAGTGGGTTTCACCTATGGAGCTAATGTTCCCCAGTCTTTTTTGGGCGGTGCATGTAACTTTTTGTTTTTAAAGACGTGCACGTAGATGCCAAAATCATGCCACTAGCTATGCTGGCAACATGTTACCTGCAGGATCAGTCTTGAGAGAATTTCAGGTGGGAGTGTACAATCACATCGGGTTTTGGGGGAGAGTGCAACTACGTCCTGCTTATGGGGAGAGTGCAATTACGTCCTGCTTATGGGGAGAGTGCAGTTACGTCCTGCTTATGGGGAGAGTGCAACTACGTCCTGCTTATGGGCATAGCTCATCATGGCTACCAGCCCTTAATAACCTTCTCGGTGAATTTGTCTAACCCTCTTTAAAAGCCATCTCAAGTTGGCCATCAATGATTCCTGCAGGAGCGAGTTCCAAACACTCTTGTTTGCTTGCAGCTGTCTGTGATCAGGGGATGATTGGCACCAGGGAGTGAGCTGCCTTTCACTGGTACTGATCTCTTATTAAGTAGAGGAACCGCAGGATTCCCCAGCACACGGCCTGAAAGCGACTGATATGGCTTAGCGCTGTTGACCCTGATAGAAAGGAGATTTTTCAACATCTCGGGTAAGGCGCATGGACTTAGCCTGTTGTTTTTCACTCTTGGGTCTGCAGGTCCCCTAGAAAATGCTCCTGCCGCAGCATCCCACATGGATGGAACAAAGGAGGCAAGCGATCCTGACGGACCTGGAACTTTGGAGGAAGGGGAGACCCTGAGAATCACCCATGCAGGTGGGAAAGATGAAAGCGGAATGACTTGTCTTGAAACGAGGGGATATAAGGTCCATAACATCATCCCTCTCATGCTGTTCATCTGGGATTGGAGGGCTCAAGACCTTCCTCTCTCTCCCATTCATATCCATTGCAACACGTATTCCCCCCTCTCCTTCCAAAGGCTTAGATTTCTCCCGCCATACCCCCCTTTTCTTCCCAGGTTGTTTCTTGAATTCTAGGATTTCACTCTTGTGAAATCTTCCCTTTCCTCAAAAGCCAACAAATTGTGACTTCCTGCAACTCCCACTTCCATCAGGCTCTCTCACCTCATTTCATGGAACAAGGGTGGGGAGCCTGTAGCCCTCCAGATTTTGTTGGACTCCAAATACCATCAGCCCCGGCCAGCAGGGCCAATGGTCAGGGATGGCGGGGGTTGCAGAATCTGTGTTTTCCGTTCGTTTAAGAGCAACAACATTTAGATACTGCTCATAATTCAAGAACGTCTCAAGTCCTTTACAACCAAAAGATATATTAATTAAAGGCAACGGATAAAATGGTGACGAATGACTTGATGACAGCAACATCCATCATTAACTCAAGTGCATGAAGCACTGATGGGATCCAAAAGCCCAGCCGGTTGGTGTGTTAGTGTGTGTCTAGGAAGCGGCAAGGGGGCAGCCAGTCTGCGTGGGAGGTATTAATTACCGTATTTTTTGCTCTATAGGACGCACTTTTTCCCCTTCAAAAATGAAGGGGAAATGTGTGTGCGTCCTATGGAGCGAAGACGCCATAGCCCCGTGACCCTCTCCCGGCTGGAGAGGTGACGCGCGGCTATGGCAGGAGCCTCTATAGCCGCACGTCACCTCTCCAGCCGGGAGAGCGCGCGCAGGGCTAAAGCAGCCCCCCGCGACCCTCTCCCGGCTGCTCTTTGGGGCTGGTGGTGGGCTTCCCCCCGCCAGCCCCAAAGAGCAGGTCGAAAGGAACCTGAAGCCTGGAGAGCAAGAGGGGTCGGTGTGCACCGACCCCTCTCGCTCTCCAGGCTTCCAAGGTAGCCGCCTGAACGCACCTTAAACGGCACCTTGTTTTAGAGCGGGAAAACAAGAGGGGGAAAATTCTCCCTCTCTCTGCGCAGCGCCTCCTGCCGCTTCGCTGAAGGGGCGCTGGGCAGAGAGGGGGAGATTTTTTTTTTCTTGTTCTCCCCCCTCTAAAACAAGGTGCGTCCTATTGTCCGGTGCGTCCTATGATGCGAAAAATACGGTAGCATGCAACAAGTAGAAGATAAAACGAAAGCTTCCCAATTTAATAACTTGTCTGGTCTGGGGAGGAAAATACCCTTCCTAGCTTCCAAATGGGTGATTAGTTAAATGCTCGAGCTGATGCAGAACCAAGCCCATGGGGTCTCCCCAAAACAGAACAGTACTGGGGAACAAGCTCAGTTCCAGGGTGGCTAGAAATGGGATAGAAGGGCTTGTAGGGACGCGGGTGGCACTGTGGTCTAAACCACTGAGCCACTTAGGCTTACCGATCGGAAGATCAGCGGTTCAAATCCCCACGACATAGCGAGCTCCCGTTGCTCTGTCCCAGCTCCTGCCAACCTAGCAGTTCGAAAGCACACCAGTGCACGCAGATAAATAGGTACTGCTGCGGCGGGAAGGTAAATGGCATTTCCATGCGCTCTGGTTTCCATCACGGGGTCCCGTTGCGCCAGAAGTGGTTTAGTCCTGCTGGCCACATGACCCGGAAAGCTGTCTGTGGACAAACGCAAGCTGCCTCTGCCTGAAGGCGAGATGAGCGCCGCAACCCCGTAGTCACCTTTGACTGGACTTACCTGTCCAGGGGTCCTTCACCTTTACCTTTTTTACCTTTACCTTTAGATGGGCCTGTACTCTGAGGCTGCTTTGTATGTTGAAGGGAATCCTGTGTGGATGGCGTCCCAAACCTTTGCACAGCTGAGCTCTGGCAGATTAAAGTTTCTGCTTGTTTCAGGTTATTTGAGACCTCCCCATTTCTGATTCCTTCTTTGCCTCTTTGCCAGGTGATGCTGAGAAGATGGAGCCCTTGAAGGAGGTGGAGGAGGAAGAGGAGGAGGAGGAAGAAGAGGGCATTTTATGTATGGAGCCTGGGCGCCTCGTCGGGGATGACGACTCGCCAGCTGCGGCCCCCCCGCAACGTGGGAAGGGGGAGCGCCCGTACCCCTGCGGCGAGTGCGGGAAGGCGTTCAGCCAGTGGTCGAAGCTGGTGCGCCACCGGCGCATCCACACGGGCGAGCGCCCCAACACGTGCGCCGATTGCGGCAAGTCCTTCACCCAGAGCTCCCACTTGGTGCAGCACCGGCGGACGCACACGGGCGAGAAGCCCTACGTCTGCGGCGACTGCGGCAAGGCCTTTTCCTGGAGCTCCAACCTGGCCCAGCACCAGCGGACCCACACCGGGGAGAAGCCCTACGTGTGCCGGGAGTGCGGAAAGGCCTTCTCCCAGAGCACCAACCTCATCAAACACCAGCGCAGCCACACGGGGGAGAAGCCCTACCGCTGCCCGGAGTGCCCAAAAAGCTTCTACCGCTCCTCGGACCTCATCCAACACCAGATCACGCACACGGGCGAACGCCCCTTCAAGTGCGACGAGTGTGGCAAGGGCTTCACCCAGAGTGCCAACTTGGTCAAGCACCGCAAGATCCACGCCGGGGAGAAGCCCTTCCGCTGCAACGACTGCGGCAAGACTTTCATCCAGAGCTCGGAGCTCATCCAGCACCAGCGGACGCACTCGGGCGAGAAGCCTTACCAGTGCCAGGAGTGCGGCAAGCGCTTCGGCCACGGCGCCACCCTGGTCAAGCACCAGCGCCTGCACATGGGGGTGGAGCCGTACCGCTGCGCCGACTGCGGCAAGACCTTTGGGCTCAGCTCGGCGCTGGAGCGGCACCGGCGCTGCCACAGCGAGAGCCGCCCCTACGCCTGCGGGGAGTGCGGGCAGAGCTTCTCGCTGGCCTCCAACCTCACGCTGCACTCGCGGATCCACCGGGGCGAGAAGCCCTACCGCTGCGCCGACTGCGGCAAGTGCTTTGGCATGAGCTCCACCCTCATCCGCCACCAGCGCATCCACACGGGCGAGAAGCCCTACGCCTGCCCCGACTGCGGCAAGGCCTTCGTCCGCAGCTCCCACCTCACGCAGCACCGGCGGACGCACACGGGCGAGCGGCCCTACCACTGCGAGGAGTGCGGGCGGCGCTTCTCCCAGAGCTCCAACCTTATCACCCACCAGCGCATCCACATGGAGGAGCGGCCCCACGTCTGCCACGGCTGCGGGCGGCGCTTCGCCCAGGAGGAGGAGCTGCAGCGCCACCAGCAACAGGACGGGAAATGCAGCGGCAAAGGAGGTGCCAGAGAGCCAGAGGGCCTGGGGGAAACCTGTGGGGAAAGCCATGCTCCGGCATCGCACCCGGAGAGCGGCGCCACTTGCGTCATGTGCGGGCCGGAGTGCAAAGATGCAGCCGGACTCGTGCAGCACCAGAAAGGCCACGTCCCCCTCGTCTGTAACATATGCGGGGAGAGCTTCCAAGATGGCGCCAAGTTAGCGCAGCACCAGGAAAGCCACACGTCTTACATCTGTACCGAATGTGGGAGGAGCTTTGGGGACTCCGGCGCCTTAGCCTGCCATCAGGAGAACCATGAATCTTGGATATGTGGCGTCTGCGGTCAGAACTGCAAGGACCGCTTGGCCCTGGTGCAGCACCAAGAAGCACACTCGCTGCACATCTGCGGGGCGTGCGGAGAGAGCTTTGTCGACAGCCAGGCACTCGAGGAGCACGAGGAGAGGTGCAAGGAGGACTCTGAGCTCCTGTTTGGCCCAGGATCCCCGAAGACTCTGGCGTGTGTGGATTCCAGGGAGAGCTTTGCTGTCGGGACGGCTCTCGTGCCACGTCAGGAGGGGGAAGCGTCGTGGGGCTGTCTGGAGCATGGGGAAGGCTGCAAGGATAGTTCGGCCTTGGAGTACCATCAGCAGAGCCACCAGCGGAGGCCTCACACCTGCTCCAAGTGTGGACAGGCCTTTGCCGATGGCGCAGCCCTCTCCCGCCGTCGAACGACCCATATGGAAGAGGATTTGTACAAATGTCCCCAGTGCGAGAAGAGCTTTGAGGGCCTTTTGGCCCTCACTGAGCACCGGGGGGAACACGTCTGCGAGAAGTGTGTGGAGTGTGGCCAGGCCTTTGAGGAAGGTGAAGGCCTCTTGCTCCACCAGAAGAGCTTGGGGGACGAAATGCGCAGAGAACCTCCTCAGGCCGACTCAGATCTTGTAACTCAACTGAGCGATCCCATGGAGGAGCCTGCTGACACAAGTTTTACCACAGCCCAGAAAACATTCTCTGGTGACCAGCCCTCCGATGAAAAAGTGGTGTCCAGCCCCCACGAGAGTGTCCCACTGGACAAACAGCCCTTTAGCGACCCCTTGAGGCCTACTTTGCACCAGAGAATCCACCCAAAAGCTCAGACTCTGGACGGTGTCACACCTGAGAGCATCCCTGAAGAAGAGGAGGCGTCTTCGGGTGGGCTGGGCCTCCAGGACAGCTCAGCTCTCGCCTCACAAACCCCACCCGAAGAAGAGCCTGGTCTGGGACCCCTGGGTGGCAGCTGGCTTAAAGACAGCTTGGTTGCTGCTCCGCTGCAGAAGAGAGCTTCTTCCGCCGACAGACCTCCTCCGGTCTCCACCGAAATGGCTGCCCTCATCCGCCGCCCGAGCACCAAGCCCTACAAGTGCCACGACTGCGAGCAGAGCTTTGCGGATGCCGGCGGCTTGTCGTGCCACCAGGCCGGCCACACAAAGGGGCGGCTGCTGAAGTGTCCCGAGTGCGGGAAGGGCTTCCCGGAGAGGCTGGCTCTGATCCGGCACCAGATGGAACACACGGTGGAGAAAGCCAGGGCCGTGCGGCAGACGCCGCCGCCGAGAAACAATCGCGGCAAGCAGAGGGACCCCGGGAGCCCCCTGGAATTCGGGGAGAGCTTCACAGAGATCTCGGCTGTCCTTTTGCAGAGGGAAAACCACGTCTCTGAAAGGGGCGCATCGCTGCGGCCGAAGGATCGTGGTGGAGACGGGAAGCAGAGTTTAGGCGACCCTTTGCAGACCACGGAGCCCTACTTTCACCTTGATTTGGGGAAAGCCTCGGGTGCCGCGGGAGTGCTGGGACAGCGCCATGGGCAGCAGGAGAAGGGCAGATACTTTGGGCACTCTGAGCCTGGGAAGATCTCCCGCAGCAGCTCGATATTGCTGCACCACCTCCAGAACCACACGGCAGAGCAGCCCTGAAGCCCTGGGGGATTGTCTCGGTGGGATTTGGTCAGTACCAGGCAGGTGTGACCTGCGATGCTCTGTCTTCTGTCACGCTCCCCACCCCCTGTTCGATGGTCAAAGCTGAGGGTGGGGTGTACATAGGGGTAAACTGGGGCAACTCAGTCTGCCCAGGGTTGGAGACATGCCCTCGATGGAGAGAAGATACTACGGACATTATTATTATTAGGGTGGGGGGTCTGTGCAGATGCGCAAAATCGAAACGGGAGGTGCTGCAGCAAACAATGCAAGTTGGGGAAACCCTTGAGGTTCTTTACCAGCAAAATACACAGTGGCTCTTCCTTTTCAGGTATTTTTCCCTTCGTTCCTCCCTGGTTTTCCCTCTGAATCAGATGAGCTCAAGTCTCTTTGAAGGGTAGCTAAGCTTGTGGTGCTCCGGATGTTGCTGGACTACAGCTCCCATCATTCCTGACCATGCCTGCTGGGGCTGATGGGAATTGAAGTCCTAGCAACACCTTGATAGCTTCAGCTTAGTCCCCCCCTTTAAAACATGGAATTAGCCAGGAGCTGACAGCAGGTGGCCTTGTACAAAAAGTGGAACGGTTTCTCTCTCTGTGTGTGTTTCTGTATCTGGTGGGAGGGCTAGTTTCCAAAGTCCATCTTTCTCCCCCTGCAATTTTTTTTTTTTTTTTTGGTATTTCCTATAAGAGCTATTCCAATGCAGACAGATTTTGTGAAATAAAGTGAGATAGGAGGTTTTTGTTTTTTTTAATCACCTGAAAATACAACATACTGGAATGGCTCATTGGGGTACGTTCTGTATCTCCTCCTGCTTGCCACATGTGGTCGGTTGTCTGTTCTGACCACACTTAGCAGGATGCTGAGGGTGGTTTTAGGTCTTTGAATGTGAGTTTGCTTCCTCCTTCCATGACATGCTTGCTTCCCGGTACACGGCATCAAGTAAACCAAGATATTTCGCTGGCAGCCTGTCTCCTCCTGCCCACCAGCTTTTCTCCAACCTCACATTTCCACTGTTCCATCCTGTCTGCTTTCAGGTGAAAACACTGATGATCAGAAATGGGTTTTTGTGTACATGTGTGAAGAGATAGGATCTACTCAGCACATCTTAAGTGAAGCAGGTTCTCTATATTTCTGCACCCTCAGTGTATCTCTGACTTCTACTGGTTGTATTTCTTTTTCTGTGGGGAGAGGGGCTTCCTAGTTAGATTTAAAAACAAAAAAATACTCCTCATCCCTGTACATTTTAGGTTTGCTCAGTCATTCAGTGCCAACGTCTACCTCACCAATCCACGTCGAGGTCTTTGCCCATAGAAAGTGCTGTAGAGTTGATAAAGTAATAATCCTCAAAGACAAACACAATCTGTGGAACTCCCTGACGCAGGAAATATATGGCAGCAGACTCTTAACTTGCCCCACCTAGACGAAAACACATTTTCTGAATATCTGAATGCTGTTTATAGCTATGAATCCTTTTCTTATCTGTTTGCAATCCTATAGTAATAATAATAATAATTTATTATTTATACCCCGCCCACCTGGCTGGATTTCTAGACTTCCTTTACCCGGGATCAGGGCCCATTTAATTCAGTGGGGCTCACTTCTGAGTAGGAATGTGATGTTAGGTTTTTCCTAATACATTTCAAGCAAGCAAGCAAGCAAGCAAACAAACAGATCTCCCTTATCCTGGCACAGCTTTGATTTTCAACTTCTTCCCCAGTGCTGGCATCTACCTCACCCATTCAGGTGAGCTGAGGTGCGATCCTTGACAAAGCAGAAAAAGTGGCAGCTTGCGTCAGGTGGAACTCCTGGCCACATGATATCCATAGTAAGATGGAGAGCTCAGTAGCATGGACGAGACCAGCCATGACATGGGTAGATTCCAGCACAGTGTACAAGACCCACATTGGAAAATGTAGAGCAAGGGTGGGGAAGCTTTGGTTATCTGGATGTTGTTGGGACTACGATTCCCATGGACTATTGGCTATTCATACTGTGGCTGATGGGAGACGTAGTTCAGCAATATCTGGAGGGCCAGAGGTTCCCCACCGCTGCTACATAGAACTAGCCAGTTTACACATGCATTGAGACTGAAGCTCCTCTAAACCACCCACAGCAATAGTTCACAGTGTTGTCCTCATCCTTCAACCCACAATGTACTTGAGCTGAACCTACGCAGGCTCCTGGGCTGTTCACTCTACGGTTAAATGGGGCTACTCTAGATAAGCAGGGGAGCAATCCTGATGCATCCTTTGTTGCATCGTTCTTGCTATTTTCTGAACTTCCAATGAAGACGGGCGCCATTTGAACCGTTGTTTGTACGTGTGGGTTGCTTCTTGTTGTAGCACTGCAGAGATCTCCTGCAATGGGCCTTCCGTGTGGCTTCATCAGGGACCTGCACGATTGTACAGGCAGGCTTAGTAGCTGCCGAAGATGGACCGGTTCAAAAGGCATCTCTGAAGCAGCATGCAAACCTTGGTTTCTCGTGCAGAGCCCAGATGCAGAACAGAAGACTGCGTGTCCCAGAATCCTTTGTGACACAGAGAATGAGGTGCCACCCGGTGCAGGCTGGTCAAATGAACCTTCGGCTGCCCCTGGCTTGGATGAGAGACCACTGGAAGCTTTCTGCATCTCCTGAGCGGGATATAATTGAGTGTTAATCAATACTTTTCCTTGTGTTTCCCTCCACCCTTTCCTTCGGCCTCATCATCTTCCTTTCCTCCCCAGCCTTATTTGCTGGGGCTGTCCTCTTTGTTTCCAGCAGCGCAATCCTAGGCCTGTCTACTCAGAAGTAAGCCCTGCTTTGTTCAGTGGGGGGTTTACTCCTAAGTAAGTGTGTGCTGGATTGTAGCCTTAAGCACTCATCTTTTGTAACTCAGGGCGAACATCTCATCTCCCCGTCCCCCACCGAAAATGTCTCCTGTAGCATCCAAATGATAACTCTATAGGAATCTCTCCATATATTTATGTCTGCGACTGTTAGTTTTGAAGGGGTTGTGGTAGCAAAGATTCTTTACCTCTTCCCTGTCCAAGGATGGTTTTCCCCCTCCCCTTGATGGATTCAATTCTGTGGTTTGTCACTGAATTTTCTCTGTAATTCTAGGAATGTATCAACCCTGAGACTAATACAAACTCAAGATTGGTTTATTCAGACTGTTTTGTGTTGGCGTCATTATTACTTCCTCTGGTTTTGCGTATAAAAGTGAAGGGGGCACAGATTAAAAACAAACATACCAGGGCTGCTGTTTTTGTTGTTGATTAACCTGATATACTAGGGCTGCGTTTTTAGTTTATTAATTGACATAAAGCTATTTTGAAAGGCAAAAGAGCTGCCCTCTGTTCTGATTTTAAAATAACAGCACAGTCAGCAGCCACGCCACCTTTCTGTGATCACACACACCAGTCATGCATGTTTGGCATAAACGGAAAAATGCCATTGTGCATGTGTACAGCTCTCCCATGCAAGGGCAAATCCTGGCCTAATCCTGATTCCACACATACAGGGACCCTTCTTACATGTGCCAAACATGTGGCAGGGAGTTGCACTGTTAAGAGTGTTTGACTAGGACCTGGGAGAGCAGGGTTCAGATTCCCCATTTCAGTCATGTAGCTCGCTGGGTGAACTTGGTTCAGTCGCCATCTCTTAGCCTAACCTACCTCACAGGGTTGTTGTGAGGGTGAAATCAGGAGGAGGACCATGTACACCACCTTGAGATCATAGGAAGAAAAATGTGGTATAGAAATGCCATAAATAATTAGAAATTAATAGTTGCCAGGTACATGGGTTACAGGTGGTGGAGAATTAGCTCACAAGGTTCTGCAGCACCCATGTCTTCTTTAAACACAAGGGGGCTCATCGGAACCCCCCATGAAAGATGGAACGCCTCTTCCAAGATGAAACCTTCTGCAATGAATGTGCATCTCTTTATTAAAAGAGAGAAAACAGCTATTTTTCCTCTCATGCAAATAGGTGTATGCTGGTTTACAGCCCAGGCCTATGCGTGTTTACTCAGAAGCAAGAGTTACTGTGTTCAATGAGGCTTATTCCTAGGTCTGCTTTCAAAGATTTGTAACTATAACCAACTAATCTGCTCACAGGCCAGTTCCATGCATTCCAAAATCTTTACTAGGCCCAACCAAAATGTGAAATGGCGCGCAAGCTTTTGAGTTCCACAGAGCTGTTCATCAGGCTAGAATGGGTAGGGAATGGAGAGCTGGACCAAACCTGATATCCTATGGCGTTCAAAGTTCAAATTATGGCAGCAAAGAAAGATCCTTTGCCACCCAAACTTGATTCCCCCCCCATTTATTTTATTACCATACAAACGCAATGCAAATATCACACAATGCAAGACACAGAATCATAGAATTGCAGAGTTGGAAGGGACCCTGAGGGTCATTTAGTCCAACATCCTGCAACAATTAACTAGTTAATACATAGAGAATCAGAGAATTGCAGAGTTGGAACTGAAGTATATGTGAGTTCAAGCTGCTCCTTTGCTCAGCACGCGCGTACAATATGGCTGGTCTTCCCACATGCCTGGCACTGGGCATTGTGGAAATGGCATGATGGCTGTTCATGCGGGCCCCTGCAGCTGGCGCAAGGCACCCCTGCACCTCTGTTGGCCAAAATGCTTGGACGAGCCAGTGTGCAGTCTTGGGACCTCATCTTCCTCTGTGTCAATAATCTCCGAGTGCACAGCCTCGGCCTTCTGGGCCATGGGTGGGCTGTGTGCTTGGCGAACCCCTCTCCCCATCTTGATGGCTGTCTCCACCATGAGGCGGAGCAACCCGAAAGGTCAGGTCCTTCATGGCTAAAAGGCGCCACTGTAGCTCCTTGTCCCTCAGGCAGCACACAAGACGGTCACGGAGCATTACATGCAGGTCACTGAAGTTGTAGTGGTAGGCGGCTTGCCGCAAGGCCACAATAAAGGCCCCTATGGATTCACCCGGGGCCTGGGCCTGTCTGTAGAAGGCATGCCAGCAGGCGATCTCCGACAGCTGAGGAGCAAAGTGTGTCCTCAGCTTCTCCATTATTGCGTCAAATGGCGTCTTGGTCAGCTGGGCCGGGGCTAATAGACCCTGGATGATCTTGAACATGGCAGGTCCACACACACTGAGCAGTGTGGCCCGCTTCAGTTCAGGGTGGGTCACCTGACTGGCTGTGAGGAAAAACTCGATTCATGCGGCGTAGTAGTCCCATTTTGATGTGGCTCTGGGTGGCCATGAGGTCTGCTCTGTGTGACCGGCCTTGCGGCTGCGGTCGGTCGGTGATTCCAGGTGGATGAGGCAACAAGTCTTCAGCGGTGATTCAGCTGAGGTGACAGATCCCCGGCAGTTCACCCAAGGCAGTGATTCAGCTTAAAGGCTTTATGGAGACCTCAGGAACAGACTGGAGAAAACAGGGAATAATAACAATAACAATAACAATAACAATAATTTATTACTTATACCCCAGGCCTCCCAAGCCACTCTGGGCAGCTCCCAATAGAATATTTAAAACACGATAAAACATCAAACATTAAAAACTTCCCTAAACAGGGCTGCCTACAGATGTCTGAAAAGGCTCTGATTTATATACACCTCAGCCAGCAGGCTTGACTGCCTTGCACCCTGCAGAGAATCGCAAGGCGGTTCAGGAGCCTGCATTGTGATGCGGACTCAAGCTCAGAGCAGGAGATGCTCAGGGATGTACAGAACAGGAATATTCCTGTGTTTTCTCCATACAAACCTGTTACAATCTAGGCAGGCTAGTTCCGCATCACAAAGCTGTGATGGCATGAATGAAGCCACAGGAAACATAGGATACCTGGTGCTCTGCAAGCGACCATGCAGCAAGGGATTCTGGGAATTGTAGTTTTGTGAGAAGTCTGCAGCCAAACCATTGGTCAGTGCTGTCTATTCTGATGGGCTGTAAATCTTCATGGTTGCAGAGCTGCTGCATAGAGGAAGCAAGCAGCTATGGTGGGATTTAAAAACAAAAATCAAATAAAAAATTCAAGATTTTTTATTATTCCAGTCTCAGCTTTTACAATGACTAAAAAGGACTGCATAGGAAAATTAAAATTAAAAAATGCAATTAATTGGAACCAATTCTTACAAATACTGTAATAGGTTAAGATCTGGTGAAGTACAATAACAACTTATAGTTTGGAGTTTTGCCCCCTTCCCTCCTTATTTTCACTTCTACACTGGTGCTGTTTCTCTTTTTCTTTTTCTCTCTTTTATTTACATCTCACCACGTTTAGTGCCCATATAATTATGTACTTTTTGAACATTCAATAAAGATTTTTAATAAATTTATTTTTAATAAATGTAACGAATGATAAAATAGCTTGTTTCTTTAAGGGGGAAGGTTAAAAAGGAAACTACAACTCCCAGAATGCTCTTTTTACCATTTCGTTTCCCAGGCTCCCTTGCAAAGGAAACGGACTCCACAGAAGAAGCTGGCTATTTCCATCTCGGTTTGGGTGCTGATGGTTTTGGATCTCTTACTTTGAAAAAATAAAAATAAAAAAACTACTTCTCCGTCACTTTCCCTTTTCTTTTTCGCTGCATTTATTCCGAAAGATGGGATGGATTTGAAACCGAGTTGGGTAAGTGCTATCGTGGGAATTCATGAACGCCGAAGATTTTAGCTAAAGGTTAAACTGGTTTTTTTTAATTAAAAAAAATAACGGGTCTGTGTTGTTTATATGAATCCCAATCCCATTATGGTTAATGAGTCTTTTATTTTATCCGTACGACCTTAATTGCAAATAAAATAAGGCATGGATAGCAAAATACCTCGGGGAGGAGTTAAATCGTTCTGGAAGCTTGCCTCCAAAATGGTTTTCACCATATTTGGGGAGGTTTTCCAAATGTTGAATTTCGGATTGGTTTAGTGCAAAAAATAATAATAATGCCAGAATCACTTTGAGGCTGTGGTTTAGGGAGTCCGTTGTGTATGAGTGTTTTGCTGTTTCGTTATAGATGGTCTCTTGTGTGCTATGGATTTGCATTTTTGGGTGACAAGGCTTTTGACGTGTGCATTCCATCTATTGGGTACCCTTCCTTTTTTTCACATTCCTCTTTTAAAAATAAACTTTATTAAACAAGAAGATACCTTAAAATACACACAAAACGAGCACACAGTACAAACATTCTAATGCTATGGAAGGATGCAAGCTAGGCAGCCCCAAGGAGGATAGCTGCATTCAGCTGTACAAGCTAACTTGAGAACAAAGGGAGGTGTTGGGCCACATCCCCAACATACCTTTCAAGCCCTGAGATACTAATTTAAGTAGTCATGGCTTTCCCCCAAAGACTCCTGGGACCTGTAGTTTGTTAATGGTGCTGAAAGTTGATAGGAAGCCCCTGTTCCCCTCCCAAAGCTGCAATTTCCAGATCTCCCTGGGAGACTGATTGCTCCTTAAACTGCCCTGGGTGGGAATTGTAGCTCAGCCGGGGTTATAGAGATCTCCAGACAAGGCTCAGCATCCCTAACAATCTACAGCTCCCAGAATATCAATTCAGTAGTTGCTGTTGGGACTGGAGAAAGGGAGGTAGCCATTGCTTAATTGAATGGGCATGTTTAGGTGTAGGATTAAATAATAATAATAATAATAATAATAATAATAATAATTCATTTATACCATGCCCATCTGGCTGGGTTTCCCCAGCCACTCTGGGCGGCTCTCAACAGAATAAAAAAATTAAATACAATAAAACACCAAACATTAAAAACTTCCCTAAACAGGGCTGCCTTCAGATGTCTTCTAAAAGTCAGATAGTTGTTTATTTCCTTGACATCTGATGGGAGGGCGTTCCACAGGGCGGGCACCACTACTGAGAAGGCCCTCTGCCTGGTTCCCTGTAACCTCACCTCCAAATATGAGTTGCCGGGAGGCAAATTGTGGTGTGTTTGTGTGCATTTGCATGTGTCATTGCCCATGTCTTTGCTTCTGGGCTTCCCAGTAAGATCTTGTCCAGTGTGGGGAACTGGGTGCAAGACTACACGGCTGCTTTGTTTGATCCTGCAAGGTTCTTTGCATGGTCTTTGTATGTGAGATTGAGGGAGTTCCTGCCTTTTTGCAGGATAATGTGAGGAGCTGTGCATGTTGGACGTCTGTGAGGAAACGGCACCACTGATTCTTCTCCCCCCGCAAGTCCTGACTTTGATTGCTATTGCTTATTGAAGTCAAAACAACAATAACAACAACTCAGAACAGGGGAAATATCAGCAGGTTTGGAGAAACGCCTCCCCCCTCCAAGTTTGTAAAAGTACATTAAAAAGAAGCCTAAGGTGTAGGAAATAGCTCAGTAAGGATTGAGTGTGCTAAATGGCCACAGAATGCTGGCTGAGATTCCAGCTCTATGATTCAATGAGAGAGGGAGAAAAACAAGTGAGAGGGGAAACGGAATGGAGCATAGCAAATGATGGCCTGGCTGGCTTGACTCACACACTGGAAAAGTGTTCTCCTAAACTGCAACATTTTGTTGTGGCTCCCGCTGGTAATGTTAAATTTTGCCCTGCTTCTCCCAAGCAGAGATAGCTGTACAGGACTTAACAGGGCAATCCTATACATATCTACTTGGAAGTGAACCTTACTGATTTTATAGTTGGTCTTACTCTCAGTTAAGTGAGTATAGCAGTTTTAATTTCCTTTGCACAAGAGAAGAGAGTACTGGAGGTTTACGGTGTCTTACCTTTCAGATGTCTGTTTTGCTTAAGGTTATGCAAACCGTGCATTTTGCAAGCAGGTTCATTAAAACAGGCACCACAGCCTCTGATCTCAGGTTCTTGAATAAAGAAAGTTTTCCTTCACCTTCAGTCAACACAGTTCTTCCTCTGTCCACATTCAAACTGCAAAAAACCACATTTTTCTGCCTGTCCCTCCGAATGCGGGTGGTTGCTGCATTCCAAAGGCTGGCACCACCGAGGATAATAGATCCAGGCCGTTTGTCAAGTGCTTGATCACCCATCAAGCTCACTGCACAGAACCACAGTAATAGGTGTATTTGTACTCAAAGTTAGCTAAGCTTGTTGCAGAAAGGAGAGCCCTACTAGATCAGAGCAATGATCCATCAAATCAGTTATCCTGATTTTGGTGATGGTCAGATAGATGATTCCCAGAAAACCAATCTGAGCGTGAGGGCAGCAAACCTCAGCCTCTGATCTGGAAGCCCTTCCCCAAATTCCTGATGAGTGAGGACTCTGTACTTACCCTATTGTGAGGGAAGTACATAGTGCAACTGCTTAGGAAGACTTTAATGTATTTTAGTACAGTGGTACCTCGGGTTATGAACTTAATTCGTTCTGGAGGTCCGTTCTTAACCTGAAACTATTCTTAACCTGAGGTACCACTTTAGCTAATGGGGCCTCCCGCTGCCACCGTGCCACCGTCGTGCGATTCCTGTTCTCATCCTGAAGCAAAGTTCTTAACCCGAGGTACTATTTCTGGGGTAGCGGAGTCTGTAACCTGAAGCGTATGTAACCCGAGGTACCACTGTACTCCTGAGCTGTGCGCATCTCTCTCTTTCTCTCTCTCTCTCTCCCTCCCCCCCCCACCTCCCTCCAGGACGAATTGGGATTGTAACTGAGGATGAGGAGAACCATCCCCAGCAAGAAATGGATCGCCGTCAGCAGAGGTTTCAGGGAACACGCTCTCTGTCCACAGAGGAAGCTTGCTTTTCAAGAGTGTCCTCCAAGGAGGAGCTCCAGGAGAGGAACAGCCAAGCCAAGTGGGAGCACCTGCCGTGGCTGGAAGGCAGCTTGGACGATTGTGGAGACCGGGATCAGGAGGAAGCCTCTGAGAGCAGCTCTGTGGTCTTTGTTGAGGAGCAAGGAGATGTTGGGTGCGTGTCTGACTTAGAGGAGCCCTCTGCCCAGGTGGAGGAAGTCATAGGGGAGATTGGGGAAGACACAGAGGTGTTTGTTTATCCAAAGGGGTCTCTGCCGAGCGATGAGTTTGCTGCAGAAGAATCTGAGCAAATAGCTTACCACAGAGAAAGTGGCGATGAAGCCCAGCTGCTCCTGTGTCCAGAGGCAGCTCTGGGAAGGGAGGATTCTGAGGAGGAAACTGGGACCGTTGGTTATGAGGGTGCATCCTCTCTTGGGGTTGAATCTGAGATGACCCTTGAAGCTGAGGGATCCAATGGGGAGGAGTCCGAAGAGATCCCTTGCTGGGGAGCAGCTCACCTGGGGGGAGTGGACCTTGCGGGTCAATCGGAGGCCAACGCTTACCAGGAGGGTTCTCTGGCCAGGGAGGGATCCAGTGGCGAGGAGCAGGAAGAAATCCACTCTCAGCAGGGCTCTCTTTCTGGGAACGGCTCCGACGAGGAGGCGTTCAGTGGCTGGGCTGTCCCGGTGCAGGCGCTGGTAGCCGAGCAGCGGCCTTCCAAGCCTCGCCACATCTGCAGCGAGTGCGGCCGCAGCTTGGCCAGCCACTCTGCCCTCGTCCGCCACTGCCTTATCCACACCGGAGAGCTCCCGTACGCTTGCACAGAGTGCGGGCGGCGCTTCCGGCAGTCCTCGGCCCTCGTCCGCCACCTCCGGGCCCACCGGGGCGAGCGCCCGTACGTCTGTGGCGAGTGCGGCAAGGCCTTCGGAGTCCGCTCAGCCCTCGTCCGCCACCAGCGGGCCCTGCACACGAGCGAGAGGCCCTACGTGTGCGGGGAGTGCGGCAAGGCCTACGCCGACCTCTCTGTCCTGACCAAGCACCAGCTGATCCACGTCAACGGGCGGCCGTTTTCCTGCCCCGACTGCGGCCAGGCGTTTGGGCACCGCACCACCTTGAACCAGCACCGGCGCATCCACACCGAGGAGCGGCCGTACCGCTGCGCTGAGTGCGGCCAGACCTTCCGGCAGAACTCGGCCCTGGCCAACCACCGCCAGGTCCATTCGGGGCAGCGCCCCTTCTCTTGCCAGTACTGCGGCAAAGCCTTTGCCGGCCGGCCCACCCTCGTCCAGCACCTCCGGACACACACTGGGGAGAAGCCGTACAGCTGCCCCGACTGCGGCCGCCAGTTCAGCACCAGCTCCAACCTCCTGCAGCACCGCAGGAATCACCTGGGCGAGCGCCCTTTCGCCTGCTCACTGTGTGGCCGCCGCTTTGCCCGCCGGCCCGACCTGGCCCGCCACTACATCACCCACGCCGAAGGCAGCGTGCGGCCCCACCGCTGTGGGGAGTGCGGGAAGCGCTTTGTGGACCTGGCCGACCTGGAGCAGCACGGGGCCACGCACCGTGGCGAGCGGCCCTACGTCTGCAGCTTCTGCGGCAAGTCCTTCGCTGAGGCCGCCACGCTGGCCCGACACCGCCGATCGCACCTCCCCACGGCTCAGCAGGCCTACAAGTGCGAGGTGTGTGGGCAGACCTTTGGGCAGAGCTCCGACCTGCTGGCCCACGGGCGGGTGCACAGCGGCGAGCGACCCTACGCCTGCGGGGACTGCGGCAAGGCCTTTGGGCGCAGCTCAAACCTGTCGCGCCACCGGCGGGTGCACACCCACGAGCGCCCCTACGTCTGCGGCGACTGCGGGAAGAGCTACACCCAAAGCACGCACCTCATGGAGCACCAGAGGCTGCACACGGGCGAGAGGCCCTACGAGTGTGTGGACTGCGGGCGCTGCTTCGGCAAGAAGGGGCACTTGGACTCTCACCGGCGGGTGCATCGCCTGTTGCCCGGGTCTCCCAGAGGGGCTGATGGGGTGCAAGCCGATTTGGGGAACCTGGAGGGTGTATGAAGGAATCCTGCAGGGGTGGAAAGTTGTGGGTTGTGGTTGGGGACAAGGAGTCAGAGCAAGGTTAATATCTGAGAATGGCTTATTCCTTAGATTTTTGTACCGCCTTTCACCTGAAGGTCATAGTTCAGTCGGTAGAGGATAAGACTCTTAATCCCAGGGTTGTGGGTTCGAGCCTCTTGTTTCCTGCATTGCCGAGGTTTGGATTAAATGACCCCCAGGGTTTCCTTCCATGATTCTATGATCACAGGGCGGTTTGCAATATAAAAACACAAGAATACGTACCATAAAAAACAAACAAAGACAATAACCCCCTCACACACCGTTATTAGCCCTGCCTGAATGCTGCAGCGATCTAAGGATAAAGAGCATGTGCAGAATTCCTGGAGGGGCTCCCCAAAGTGTGTAGCTGCATCACCACAACCTTATGGGTTAGTGATTTCGTGGGGTGGGGAAGAGTGCTTTTCAATTGCTTGATGTTAAATGTATGCTCGGTAGAGGGCGTGTTGGTCATAAAAGGTTGGGTAAAGGCTAGAACAGGGGTCAGCAAACTTTTTCAGCAGGGGGCCGCTCCACTGTCTCTCAGACCTTGTGAGGGGCCGGAGTATATTTTTGGGGGGGGAATGAACGAATTCCTATGCCCCACAAATAACCCAGAGATGCATTTTTTTAAAAAAGGACACATTCTACTCATGTAAAAACAGGCCGATTCCCGAACCGTCCGCAGGCCGGATTTAGAAGGCGATTGGGCCGGATCCGGCCCCCGGGCCTTAGTTTGCCTACCCATGGGCTAGAACAACATTTCCCCAACCTGCCACCTTCTAGGCGTTTTGGACTACAATTCCAGCCATCCTCTACTGTTGCCCCTACTGGCTGTTGCTGATGGGAATTGCAGTCCCAAAACATCTGGAGGGTACCAGGGCAGTATGGGTAAATCTGGGCTACAATGCAGGGGTTAAGGGGTGTATCCTGTCCGACTCAGAGAAGGCCCAGTGAGGTTAATGGACACTACTAACTTAAGAGTCAGCAATTTCAGTGGGTCTGCACTGTGTAGGACCAGCCTTGGATACAACCCTAAATACCCAGCACACAATCCCAGATTTGGGATTTGCACACAGAAGTATTGGGCTTGTGGGCCCTAACTGCTATTGAATTCCACTACAAGGCAACCCTGCTGGGTTCAGCTCCTCTCTCCTTCCTTTCTGACTTCTTCAACCCCATTTCGCCCTTTTGAACTGTAGAGAGAACCCAAAATTTCTGTCTTCCGTCACTGCCTTTTGAGATGTTTTAAGTATTATCCTCCTACCTTCGTGTCAGAATGCCAGGGACCCCCTTAGAAATTGGAATCCAAGGAGGTGAACTCTGGAAAAATGAAGTTTAGAATTGGACTGTGTGTAATGTCCTCAAGAACCCCTTCTCTACCTCGCACCCCTCGAGCTGATAACGCTTTTGCTTTGGTTCTGCAGATAACATCAAATAATCTCCTTGTTTATGTATTCAGTAAGAGGTTGAGAATGTCTGTGCAAACCCGTGTGAGAGTTATTTCTTTCTTGTTTGAAGAAAGCAGCTAAAAATATATTTGAAAAACACGAATCCTGTGTTCGGCTGTGCAATCGTGTCATGAGCCTTTAGGGCGAAGCTTTTCATCCTTTTTGAGTCCACGACTCCCTTGACCCACTGCATTCTTTCTTTTTTTCCCCAAATTTTTTTATTGGTTTTCCAAAAAATTTAAACAAACAAACAAACAAATCTTAACTGTACTTAATCTAATCTTCATAACATTGTTAGGTGACTTCCTCTAATCCCTCTGGCTGAGTTTCAGTATATATCTTTGTAACAGTTTTGCAAACCCAAATTTCTCATCAAATTAACCACTTCGTTCTTTCTTTTCATTTAACTTTAAACATTTATTCTCTAACATCACATATTTAAATCCTAAACTTATCCGATATTTGCAAATTTTTCCAATTAAATTATCTTAACATATTTAACTAAATAGTCTTTTAAATTTCATCCATTCCTTCTGGTACTCCTCCTCCTCCTGGTCGTGGACTCTTCCAGTCAGGTTGGCTAGCTCCGAAAGGTCCATCATTTTCATCTGCCATTCCTCCACTGTTGGGACTTCTTGTGTTTTCCAATTCTTAGCTAACAAAATTCTAGCTGCAGTTGTGGCATACAAAAACAATCGACCCACTGCATTCTTTCTGGGGCACCCCTGTGGGGCTCAGGAGCTGAGTTATGTCACCCCTTGCCTGCAGAGTGGGCAGCCTCTCACCCCTTTTCAAACACCCTTCCTTGTGGAGTGTGTTCACTCAGCCTCCTCTCTCCTCCCCTCTCCTTGGGAGTCCTCTGGGCAGCCGCAGCTGCCGCCCCTGGTCTCTGAGCTGCCCCCCTTGCCCCAAGGAGAGGTGCCTCCTCACACTGCCCCACAGTGAGGCAACCCCTGGCCAACCCCAGAGGTACCATTGACCTGGGGAGCTTGTAGCCAGGGCTGCTGCATCAAACAGCCGCACAAGCCTTTGGTAGGCAGAGACATGAGAGGGCATCAGGAGGGAGGAAAGAGGGATAGAGGCCAGTGTTGCTTATGGCACCCCAATCATCATTCAAGGCACCCCAGGGTGCCACGGCACACTGGTTGAAAACTACTGCTTTAGGGAATTAAGCAACAACAACAACAAAAGCTGTTCCAAAGCTTCAGTGGAGCAAGAACGGTAGATTTTCTTGACTGTGGTAAGTAAATAAATTCTAGGCTTCCTGTGAGCTCAAAGCTTCCATCCGAGGAGGATGACGTTTGTCGGCATTTGTTGGGAGTGGCTAATTCTACTGAGTTGGGTCATTCAGTCACTCCCTCTGCAGAGACTCAATCAGTAATGCAGGCCTTCTCCAGACTATTGCATTTAAAGCAGCAAACTGCTCTAAACAGTCCTGGCTTTCCCCCAAAGGGTTTAAGAGGGTTGTAGGTTGGTAGGAGACCCCTTGTTGCCCTCGCAGAGCTATAATTCGCAGAGTGGTTTCACAGTCCATCTGTCATCCCAGGGGAGGTGACATCTTGTGTCGCCTGAAAGACTAGCAAGATTCATAGATAGGCTTTCATGGGTTCAAGGCCACTTCATCCTATGCCTGAAGGGAAATCTTAAATTGGTAGACGCTGTAAGAGAGAAAATGGTAAGGTGGGAGTTGAAAATATAGTCAGTGATAATCAGTTTACATGCATGATTAAAAAAATCCCACACCTATAACCTTGAGATGATTTGTTGAGATGATTATAGTCACACCTGCCAGTGAGACAGGGTACCATTAGGAAGAAACAGTCACGGATAGCACAGCTATTCTGTCATTGGAACCAGGCAGAGGGCCTTCTCGGTAGTGGCGCCCACCCTGTGGAATGCCCTTCCACCAGATGTCAAAGAAATAAACAACTACCTGAGTTTTAGAGGACATCTGAAGGCAGCCCTGTTTAGAGAAGCTTTTAATATTTGATGAATTATTGTATTTTAATATTTTGCTGGAAGCCGCCCAGAGTGGCTGGGGAAACCCAGTCACATGGGCGGGGTATAAATAAAAACGTATTATTATTATTATTATTGTTATTATTAAACACTAGGCAGTTAAGTTGGGGAAGCAGAATGTCAAGATTTGGTGCCTCGCAGACCTCTGCACCGGGGCTTTCCCTGCCCTGCTGCCCCGAGTGGCTCTGCATAGTCCCTGGAAAAGCTGCCAACACCTGCCAGACAGGCAGAAGTCCAACCGGTGAAGTTTCCCCCCATTACTGCACCGCCAAGCATTGGAACTCCGCCTATGGACTTAGGAGTGGCTTTTCTTCCCCACGCAGTAAACAAAGGTCCCCGTGTCGCTCCCAAAATCCGCAGCAAATAGAGCGACGCCTTTTCTGACTGCTGCCAATGCATCTGCTTCCAGATGCGAGGAGAGCTTTGGCTCCGCCCCCGCCATTGTGGTGTCCCCCCCCCAAAAAAATCTCTCACCTCTCAGTGGTTCCCTCTCTCTCTGCCGCTCTGCGATTGGTTCATTGGAGCGAGAGAGACGGGGTTTTCCTTTTTTCTTTTTTTTTGGACGATCCGCCGCTTAGATTTTCGCCGGCTGAGGCCACGCCCCCCGCGTTCTGATTGGCTCAGGCGGGTTCGGAGCGGTGACATCCGGGCATTTTGGGGGAGGCGAGGTAAGAAGGAGGTGTCGGCGGCCAGGGCGAGGGAGTGGCGGACCGGAGAGGGAACCGCCCAAGTCTGGCGGAGGGCTGCTGCGCCTCCCCTTGCATTCTGGCAGGTGAGCAAGCACCTTTCATTGCCCCCCCTCCCTTCTTTCCGCCCCCCTCCATTAAGAAGCACGGCGAAGGGGTTCAGGGTTCAGCCTTTCCCAGTGCAAGATCCCTTCCTGCCTTTGCGATCCTTCTTTCTCCCCATGTTAAGTATAAATAATAAAATTACTACTACTATAATTATTATTCTCCTCCTTTCCTCCGCCCGATACGTCGCCTTTTTCCCCTTTCCGCCCCCCGAGGACCAAAAGCCTCGAAATGCACGTCCCCCCCCCCCAACTCAGATCTCCCCTTCTCTCCGCCCTCCCCTCCACCCACTGCATGGCGGAAGACAGCCCCTCCTTTTCTATTCCATAATATTCCCTATTCTTCCTTACTGACATCTCGAACCCCAACTCTCCCCACTGCCCGCTTCTGATGGATCCTTATCGCAGCTGGTTTGTAGGGAGATAGGGAGGGGGCAGCCCTTTTCTCTTCTCTTCTATCCCATAATAGCCTCCGTTCGCATTTACTTTCCGGTGGGGGGGGGTTGTGATGGGCTAAGATGCTCTCCTTGTCATCTTTCCCTTTCCCCCATTCGCAGCATTCCACCACATGTCAGGTGGGGGCATAATGTATTTGCTCTGACCATCCCATAATGTCCCCCTTCCTCGCTTATCCCAGACCCGGCTGGCATTTTCCCCCAGCCTGCCCTAACATTCGTTTTTCTCTGTCCTATGAAATTAAAAAGAATGGCAACTGCCATTGTTTGTTTGCCTTTCACGCACCATTCCCTGCTGACTGTCCTTCCCACCTGCCTCCCCCTCAATATCCTGGGTGACGATGGAGAACCTCCACAGACCTGTGTGTTGATCTCCTTTTGCTTTGTGCAAGCAGCTAAGGATGATTATTCAGTGGGATAGTGTGTGTCTAATGTGGGGTTCCAGGTTTTCTGAAATAAGGAATAAATCCCATTCAGGGATATTTGTTACTCCTTTCATCCTCTAATCCCATTTTTTTTGCTCTTGATTTGCAAATCACTGTACTGTTGGCTTATCTTAATATATTTTGCCTAGGTGACAGCTATAGCAATTAAAGTCAACTACCTGGGGTGGGGGTGGGGCGGGGAAATAAACCACATTGGGTAACTGATATCTCTAAGTAACCTTGGCACATGCCAATATATTTGAAATCTAGTTCTTATTTCTGTTCATCAAGGACCCTGAGTTGGAGAACTATAAAACGGTTAAATGCTGATTAAAACGTTTGGAATACATAACGTGAGCAGCATATTTTAAAAAACAAAGCCTCTTAGTATCACTAACACACTCTGTCTGGGACTGCTTTTTAGGCTGGTCTGGAAGCTGTAATTGATATAAAACGCAGCCACTTCGCTGCTTACTGGGAAATATTATTACTGTACATACTATATCACGCTTAAAGGAGTTATACTGGCTGCCCCCAAGCTACTGGGTCATGTTTGATATTTTGGTATGGACTTAGAAAGCCCTAAATATCTTGGGACCAGGATACCTTTCTCCCTGTTTTCCTACACCAGGAGTGAGGAACTGGATTAAGCCCGCCACAATCTTGATAAGTGAGTGGAGGTACCCCCTGCCAAACTTCAAAGGGGTTGTGGTAACAACCGATTGCTGTTTCCTTACCTGATGCACACCTGAAATCACTTACAATGTCAAGGGTGTGACAGGTTGGTGTGGTTTTGGGGGGTGGAATGGCCTTGGGGCCAAATTGTGACCCATTCCGGGCCTAATTAGGCTTGTGGGCTGGAGCTTCCCCACCTCTGCCCCACATGATCATTACGATCAACTGATGAGTCCCTCCTGGTTGCATCACTGCCTATGGAAGTGCAGTAAACAGACATAGCGGAAGGACTTTTCCTGTGGTGATTCCTGCACTGTGGGACTACCATTTCCTTGGCAAACGCACACATTAGTCATCTTCAGGTGTCCTTTTAAAAACACAGATCTGTTTCTGGCTATCAAATTTATTTATCAAAGTGATATCATGCCCGTCTTCCTGAAGGACCCCAGGCCTGCCAATGTCTGCTTTAAATGTTTTTAATGTCTGCAGCCTTTGCTGGTACCGTACCATTTTAACTGTGTTCTAGTCTTACAATTTCACACACACACACACAAACACCCCGCTGCCCTGTATTATAATGTTTTTATACCCATTTGGACATTGCTGTACATGGCCTCCAGAATTGATGAGGCAGGCCGTATAGAAGTATTTTTTAATAAACAAATGTTACTCAGTAAACAAATAATGCTCACTGTAAAAGCATTACTTTCACTGTGTGTCAAAAGCTGTGTAATGAAGGAGCTGAATGAGATTCTTCCTGGAAACTGTGTGCCAACACCTCAGAGCCGCCCAGAGTGGCTGGGGCGACCCGGTCAGATGGGCGGGGCACAATTAATACAATTATTAATATTTTTATTTTAACTGCCCGTCATATCTCATGCGGTGGAGAAGGGGGATGGTAGATGGTGCCCCTTGCTAAGGAGGGCGGTGGTCCTTCCTTAAACACATTTTGCCTTTTCTGACAGGAGCCCACAGACCATGGCGGAGCCACCGATCGAAGACGATGGCGAGGAAGCGGCTCGGGCCCAAGCCAAGCCGGAGCCGGCTCACCAGGCCACGGTGGCAGCCAAAAACCTGGCCATCTTGAAGGCGCGCTCCTTCGACGTCACATTTGAGGTGGGGGACGAATATGAGGTCATCGAGACGATTGGCACCGGCGCTTACGGCGTGGTGAGCTCAGCACGCCGCAAGGACACAGGTAAGGGAGGGAGGAAAGCGCCAAGGCTGGATGGAAGCTGAGAGGATGCCGTTGTTTGGTCTCTAACTGTGCGCAGAGGTGGGGCCCGTGCAAATGGATGGATGCGAATAAGTCTCTCCACAGGGGCTTTGTTCTCCCTCCACTGTTGGAGGCAGTCTGCCTCTGAATACCAGTTCCTGGGAATCCCAAGTGGAAAGAATGCTCTTGTGCTCAGGTTCTGGTTCTCTAGACACCTGGTTGTCCACTGTCTGACTGGGGTGAGGCTTTGGCTTTGCCCAGTAAGGCCGGATTGTGTCCCCCAGCTGACTATTGAGGCTTTGGGGCCTTGTCCTTATTGACTGCTCTGTGCTGTGATGCCCCAGGGATTTTTTCTCTCTCCAGCTTGACTCATTGGAGCCTGGCTGGGAATATAAACAGAGTTTGGGGGTGGTGGTAACGCACCCATTGATGTTAAAAACTGAACTGTAACTGTACCCTTTGTGATCATATGCCACACATCACTTTCCTCTTGGTATGTTATCAACTCGGTAAATTGCATAGCTGTGTCCTATCGTGTGGTGTCAGACTAGGACCTGGGAGAGAGCAGGGTTCAAATCCCCACTCAGCCATGAAGCTCCCTGGGTGACCTTGGGCCAGTCTCTGCCTCTCAGCCTGACCTACCTCACAGGGCTGTTGTGGGGATTAAATTATTAAATGAGGATTAAAGGAGGGGGAGAACCATGTACACCACCTTGAGCTACTTTTGCGGGGGAATGTGGGATAGAAATGCAATAAATAAATATTTCTTCATTTACAATTGTGACAGCTTACCATGTTTAAACTATTTTTTCTTTATTTTTTCTGTAATCTGTTATTAGAAATGATTTTTTAAAAATTGAAAAATCAAAGGATGTCCCCCCCCCAAAAAGAGAGCAGTTCTCAATTCTTCACATGCCATATGTGAACAAGAAAATCGCATGTCAAAGTAAACTGGGCTGCCCCTTCACATCTAATTTGGCTCAGGGTGTGAAGCAGAGGGGGCTGGTTTTAAACCTTATGGGAGACATCAGGTGCATTGAGCCTAGCCTAGCTTTCCTCACAGGGTTGTTGTGAGGGGGAGAAATACTATAATGCACTCCAGGGGAAGGAGGGAAAGACCAGGTGAGTGATGCGTCCGGATGTATGAGACGTATCCCTTTCTGATTTAATGCTTTGAACCTGTTTCTCCTGCTCTTCCCTTGCCAGGCCAGCAGGTGGCGATCAAGAAGATCCCCAACGCTTTTGATGTGGTAATGAACGCCAAGCGCACTTTGCGCGAACTGAAGATCCTCAAACATTTCAAGCATGACAATATCATCGCCATCAAGGACATCCTTAAGCCCTCTGTGCCTTATGCGGAATTCAAATCTGTGTAAGTGCTATTATTTCCCTGGATAAAGGGGTGCGGCCCTTAAAAATAAATAAATCTCAGTTTCCTCCCAGTATCCTCATTAATATATCCATTAACATGGAATAGGCTGAAATGACAAAATTAACTACCAAATCAAGAGGGCATAATGATGAAGTGTTTAAGGAAGAATGGAGACCACTGATCTATCAAATGATCACCTGTATATGAAGTCGCTGGCAGGATTCGAAATATAAGCAGTAGATTTCATGGTAGCGGGGTTTAGACAATACAAATAGATGTGCTACAAAACAGCTAAGAAAAAGGAATAAAAAACAAACATCGGGAAAGAAGGGGCGGGAAGTCAAGAAGAAACTTTGTATGTTTTTAAAAAAGTATACGTTGATATATTTATGCTTTGAAATATTTTTGGAGACTTAATAAAAATGATATGAAAAGGAATTCTGTATATAATGGAAGAGGTAAAGGATTTGGATTATCATAAAAGATGAGGGATGAAAGGATTAATAATAGGACCCACAAAGGGAAGGACAGAAGTCCAGGAGATTCTTTGGAATCTTGTTTTTATGATTGACGTTTGATATATCTGTGTAAAAATTTAATTTGAAAAACCAAATTTTATATTAAAAAAATGATGTGAGAGAGAGACAGAGTCTGGCCAAAAGGCCCCCCCAGTGAATATTGTGGTGGAACAGTATTCAGGTTCTCTCCTTGACTGACCACGCCTGCTCTTCCCTTGGCCAGGTACGTTGTGCTGGACCTGATGGAGAGCGACCTGCACCAGATCATCCACTCCTCTCAGCCCCTCACCTTGGAGCACGTGCGCTACTTCCTCTACCAGCTCCTCCGGGGCCTCAAGTACATCCACTCGGCCAACGTCATCCACCGGGACCTGAAGCCCAGCAACCTCCTGATCAACGAGAACTGCGAGCTCAAGATCGGCGACTTCGGCATGGCCCGCGGCCTCTGCACCAAGCCCGACGAGTACAAGTACTTCATGACCGAGTACGTGGCCACGCGCTGGTACCGGGCCCCGGAGCTGATGCTCTCCCTCCACGAGTACACCGAAGCCATCGACATGTGGTCGGTCGGGTGCATCTTCGCCGAGATGCTGGGGCGGAAGCAGCTGTTCCCGGGGAAGAACTACATCCACCAGCTGCAGCTGATCATCACGGTCCTGGGGACCCCTCCGGCCAAAGTGGTCCACTCCATCGGGGCCGACCGCGTGCGCGCCTACGTCCAGAGCCTGCCGTCGCGCCAGCCGGTGCCTTGGGAGAGCCTCTACCAGAACGCCGACCGCAAGGCCTTGGCCTTGCTCTCCAAGATGCTGCGCTTCGACCCCCGCGAGCGGATCTCCGTGGTGGAGGCGCTCAACTACCCCTTCCTGGCCAAGTACCACGACCCGGACGACGAGCCCGACTGCGTCCCGGCTTTCGACTTCGACTTTGACAAGCGGGTGCTCACCAAGGAGCAGATCAAGGAGGCCATTGTGGCCGAGATCAACGACTTCCACGAGCGCCGGGAGGGCATTCGGCGGCAGATCAGCTTCAAGCCGGCCCTGAAGCAGGCGGTCGTCGGCGGAGGCGGCCAGGCGTTGCTCCTCTGCTGCCGCGACGTCGACATGCCCAGCGCCGGCTCGCCTCGGGCCGGAGACGGAGACTATGCCATGGCGTCTCCCGGGCCCTACTTGCTGACGGAGACGATTGACCTCACCTCTCCGCCGGTGCCGTCGGCCGTTGTGCAGCCGGAGGTGAAGGCTGAAGAGGGCGCTCCGGCCGCTGTTCCCCCTAAGCGGGAAGGCGCTATCTCGGATGACACCAAGGCTGCCCTCCGTGCGGCCATTTTGTCATCGACTCTCCGGCACAAGGCCAGAGGTAAGGGTTTGGAGCAAAGGAAGCTGATGTCTATCGAGCCACGTCACTGGTCAAATCTAGGTCAAGATTAGCTCCGCTGATTGGCAGCGGCTCTGCAGGGTTTCTGACAGGACATTTGCAGCCCTGCCTGGAGATGCTGGGAATTGAACCTGCGACCCTCTGCATGCAAGGCTTACCTTGGTGCTACGGCCATTTCCCAAGGGTTCCAAGGAAGCAGTTTGGTGCAAGGTAGCAGTGAGAGGGAATAATAATAATAATAATTTATTATTTATACCTGCCTGGTTTCTCCAGTCACTCTGGGCGGCTCCCAGCAGATTAAAAACAGAATAAAACATCAAACATTAAAAACTTCCCAATACAGGGCTGCCTTCAGATGTCTTCTAAAAGTCAGATAGTTGTTTATTTTCTTGACATATGATGGGAGGGCATTCCACAGGGCGGGTGTCACTACCAAGAAGGCCCTCTGCCCGGTTTCCTGTAACCTTGCTTCTTGCAGTGAGGGAATCGCCAGAAGGCCCTTGGAGCTGGACCTCAGTGTCCCGGCTGAACGATGGGGGTGGAGATGCTCCTTCAGGTATACTGGGCAGAGGCCGTTTAGGACTTTAAAGGTCAGCACCAACACTTTGAATTGTGCTTGAAAACGTACTGGGAGCCTATGTAGGTTTTTCAGGACCAGTGTTATGTGGTCTTGGCAGCCACTCCCAGTCACCAGTCTAGCTGGTGTAGTTTCTGGGTCACCTACAAAGGTAGCCCTCAATGGACTGGAGGATTTTGCCACTCTAATTGGGGCTGATGGAACTTGTAGTCCAACAACACCCGGAAGACTACACAGTCCCCATCCCTGATCTCGTCTGTCATCCACCCTGTTTCCACCAGGCCTAGCCAGATGTTTCTGGGGAAACCCCAAGATGAAAACCAGATCTTCACATTTGGGGGGAAATGTTCCCCTATGAGAGTGGAGTCTTCCCAATTGTTCTGGGAGGCAGAGAAAGGGAGAGGCTGATGGGCAGCAGGACCATCTAAGCCACTTTCCCACTGCTTAATACTCTCCAGATGTTGTGGACTGCAGCTCCTGTCATGAAGGGAAGGGTAGGCTAGGTGATCTGTGGGATATTTCCAAAGATGTGCCCTGTATGAAGTGATTCCTGCAGAGCTGGACTATTGGTGGAATTCACAAATTTAGTGATTTCCCACAAGCATAAGCTTCCTAGCATGGAAAGTTAACTCAGCTGGTTACAGTGTGGTGCTGATAATGCCAAGGTTGTGGGTTCGATTCCCATTCAGGCCACCTGCATATTCCTGCATTGCAGGGGGTTGGACTAGATTATCCTTGGGGTTCCCTTACAAATCTGGAATTCTATGATACGCAGGTGAAACTGAATCCCTGACCATAGACGTAGCGGCTGCATAATGCAGGGCAACAGTAAAGGCTGGGTGTTTATCCACTTCCCCACAATCTCTCCCTTTCTTCCACAGATACACCCTCTACTGTGCCCGAGACGCCTGATATCCGCAGACCGGTCACGGCAAAGGAGCGCCAGCGCGAGCGCGAGGAGAAGCGTAAGCGGCGCCAGGAGCGAGCCAAGGAGCGTGAGAAGCAGAAGAAGGAGAAGGAGCGGGAGCGGAAGGGAATGTTGACCGAGAACGACCGGAACCTTCTGGAAAGGTGGACCAAGATGGTGGACCGTAACCAGAACAAGCCGCTCCAGAACGGGTCCGCCCTCCCGCTTCAGGCGAATGCGGCCGCCCACATCCTGCCTCAGGCCCCTCCTGCCAACCCCTTGCCGCCTCAGCCGCCCCCTGCCAGCCACGTCCCCACGACCCCTTCCGGCGGCGCGCCTGCCGACTTCCTCGCCTTCCCGGACAAGAGGGTGCCTGGCTTGTGTGGGCCCAAGCTGACTCTCGTGCCTGTGGGGGCGGAGCTGGCCCCCGTCCAGGGCTCTGCCGCCAACGTGGTCCACTTCTTCCCAGCGCAGCCGGCCCCCTTCTTGGTCACTGCCCCGGCGTGTCCAAAAGCCGCCCCCCCAAAACCGGAGTGCCTCCTAGGCGTCAAATACACCTCTGGGCAGATCTTCCAGGGCCCTTATGGCGTGGCGGCCCTCAACGCCTGGAGCGGCGTCTCCCAGGCACCTGAAAACTGGGCCGTGGCCAGGCAGCTGTCGGTGACTCAGCCGGAGGTGGCGCCCCCTAGCGGTACTCTTCCAGAACAAGCTGTGAGCTACGGACCCAGGGCTGGCGCGGAGCAGCCCCTGTTTCTGGCAGAGGTGGGCAGCAAGCCTGAGCTGCCGCCACAGGGTTTGGTTGGGGACGAAGCCGGGGGACCCGCCCAGCCCCACATAGCCCCGGGACTGCCGTCAGAGCCTCCGGATATCAACGTGGTGACACAGCAGTTGTCTAAATCCCAGGTGATGCCTTTTTCTGTATGCTGAAGGGGAAGCGCTTGCTAGTTGCTCTCTAGAGAAATGGGGGGGCATCCTTTTCGCTTTTGGTGCTTGGGGAAGCTGGGGGTCACTTGCCAAGGAGGTCATGGCCACCTGACTTTTTTCCAGGCAGCCCCTCAAGAGCTCATTTGATCCATGCCGGTCGCCCTCACTGCTGCACTAACTAAATTCTCTCTCTTTTGTTTATTAAGTTATTAATTATTAAATTTTCTGTGTTACAATTTAGAACATTTATTTAAACAACCTTAAAATACCAATGACTTCCCTTCTTCTCTTTCCATGGTTCATTTTGCATAGCACAAATCCCTGCATATTTTATATAAACTAAACCGTTCAGAATTCCATTATTGCTTCCATCAAAACTTACTAACACTGTTGAATTTATCTTAATGCTGCCAACGTTTTGCACTAACTAAATTCTCTGTGGCCTAGATCCATAGAACAATGGTGTTGACTAAATTAATAGTGTTTAGTATTAATAGTATTTCATCGCCTCAGCCAACTTTCCCTGTTTGATTTCAATGGATCTTAAGCACAACTAAATTATCTCGATTTGGACCCTGGTTTGTATGGTTGTTTTTATGCATTCTGTGTTTTTTATACTGTAGTTTTATGTTGCAAACTGCCCTGAGATTTATAGATGTAGGGCCGTATACAAATGTGATAAAAAATAATAATAATTGTCAGCTCTGTGTAGCCTGGCAGAGGGGACTGTGGATGGTATTCAGCTAAAGTTTACTCAGAGCAGACCCATTTGAAATTAGTGGACTTAACTTAGTCATGCTAGTCTTTAATTTCAGTGGGTGTACTCTGCGTAAAACTTAAAATTGACTACTACTGTGTATGTTGTCCACTGATCTCTGCTGGTTCCTGATGATGATCTGCGATAAGCTGATCTCTGCACAAGGAATGAATCCACTGTTTTCTTGATTCCAGGTGGAAGACCTCTTGCCCCCTGTTTTCTCTGGCACCCCAAAAGGCAGTGGAGCTGGCTATGGGGTTGGATTTGACCTGGAAGAATTTCTGAACCAATCTTTCGACATGGTTGGGGAGAACAGAGAGAGGTAAGAGTTGCTTGCCTGGGCTTGTAAGTGGAACAGAGTTATGTGCCATTTGCTCACAGATGTTCACTAGCGTGCCCACGACCTATTCCCTCAAAATCGTGGAGCTGTGCGGGTGTGGCCACAGATTGGTCGGCTACCATTGGCTTACCTGCTCTGAGTCACTGAAGGCCAGGCAGCTGAGAGCTAAAGCGAAGGGACCTTTAGCTTTGGAATTCTAAGATCAGTGGATAACTCTGTGGTTTAAATTAAAGCTTAGAAGTCTTGTCACTTGTGAGCTCTGGAATGACACATTATTAGTCACTTCAGACTTCTTTCCTAGCTATAGACAGACAGTGCTTATTGCTTACACATTCCAGTACTCCGGACTTCCTCTGCAGATAGAAATGTCTGCTCTCGGCATCCCCTTCTCTGACGAAAATCAGTGCAACTTGCCTCATTTGGATTCGTAGGATAGTAATCTGAAATATATGGATTTCGCCCAGTATCCTGCCCCTGTGTTCTTTCCTTACCAGCAGTTAACAAAGTGTGACTTCTCTAGAGGAAGAAAAGAATTGCGTTTGCTCTATAGAGCCTTCTTGTTGATGGGATTCTCTCCTGCAAAAGCTAGTACAGGCCCTGGGATCTGCCCTGTATCTTCAGCTGTGAAGACAGATTCGTTCTGCTTCTCTGCTGTCTCCTCCTCCCCTCTCAGCCCCAGCCAGTATGGCCCAGCGATCAGGGATGATGGGAGCTTTAGTCAAATGACACCTGCAGGACTGCAAATTCCCCTTCCCTCCCATAGAGGGTGCTCCAACGCATATAGAAATTCCAAACTTTTAAAGAGGCAATCAAAGGAAAAGGGATGGTGCCCTGACTGTTCAGGTGCTCTAAATTGGTGGGCCCCCAAGCCTTTTACTCCATGGACCACTTGAAAATTGCTGAGGGTCTTGGTGGACCTCTTAACAATTTTCTTGCCGGTTGTAGCAATTGAAATGCACCACGCTAGTTAGTGTATGATTTTTTTAAATTGTATATTTACATGCAGATCAAAGTTTGGGAAACCCTGATCTTAATTTAGCCTCTGGATGCTTTTGGACTACAGATCCCATCGTCCTTTACCAGTGGTCAGGGGCGATGGGAGTTGTAGTCCAGCAACTTTTTTTTTGCAGCCGCAAGGTTGAAGAACATTGTCCTAGAGCAGGATCTCCCAGACATGGGTCTCCAGCTGTTTTTGGACTCCCTGACCACTGGTCTTTCCAGTTATGGATGGAGACCCAGGTTTGAGAAACCCTGTCCTACAGCATCTCCCAAGTGCCAAAAAGGGCTGTGCTCCAGGCACCCCAAAGAGGACACTACACTGCACAGGGCTACACAGTTTGGATCCCCTCCTTCCTGCATGAAGAGCCAGACTTTTTCTTTCACCCACGGCATTATGCAAAACGGTACACTTTGGGTCAGCTGCCTTGTCTTGTCCTTCGCCCATTGCCTTGTCTTTCACCTGTTCCCCTCTTTCCTCCTCCTGCCTTAGTCAAGGGGACTCTGCCCCGCTCTCGGCCTCCCTCCTCGCCGACTGGCTGGAAGTCCATCGCATGAACCCCGCCGACATGGAATCCCTCCAGCAGGAACTGCAGCTGGGCTCTCCCATGATCCTCTCTGACATTCCAGACCTGCAGGATGCGTGAAAAAGTTGCCTCTTCCTTCCGCTGTCTTCCTCCTGTTTCGTTTCGGTGCGATAAAGTCTGAGCCCCGCTTGGGTCTTCTTCACGGCCTTCTTGGCGACTCTGGCTGGGAACATCACCGCAGTGCCTGCCTTTTTCCTTCTTTCCTTCCTTCCTTTTTTTTTCAAAGCACCAGCTGGGTTGAGCTGGTGTTTGGACTTTCTACAAAAAAGGTCTGAGGGTGGGCCAGGCAACCCCCCTGTCCCTTCTGTCCTGTGGGTGTGTTGCAGGACGCAGGAATGAAAGCCGTTCAGGTAACAACCTCAGCCGACAACACTAAAAGGTGGATCCATTACCTGTTGTCTTACCTGTTGTCCATTACCTGCTGAGGGAACGCCTTCCTGACCCCTCACTGTGTTTTCTTTTTGCCTCATGGCCTGAGAACCAGACACCTTTCTCCTCACACTGTTTGAGGGGCGAGCATCCGTGTCAACGCATTTTCTTTTTTCCAAGTTTACTGACGCCGGGAGAGAAACACGAGTGCCAAATGCGCAGCCATAGCACGCTTTGCCTTTTATAAAAAGTGTGTTGAAAGCGCTGGATTGTATGAGAGGATTGCCCTGTTGCGGGGAAAAGTGGGTGGGGATAAGGAGGTAAGATGGGCCCTATTGGATCAGCCCAGCATCCTGTTCTCACAGCAGCCAATCAGACGCCTACAGGAAGCCCTCAATAATAATTATAATAATAATTTATTATTTGTACCCCGCCCATCTGCCTGGGTTTCCCCAGCCGCTCTGGGCGGCTTCCATAGAAACCAAAAATACACTAAAATATCACAGATTAAGAACGACACAAGCGCAACAGCGATTCTCAGCATTCGAGGGCATGTTGCCCCTCGCAGCAGAGGAATAAGCTAGCTAGCCCATGTGGTTGGCAGTCACTGACAGCCTTACCTTCCACAAATTATTGCCTCATCCTCTTTGAAAGCCATCTAAGTTGGTGGCAGCCACCTTACAGAAGGAGCTGCCTTAATATTGAAGTAGACCAAGGGGGCTTGTCTAGCTTGGCGCTGGGCATTCTGACCTCGGGGTGCATCTCCCAAGATCTTGGTGGGGAGTCTTCTGCAGGGTTCCTTTTAACTGGAAATGGCAGGGATTGAACCCTGAACTGCCCTCAGCAGACATGCAGAAATTATGGGCCCTTCCGGTGTTGCTGGACTACAACTCCCATCGTCTCTGGCCTTTGGCTGACGGGGAGTTGCAATTCCCTGCCATTCCTCCGCATTGGGACCTCTTTCCTGGCTCTGTCTATAACGCCTGCCTTCCTGCAGGCGTGACCCATCAGGTGAAGGTGTGTCTTGGGAGCCAATGTGGTGTAGCGGTTAAGAGAGGTAGACTCGTAATCTGGTGAACCGGGTTCGCTTCCCCGCTCCTCCACATGCAGCTGCTGGGTGACCTTGGGCTAGTCACACTTCTCTGAAGTCTCTCAGCCTCACTCACCTCACAGAGTTTGTTGTGGGGGAGGAAGGGAAAAGGAGATTGTTAGCTGCTTTGAGACTCCTTCGGGTAGTGATAAAGCGGGATATCAAATCCAAACTCCTCTTCTTCTGCGGCTGCCACGTGGAAGATGGCTCAGGACACCCCCCCCCACGGTGCCCGCATCTCCACGCAGCAGCTGTAGATCCCCTTCTGGAGGGGTGAGTTGGAAGCCTTGGGAGTTGCCTTGCCTTGTATTGAGCATCGGTCCCTTTAGCCCAGTATTGTCCACACTGACTGGCAGCGGCTGTCCAGGGTTTCAAGTGGAGTGGTGGTCCCCAGCTGGATTTGAAATCAGATCTGAACCTGGGACCTTCTGCATGCACAACTGAGCTAATGGGAGTTCCTGCACCCTCTGCTAACTTGCCTGGCCGGCTGCTCTTGACCTGTGTGTGAGTCTCATATGAAGATGGTTTCAGGTGGCTTCCATTTGGCTGCAACAGGCAGGCCTAGTCACCAAGAAGGCCTCTGAAGCTGCCATCTTGCCAGCCCACCAGCCGTTTCTTCCCATGAGACCTTGGCGCCAAATTCATTACAGAGGAGCCAGACTTTCCCCTTCCTCAGGAGCTGCTCTGTCATGTTGAGAGTCTTCAGTCCAGGAGGATGCAGTGTGGCCGAGGGTGGTGATGGTCCTGTTTTCGTCAAGACGAGGGTGCCCCAGATTTCCAGGAGTGCCTTAGCCAGCCGTCTTCCCTTGTGTGCAGCAGGCCTTGAGGCCTCGTTTATGTAAGCTGAGCTCTAGAAGACGTTACTTGTTTTCAACATGCCTGTCTAGATGAGAATTCTACATTTGGGGTGGTGGTTGCAGAGATCTCTCTTCTGCCCCCCACCCAATGTAACCATGAACATTGCATAGCAAAGGTGACCTTCCCGCTTGGTTCATTGTGGCCCACTAGGAAAACTCTGCAGCCCAGGACTTCATTGGAACATTAAACTGGGGCCTTGTTTACTTGAACTGAGATTATTTTGGGTTCAGCTATTCCTGCGGCATCAAGAGTAACCAATGATGTCCTTTCTCTCTCTCTCTCTCTCTCTCTCTCTCTCTCTTTCTCTCTTTCTCTTTCTTTCTCCCTCCTCCTCTGTCAAGGGTAACCTCGCCCCCAGTTGCATTTTCCTACACGGGGGAGGGTTGGGATTTTGGCCAGATCGCAGGGTTGATTTTCGGATGCTTTCTGTGCTAGGTTAGCTGGGTGGAGATAGAAAACGCACCTCTGAAGATTCAGAGGTCAGAGTTGAAATGGATTCTTGTGTGTGTCTGTTGTGTGTACATTGTCTTGAGTGCTGCTGGCTGTGTGTGGTGGATTTTCTCCAAAGCGATGGTGCCATCTCGTGATGATTTTTGTCATTAAACTTTCTATTAAAATTGTGATTTATAAAAAGCCGGAGTGGTGCAGTGTTTGTATTGTGTCTTTCCTTGTTGCCTGTAGGATTACTAGCGTGTAAGAAGTGCCCTGTTGGATGAGGCCAGTGGCCGATCTCGTTCAGCTTCCTCGAATCGTAGAGTTGCAAGGGACCCTGAGGAGCATCTAGTCCAACCCCCTGCAATATGCAGCTGCCCCATACGGGGATCAAACCTGCAACCTTGTCATTATCGGCACCATGCTCTAAGTCCAGGCATGTCCAAAGTCTGTTTCAGGGGTGTAATCCTGAGTGGCACTGACTGGAAGCTCCAGGATTTCAGCCGGGATCCTCTCCCAATGTCATCGCAGTCGGCGAGTGAGTAAATCAGGCATTTCAGGGGCCTAATCTGGCCTGCTGGTTGGTTTAATCTGGCCCCTGTGGCAGTTTATTTCCTGGGGTAAAATCCTAAAAAAGCCTCAACAACTCCAACCCTAAAAAAGGTCAACAACTTCAATCCTAAAAGAAGGTTAACAACTTTGGTCGGATACAAATCAATATGGCTAACCTGATCCAAAACACCCACCCACCCCACTCACACACACATGAAAACAAAGATCACCATAGCCAATCACAAACAAACAACCACACCCTAGGCCAACCCCAACCTCTCTCACAACCAAAGGAACACAAGTGAATAGCAGAGAACCTGCATAAGCGACGCTGACACAAACCCCCACATATATTAAGTCAAATAGAAACATTGCCACCCGACCCCACCCCCATCTCCCCCCCCCTTTCCCCCTTCTTTCTAATGTCTCAACAAATGAAACTGATCTGTAAAAAATGTTACTTGGAGAAAAAAGAGAGAGAGAGAGACATTGCACATACTTTTGTAAACTAAGAAAATCTTTAATAAAAATACATTTTAAAAAACCAACAACTTTGGTCGGCCCCCATGGCCCTTCACTTCATCAACTCTGGCCCTCTTTGAAAAAAGTTTGGACACCATAGCCAGTGGAGCTATCCAGCTGATGCCTGTTCTCACAGGGGCTAGCCGACACAAAAACAGGACCTGAGCGCAACACCAACTGTCCCCAGTTCTGATTCCCAGCAACTGGTTTTCAGAGGCATTCTGCCTCCCACGTGGGCTTGCATGCTTTGCACTATAGTTCCCCCTGTTGCCTAAACTGAGTATTTAGGCTTGTATTCAATGCAGCTCTACGTAAGCATCCCATCTACCCAAGGATTCCTGCTTGCACAATTTTTCCGTACCCAGATCTGCTCTGGGTTTTTTTTTGAAGAAATCCCAATGCTAGATTTAGGGGACTTGTGAGGGAAGGGAGTGGTGGAAAAATCCTATTATAGAATCCTAGAGCTGGAAGGGGGACCCAAAGGCTCATCTAATCCACAAGCAGAAATCCATACACTGACTAAATGCTTTCGTGGCTCCTTAGTAAACATTCCCAATCAAGCCCAGGGATGGGGAACCTGTGACCTTCCAGCTGTTACTGGACTCCATCTCCCATTAGCCTCAGCCAGCATAGACTGTGATCAGGAATGATGGGAATTGTAGTCCATCAGTATCTGGAGGGCCACAAACCCTCCCCCCTAGTCTGTTCTAGCCTATAGTCTCTGTGACTGGCCAAGACAACATGGCTATTGAAGTCTTCCCTGGTGCTCCTTTTACAGGCACGGACTGCCTTCAGCCTGGCATGGCAATGATCGACCTATATTTTGATTCAGACGCCAGCACTGGCTGTGGTTGGTTACTGCAGGGTAGGAGCCTAGCAACAGGGGAGGATCAAAACAGTTCACATCAATCTACCAGCTGCATAGATTATAGGTGGGTGGAAATTTTTGCATATCAGCTGGGAGATGCCTCACCAGCCCAGGTGGAGCTGGTAAAATCTCACCTGAGCTCAATGAGGCCTAAATGTCACAGCTGCTGTTTTACTGAAACTGGAGACCTGTGTGGACAAGCCCCTTTGGGAGGGATGCATATGGCGGAAATGGTGCAAAGTTTATAGGCCTGAAGTCAGACTTTTAAAATGTTCCTATTCTGCAAACGGGGAGGACGAAAGCGGAGAGCAGCTGGCAGCTTACGCCAGGTCTTCTCACCTGAGCTCCATTGGGACTGACATCTTTAAACTCTTGTGCTTCCCCCCCAGCAATACAGCAAAATTCTGCCTTCTCAGAAACCCAGGCATAAGCCCTCTGAAAATGGCATGTTTGAAATGCAATCGGATTCTGAAATGGGAGTCCTGAAATATCTGAAAAGACTGGTCCCTTCCTTACCCTCCCAGGTGTTAAGATCTGCAGAGGGGTGGGAATGGACCAGGAGAGGACATTTTCTGTGGAATTCCTTCCCCACAAAGGTGTATCTGGCTTTTCCCCTACACATCTTTTGGCCAGTGCTGAAGAGGCATCTCTTTGGCATCTGAGTTGTGTGTTTTCAAGACCCACCCAATTCCTGTGATGGCAATCTGTTTCAGCTGTGCTTAGTTTTTAATTCCAAATTGTAACCTGCTGTGGCACTTTCTGGTGAAGGCTAGTTAATAAATGCGATGACAATACTTTGATTAACATGGCAGGAAATGGATCTAGGAAGCCTTCGGTTAACGTCTTGCCAAATTCCGAGGAATCCATCAGTTTGGATTCACATTCAAACGCAGTGTGCCAGGAGGCAGGGTAGAAATAAAGATAAAACAGGCAGGAAAAACCTGCTTTGTCTTGTGTTTGGCTCATCTTAACACGCCAGCAATATGCTGCTTGTACGAGTGCTCGTTCCATCTCAGGTGCTGTGAAAAGGAGCTAATTCTTCACAGCGGAAAGAGATCTGGGGTGTGGAAGACAAGAAGCATAGGAACCTGAGCTGTAAACCTGTTCTTCCCAAATATAAAGCAAAAACAGCTTTGGTTCAGGACGTTGTTTTTGAGGCGCAGGATTTTTCTCCATGCCACCACCCTTTTGGCTCTGATACTTGGTTTCTTGACCACCTTCAAGTCTTGGTCCTGCCTTGAAACGCATCTAGTCTGTTGTGGGGCACTGCCGCTTTGATGCTCTGCAGTCGGGGCTGGCCCTAACATTAGGCAGAGAGACGGCGGCTGCCTCAGGTGGTAGATATTGAGGGGTAGAGACTGGACATAGCTCAAGATGAGCCCCACATGGCTTGCCCTCAGTGGAGGCTGGTCCTTGAGGGTATATGAGGCACTGCCCCCCCAACTCAACAGGGATGAGCATGGGGAGAAAAGTGGTTGGCTCCGCCTCTCATTGGCTCTGGCTACACCTACAGTTGGCGTCCCTGCATTCCACCCTACCAGCCCTGATGGGCACCAGCCATCGCTGTGGGCACTCTCACCTTTTCTTGAGAAGCAAATGGGGAAAAATGTACTGGGATTTATTTTGGGGGCGGGGGCGGAGAGGAACAATGATAAATCCATGTTCTTAGTAGCATAATGTTACTTCATGTGATTTATTTCGCCAGGACTTTTTTATTACTTTACCGATGTGGGAAAATATATTTATTTGCAATAATGAGAACCAGATTACTTGGTTCTGCCAGAACCCCTGTAAAAATTATAGTTAACATTCATGACCCAGCCATCGACAGAGATTAAATCCTTTGCTGGTATTTTGGGTCTTGCCTTCCTGTTCCCACCAGGCTTTTGCTATCCAGATCCTTTCAAGAGAAACTTAGTGGGTTCATCCGAAAAGCAATATGAAGTCTCCACTGACTTCCTGCTGTTTTTGTTTGTTGCTGACTTGTTGTGTCCCAGTGAGGTGCTATGTTTCAGTCCAGCCACATGCAGAGGTCATTTCAGTATCCTGGAATCGTAGCACTAAGGAGTTGGAAGGGACCCCGAGGAATGCAGGAATCTCAACAAGATCATACATGACATGTGTTCATAAACCTCCAAGGAAGGTATGTCCACCACCTCTCATAGGAGTCTGTTCCACTGTCAAATAACTCTTACCGTCAGAAAGTTCCTCCTGATGTTTATTCAGTGTGGTGTAGTGGTTAGGAGCGGTAGACTTGTAATCTGGTGAACTGGGTTCGATTCCCTGCTTCTCCACATGCAGCTGCTGGGTGACCTTGGGCTAGTCACACTTCTCTGAAGTCTCTCAGCCCCACTCACTTCACAGAGTGTTTGTTGTGGGGGAGGAAGGGAAAGGAGATTGTTAGCCGGTTTGAGACTCTTTAGGGTAGTGATAAAGTGGGATATCAAATCCAAACTCCTCCTCTTCTTCTTGCAACTTGAAGCCATTGGTTCGAGTCCTAGCCTCCAGAGCAGGAGAAAGCAAGCCTGCTCCATCTTCCATGGGACAGCCCTTGAGATATTTGAAGATGGCTATTGTATCTCCTCTCAACTCTCCTTTTCCCCCAGGCTAAAGAGACCCAGCTCCCTCAACCGTTCCTCATACTAAGGCTAGGTTTCCAGACCCTAGATCATCTTGGTCGCCCTCCTCTGCACACGTTCCAGCTTGTCCATATGAGTGGGTTGCTTTGTCCTTCAAGGGCTCCACCTTGCAGACGATAATGTTATGTTTTTCCAAGGAGCACGTGAACAGTTACCCAACTGCAGTCTGGGGAGTGCCAGATATTGCACAACTGAAGTGAGGAATATGGGGCAGGAGGTGGTGAAGTGGAGTCATTTGGCGACTCTTCCATCTGCTGTAACACACTGGACTTCTCTTTCTGCTGTCCTGGGTCATGGGGGGAGAGAATGGGTCTGAGTCAGCACCGCACAGAGATAGAGAGTCCTTTGCTCCACTTCCTGTGGGGCTGAATGACTAATGTTTGTGTTTAGATGAATGGAATCTTTCAAAATCTGTAATGCCAGAGAGGATTAGCAATATACCCTCAGCCATAAAAGAGATGTGAAGCGTGCGGCATTAATAACAGAGTCCTCCCACTCTGGGGTGAGGCATGATGAGTCATTTGAAAATTTAAAGCCAGAGTATCTTTTTTTTCTCTTGCCCAGAATTAGGGTTGACACCATTATCTCCACTGCTCTGTTCTTCCCAGATAATAATAATAAAAAACAATGGTTTGGGGTTTTTTACATTAATTCTGGATCTCTAGGGTATGGAGAGCATATAGCTAAACATTCAGTCAGGCCTAGAATTGCTGCAAAGTTGGTATCTAAAACACTAGCATTCCAGACTTCAATCTCAGAGACTCCAAAGATGACCATACTTTGTCCCAAAACATCTCTGACAAAGAGCTTGAACAAAGAGGAATGTTGTTCAAATATGCTTTTATTCCCCCTCCAAATAATTTTTATTGGCTTTAATGTAAATACAAGAACAACATAACTACAGTAACTTGTCCATTAAGTTTAATATGCACTAGACAAGCAAGGTGTTTATTTATGCATTATCAATTCAAGTATCCTCTCCGAAGAGATTCCTGTGTTGTGGGTGGAATAAAAGCATCTTCTGTCTCATTTATAAAGGAAAAGAATGAAAGCCAAGTCTTGCCAAAAAGGTCTATTCTTGAAGTACCTTTAAATTACCCTTTTGTGGCGAGTAAGGCATCCTGACAGAGCCATATTGCAAATATTTACCCAGATTTCAATGGGGATTTCTGTAGGTTGTTTTTTTAAATAATTTTTTTTTTTATACTTTTCAAGTTTATACATTTCACTAATTTTATACAGTTCATTAATTTTACAATCATTTTGACATTTCAAAACTTGACTCCCTTCCCCCTCTTTCTGTGGTTCCTTGAATTTATTTTTAATATCTTCTGCATATCCAACTTAACCTATTTTGCACATTTATTCATCTTCTTTAAATATATACTCTTATAAAACTGCAGGTTGTTTCCAGTCTTGGGCTATTGTTAATCGGGCTGCTGATAATAATAAAAATACTAAATCTCTGCATTTAAAGTTTATGAAAAGGGGATCTCACTGCATACAAATTCAAGTTGGGAAATTTACTTAGTACGTTATAAGGGAATGTGTGCATCACCCCTGACCACTGGTCCTGTTAGCTAGGGATGATGGGAGTTTGTAGTCCAAAAACACCTGGAGACCCAACCTGCCATGGTGCTAGAGGGACAGACTGAGCACCTTTCTGTTTTTCCTCCAACCCACTAGACTCCCTATTTCTTTCCCCACTGTCTCCTCTAACTCATATGACCTGCCTCTTCCCAGATGATGATGATGATGATGATGATGATGATGATAATAATAATAATAATAATAATATAATACTTTATTATTTATACCCAGCCCACTCTCGGAGGCTCCCAACAGAATATTAAACAGAATAAAACATCAAACATTAAAAACTTCCCAATACAGAAGAATGAGGAAATCCCAACGAAAGAACAATGGCAAGAAAAATTGATGAGCTATGCAGAGTTGGCTAAATTGACATACAAACTGTGGGATAAGGACAACTGTGACTTTAAGGAAGAATGGGAACTTTTAACAAATTATTTAAAGAGACAACAAAATGAATTGGACGCCTTGGCAGGTTTTGAATAAACATACACAAATTTATTGGTTGATAACATGATAGATAGATAAGGCAAGGATAAGTATAATTTTATAACATGCAGAGAATAATATGTGGAGAGAAATCAGAGAGGGGAGCTGAGGGAAGTCCCTGGTGGGAGGGGGGAAGGGGAAAAAATGTATGTGATTATATGGTTTGTTAAGTTGTTATGTTGAAATTGCTTAATAAATATATATATATATATATATTTAAAAAACTTCCCAATACAGGACTGCCTTCAGATGTCTTCTAAAAGTCAGACAGTTGTTTATTTCCTTGACATCTGACGGGAGGCCGTTCTACAGGGCGGGCACCACTACTGAGAAGGCCCTCTGCCTGGTTTCCTGTAAACTTGCTTCTTGCCGGGAGGGAACCGCCAGAAGGCCCTCGGAGCTGGACCTTAGTGTCCGGGCTGAACGATGAGGGTGGAGATGCTCCTTCAGGTATACAGAGAACCAAAAGCAGTATGTTCACTGCTCTGCTCTCAGAGGTTACCAACAAGTTTGAGGTTGTTCAACAAGAGAGCTCAGTTGATAGAGCATGAGACTCTTAATCTTAGGTTCATGGGTTCGAGCCCCACGCTGGGCAAAAAGATTCTGGCATTACAGGGGGTTGGAATAGATGACCCTCGTGGTCCCTTCCAGCTCAATGATTCTAGTCTCCTCTCTCAGGACTTCCGGAGGCTCTCTCTCTCACCTGGAACCGGTTTGATGCCCTCCAGCCTCCAGATGTTTCCTGGGGCGGGGCGGGCGGGGCACCCCTCGCTTGGCGCGGCTGTGATGCATCTGGATGTTGGCACCGAAGGGGCGGGCGCAAGGAAGGAGTGGCGGGGCGGCTCCTTGACCCAAAGGAGAGAGATTTTAAAGACGGGGGTCGAAGAGGCAGCAGAGGCGGCAAATAAGGACGTCGGACGGAGTGGGAGACCTTTAAACCGTTTTAAGAATCGCCCAGAAATCTGTACCGATTCTCGTACCGTCTGTGAAAGAGAGAGGCGAGAGCAGACGACAGGGTGGAAGCGAGGAGGACAGGAGAAGTCCGACGAAGGAACCGAGGGGAACAGAAAAAAGACGAGAGAGAGAGAGAGAGAGAGAGGGAAGCAAGGAAGGAAGTAGAAAAAGGTAATTTCTAGCCATTTTTTTTAAGGAGTAACAGAGCTGCGCATTCAGTAAAGAACAAATAGATAAAAAGGGGAGAATTGAAAAATAGAAAAGTCAGAAGAGGAGGAGGAGGCTGGCGGTGTCCTGCACACAGTAGAAGAAAATAACTGTGTAACAGGAAAGCAAGGAGAGAGAAAGATAAATACATTTTCCAGGGCTGTGTAGGAAAGGCCTGAGATCCCCATGGCGGCCCCGACGGGAGTGGAGCACTTTGCCGAGGACCTGATCTGCTCCATCTGCCTGGAGCTCTTCCGGGACCCCGTGATGCTGGAATGCGGGCACAACTATTGCCAGCCTTGCATCGCCCGCTACTGGGCAGAGGTGCCCGGCGGCGGAGGCAGCGGCGGCAGCAGCAGCAGTAGCAGCAGCGACGGGGAGGACGCGCCTCTGCCCACGTGCCCGGAGTGCCGCCGGGAGATCCCGGGGGGGAAATTCACGGCCAACCGCGTCCTGGGCCAGCTGGCGCGGAAGACCCTGGAGACTCTGTCCGCCCGGGCGAGTGACGAAGACGCCGAGCCCGACGGGCTGCTGGACGACGAAGTGCAGGGAGAGCTGCGCTTCTGCGCCGACGACGGCTGCCTGGTGAGGGCGCTGCAGCCGGATCACTGGGGGCACCAGTGCATCCCTTTGGACGGGGCTGTGGAGCGCTACAAGGTCGGTAGGCGGCGCTCAAGCATCCTATAGTGCTAGATCATAGAATCCTAGAGTTGGGTTCCAAGGGTCATCTAGTCCAACCCCCTGCAATGCAGAAATCTCAGATAAAGCATCCAGGGTGGATCAGACTTCCCCCATCCTAGTGCCATCCAGCTGCCTTTGAATACTCAAATGTGGAAGAACTGTGGACTGGGTTCAGTTACTGAGCCTGAAAACAACCCCCTAGCTTCCAAACCCCCAGCCTAGGCTTTTATTTAACTGTGAGTCTTTGGGAGATCTTGGGGTTTAAAGGGGGGAAAATGGGCTAGATCTGACACTCATCCGCTTTTAGGCAATGATGCCTATTACTTAACTGGCTTCCAAAAAATGGCAAGACAGCAGGGCTGAACTGGGTGGCTGTGGTGCTTCTGTTTATTGCACTGAGCGGGACCTGGGATTTCTGCCCCAAACTTCTACCCTGTTGCACAACCGCCTGTTGTTGCTGGCTGCAGTAGCCTGTTGTGCCACTAGGGGGTGCCATGCCATTTCGCTACTTGCACTGCGTAGGACCGTCCAGTTTTCAGCGTCAGTCAATGCAACCAGAATTCTGCTTTGCCGGACGTTATAGCTTAATTTTTGCAGCTCAGCAAATTTGTATACCACCCTTCGTCTGTAGAGCTCAGAGTGGTACTCAACATAGATAGGAAAGAGCTGACCTTTGGGTCTCTTATATATTAGCTTAATATGTGTGGGGAGTTTAAGAGAAAGAAAGAAGAATAAGCTTCACGAAGCTTTTAAGCAATGAGTTCCTTACCTTTTGGTCTGATGTGTTGCAATCTCCATGGGGCTGTTCCCCATGATTAATCTGAATGTGCAATTTATTCTATGATACCTATGATACCTGTGGGTCTCAGAGTGGAAGAATGGCTCACACATCACCTGACCATTACTCATTTTTGAGAAAAAAAGGATGCCTGTTACTTGAGCCTTGAGCTCAGTTTCACAACTCTAGGCAAACAGTCTTTCCTAGATGTGATTCAGAGTTGCACATGATCATCTCAAGCTGCTTTAGCTGTATGTTTCCAAACATCTCCCCTAGCTGTGATGCCCTGGAGTCGGCTGCAATTCACTCAGTGGATCCCTTCAGTTTCAGGTCCAGGTACCTTGCCACTCTTTGGACTGCTTCCCTGACTACTCCTCCTCCTCCTCCTCCTCCTCCTCCTCCTTCTTCTTCTTCTTCTTCTTAAAAAAGTTTTTATTGTTAAAATGATTCAGCATTAATACACATATATTGTGAATATACAAACATACATTTCATACAATCCTTAAAAATGTTCAAACATACCTACACTCAATCCCACAGATAATTCCTTTTCCCATCACCATCCACCACCCCTCACCCCACCTTTGTGTTAGACTTCCAATCTACTCAACTGCAATTTCTTTCCACTTCTATTACTTTCTTTCACACACCTTTAACCTAATTTCATGCTTCTTTTTCTATTACACATTGTTATCCATCTTATTTGGTATTCCAGTATTTAAAACGGAACTTGTTTATTCTAATAAGAATTCTGATTTTTCAATATGGTTTTGCAAGTATCCTTTAAACACCTTCCAGTCCCTGTCTATCTTCTCTTTTGAGATCCTTCCAATTTCTCCCATTGTTTTGGATATATTGTAGTCCTCCCTGACTTTCTTTGTTGGTGAGCTGGTTTGCATTAACTCTGAGCCCTGGCACCTCTGGGTGTGCATTGCCTTCTTGCTCAAGCTGTTGCAAGCGTTGATCACTTGTAGAGTCATTAAAATCAGGCGAGACATCGCTACGTGCTGGGCAGTTGTAACTCAGGTTGATGGATTCGTTAAATACAGTATGCAGTTTAATAAATACAGGCTTCACTCAAAAAATGGCAGCGTCTGGTGAAAAGGAGCACGCCAAATTTGGAAAGGGGGTGGGAAAAGAAAGGATTGCAGGCCATTTATTTTGAAGAGGGTGTCGTTCATGTTGCTGGAACCACTTCTAATTTAGTGTTGCTGTACATCCAGAATCTCCCGGACATAGACTTCATAAGCAGCATCCGGGTGGAAATCGCTGAATTGTCTGGGAAAATCCGGACATATGGCAGCCCATGTCGGCAGTGTAGATTTTGGTGAATTGCGTTAAAATTAAAGCTCAAAATATTGGCCAAAAACAAAACAAACAAACAAAAACCTCTTTCACTTTTTGAAACATTGCCAGGGAGAAAGTCATGCCCTATTAATAACAACAAACTGGGTGTGTTTCTTTGAGAGACGGATCCCAGCATAAAGTTTATGTCTCCTCTAATGGCAGGTAAAGTGGGCTAATGTTGGCTTTTGGTTTTCCAGAAACTCCCCCCCCCCAATTCCAAGCAAGCAAAAAATAAAACAAAACCCCCTAACCAGGCTATTGATCGCTGTGGCTAGTGGCAACCCTACATGAGCAGCAGTTGCCAATGGATTCTCATTGCCCTTTTGTGTTCATTCTTTGCCATGTCTGTTTCCATGCAGGAGGTCCTAACAGCTGCTCAGACGGTGCTGGAATCCAGAGCCCAAGCGGCGAAATTGCTGCAAGAGCAGAGTGCCCAGAAATTTCCAGAAATCTCTGTGAGTCCAAGCCTCTTTGATGTTTCTGCCCTTGTTTCATGGAGCCAAGCTGCATGTTACTTTCAGCACACACGCTTTTGCTTTTTAATGTGCATTTAATGCTTGGTTTGAAGTGTAAGAAAACAGCAGAATCTATTAAGAAACATGTCCGAGAGGATGACATTAGATGAAATGGAACCTTAAAGTGCAATTGCATGTAATTTGTGTTATAAACATCGATGTCAGGTGAGCGGAAAGTCACTAGTTTTGTTGAATTGGAATATAATTGTTGAGTAACAATTTTCTATATGGAAAAAAAGAATAAAATATTATTCTGAAGGAGCATCTCCATCCCCATCATTCAGGCCGGACACTGAGGTCCAGCTCCGAGGGTGTTCTGGCAGTTCCCTCACTGCGAGAAGTGAGGTTACAGGGAACCAGGCAGAGGGCCTTCTCAGTAGTGGTGCCCGTCCTGTGGAACTACCTCCCATCAGATGTCAAGGAGCTAAAGAACTATCTGATTTTTAGAAGACATCTGAAGGCAGCCTGTTTAGGGAAGTTTTTAATGACTGATGTTTTATTGTGTTTTTGAAATTCTGTTGGGAGCCACCCAGAGTGTCTGAGGAGGCCTGGCCAGATGAGTGGGGTATAATGATGATGATGATGATGATGATAATAAATTTATTATTTATACCCCACCCATCTGGCTGAGTTTCCCCAGCCACTCTAGGCGGCTTCCAATTGAGTGTTAAAAACAATACAGCATTAAATATTAAAAACTTCCCTAAACAGGGCTGCCTTCAGATGTCTTTTAAAGATAAGATAGCTGCTTATTTCCTTCACATGTGAAGGGAGGGTGTTCCACAGGGCGGGCGCCACTACCGAGAAGGCCCTCTGTCTGGTTCCCTGTAAATGAGGGAACTGCTAGAAGGCCCTCGGCACTGGATCTCAGTATAAGTAATACATTATTATTATTATTATTATTAAAAAATGCATGTAATGTTGCTGCTACTTCTAAATGAAGGAAAAAACAGCCAGTTCAGTCTGGGAGGGTAACTCTGGGCTGCTGGCTTCCTCCCACAAACAGTCCCTTTTCTCTAAGCACACTGGGGCTGCCAGAACAGAGCCAGTGTCCATCGCTCACACATCCTCCTTTCCCCACCATTGCTGTTCCTTCTCAAGGCCCAGCGCCTCCGGCTGGAGCAGCACCTCTCGGCCCAGTTCACTGAGCTTCACCAGTGGCTCCAGGAGAAGGAGGCAGCGATGAGGAGGGAGATCCGGCGTGAGGAAGAGCTCCTCCTCAGCGAGCTGGAAAGGAACCAGCGCAACGGGCAGGAGCAAGTTCGCGCTGCTGAGGAACAAGTGGCCAAGATCCAGGCACGGCTGGAGGAGCAGCTGGACCCCGAAGCCTTCCTGAAGGTCAGTGCGTCTCTGAACAAATCTATGGGGAGGGCATCATTTCTGGATTGCAGGCAGGTATGGTCTCCCAGAAGGGATGCGGGTGGCGCTGTGGGTTAAACCACAGAGCCTAGGACTTGCAGATCAGAAGGTCGGTGGTTCGAGTACCCGCGATGGGGTGAGCTCCCGTTGCTCAGTTCCTGCTCCTGCCAACCTAGCAGTTCAAAAGCACGTCAAAGTGCAAGTAGATAAATAGGTACTGCTCCGGCGGGAAGGTAAACGGCATTTCCGTGCACTGCTCTAGTTCGCCAGAAGCGGCTTAGTCATGCTGGCCACATGACCCGGAAGCTGTACGCCGGCTCCCTTGGCCAATAAAGCAAAATGAGTGCCGCAACCCCAGAGTCGGCCACGACTGGACCTAATGGTCAGGGGTCCCTTTACCTTTTTATGGTCTCCCAGAGGTACTTGAGATCCTGCACAAATCACGTAAACGAAATATGCTTGTGTCTCTTTGCTTTTTATGATCGAGCAGAAGGTATGACAAATCTGTACCTGTGTACAAAGGGGACGTAGGGGGAACTGTCACCTGCAAAGGATGTGTATTAAGAGGTGGAAAGTGGAGCCAATGAAATCTGCCCATCAGGCGCGCCGAGTTTGTGGGTGCTTGGCACGTGTGTGTGATGTCACACGCGTGCGTGATGTCATATGTTGGCGCCGAAGCAGAAGGGCCCGATGGAGCCCCCTGTCACAGCGGAAGGGCCCGACTGAATGCCCCGCCACCACACCTTCTTGGTAGTTGTGCTCGCCCTGTGGAACGCCCTCCCATCAGATGTCAAGGGATTAAACAACTATTTGACTTTTAGAAGACATCCGAAGGCAGCCCTGCTTAGGGAAGCTTTTAATGTTTGAAGTTTTATTGCTTTTTTGTTATTATTATTAATATTCTATTGGGAGCTGCCCATAGTGGCAGGGAAACCAGCCAGATGGGCAGGGAAATTAAATTAAATTAAAATAAAATAAAATATAAGTATAAAAAAATAATTATTAGTTGCCCAGCCAGGCACCCAAATTTGTGCGTGCCTTGGCACCCATGATCGCCCAGAAATGGTGACTATGCTGCCAGTGATGCGAAGTTTGGAAGAACTGCAAACCCTTTTAGAGAGGGTGGGATTAATTATTAAATTTATACACCTTGAGGCATTTCACAAGATAGAAATTCAGAATAAAAGCACAAATTAAAAACTTAAAACAAAACAACCCCCCCCCCATTTTAAAGGCTGTAGAATATTAATCAGCCGAAGGCCTTTGTGAAGAGGAACGTTTTTGCCTGGTGCCTAAAGACGTATAACGAAGGCACCAGATGAACATACCTGAGTTAAAGTTCCATAACAAGCTGTAAACCACCAGAGCACTGGGTTGCTGAAAAGAAAGAGAGCTTCAACTGAAGTAATTTTTAAAAGCTTTGAATGTGGGGGAAGGAAACCCCCATGGAATAAACCAGCTCTTCCACTGAAGCCAGCAAGAGGGTTTCCTTTGCTGAGCAAGCCCTAGGCTACAGAAAGTCACCATGACTGCCTCAATTTATATAATCCGGCTGCAGCACACAAATCCAGTCATCATTTTGGATGAGGTCATGAGAAGACTCGTGTGACAGGCAATTGCATTGCTAGCTTCCGTTAGACCCAAGGGTGGATCACCTTTTTCTGATCAAGGACTGCATTTCCTTCTGGTGGGTGTGGCCAGAGGCAAAAGTGGGCGGAGCAACAAATATGAATCTTTGCCTTTGTACAGCTTGTTTCACACCCCAAAAAAGCTTGGAGAGCTACTTTTGGCCCCTTGCCTCTGAGGCCTGAGGTGTCCCCCCCGCTTTAGACCTTGGCTGGGATATTACAACCAGTTTTGTGATGGCTTGGGGTCCAAGATGGCCTCTCTCCATATGGGCTGGCCCATTTTCTGTGACTGTCATGGGAGGCCCAGCCCATGGTCCTGTCGAGAGGTATGGCCCGTGGGATGGTGTCATGAGGCAGGGTCTGCTTGGTGGTGGCTCTCCCGCTCATGGAACTCCCAGCTCTGGGGAAAGTTGGCTGTCCTCGTCGTTGACAACTGTTAAGCGTCACTTGAAGATGCGTTTAGTCATTCATTCAAACCTTTGGTATATAGACGCAGTGAGGAGTCCATTGGCTTAAGTATTACCGTATTTACGGTGCCTGTAGCATCACACTTTTGAGTTTTTATATAGGTTTTAGCTACTATTTTAGTAATGGGTGTTATCGCGATTGTCATTTGCGATGGCTGCATGACAGTCTGGGCTCCTGTGGGAGGAAGGTAGGAAACCCATAAGGGTGATGAAAAATAATTTAAGATGTCCTGTTTTAAGCAGCTTCTGTGATATCCACGAAAGTATATTTTAAATGGTCAGAACATCTCTTCAGACTCCCTTTTCCTTTTTTGCAGGACATCAAAGCCTTCACAGAAAAGTGAGTAGACCGTACGACTGAACCTCCTGCTTCTGTTCTCAACCCTCTCAACAAACATCTATTTACTTAACTTCATCTGAGGATGTAACTAGAGCTGTGCCAGCAATATTGGTAGAGGGTGGACCAGGGCCTTTTGTGGCTCCTTGATCTTCTGCCTCTCCCCATCACTTTTTAAAACTATTTTTAAAAAAACTCTGCTTCTAGCTTTCTCTGTCTCCTGTTTGTTTTCTACTCATGATCTATGATCCACAACTAGAGCTCATTCCCTGCTAGATCAGGAATATAACATCAGTGCCTTTTGCATTGATTAATCCACACTAGCAACTACCCCCGTGTTTGAATAATGTAGTATGGCTCTTATTTAGGAGCTACAGTGGTGCCCCGCAAGACGAATGCCTCGCAAGACGGAAAAACCGCTAGACGAAAGGGTTTTCCGTTTTGAAGTTGCTTCGCAGGACGAATTCCCCTATGGGCTTGCTTCGCAAGACGAAAATACCTTGCGAGTCTTGAGATTTTTTTCGCTTTTCCCCCTTTATCTAATCTGCTAAGCCTTTAATAGCCTTTAATAGCCTTTTAGCAGCTAATCCCCTAAGCCTTTAAGCCTTTAATAGCCGCTAAACAGCTGATAGCGCTAATAGCGCTAATCCGTCAATGGGCTTGCTTCGCAAGACGAAAAAACCGCTAGACGAAGACTCTTGCGGAACGGATTAATTTCGTCTTGCGAGGCACCACTGTAAATGATCATTAGTACAAAGAGCAGCACTTTCAGATCTGGCCACTAGGTGGAGATAAAGAGCAGCTTGTGACACTCATAATCATGGATTCTACTTTATACGATCTTTTTCCTGTTCTTGCAGATATTGCCCTGGTGATGACAAAGGATCCACACTGCCTGTGGTCGCCCGTGAGTTCAGCCTGGGCCAGTTTAAGGGCCCTATTCAGTACATGGTGTGGAAGGAGATGCTGCCAGCTCTGAGACCTTGTAAGTATCGGAGCGGTGAGGATTTATTGCCACAACAGCTTGGCATAAACTGTTTCTGTGATGCTGTGGCAAAATCTGTGACTTGAGGCCAGAGCTGCTCTGCTCTAATAATAATAATAATAATAATAATAATAATAATAATAATATATTATGTATACGCCACCCATCTGGCTGGGTTTCCCCAGCCACTCTGGGTGGCTCTCAACCAAATATTAAAAACACAATACAGCATTAAACATTAAAAACTTCCCTAAACAGGGCTGCCTTCAGATGTCTTTTAAAAGTCGGATAGTTGTTTATTTATTTGACATCTGATGGGAGGGCGTTCCACAGGGTGGGTGCTACTACCAAAAAGGCCCTCTGCCTGGTTCCCTGTAACCTCACGTCTCTCCGTGAGGGAACCGCCAGAAGGCCCTCAGTGCTGGACCTCTGTGTCCGGGCTGAACAATGGGGGTGGAGATGCTCCTTCAGGTATACTGGACCAAGGCCGTTTAGGGCTTTAAAGATCAGCACCAACACTGAATTGTGCTTGGAAATGTACTGGGAGCCAGCTTAGGTCTTTCAAGACCGGTGTTATGTGGTCTTGGCGGCCACTCCCAGTCACCAGTCTAGCTGCCACATTCTGGATTAGTTGTAGTTTCTGGGTCACCTTCAAAGGTAGCCCCACGTAGAGTGCATTGGAGTAGTCCAAGCGGGAGATAACCAGAGCGTGCACCAGTCTGGCGAGACAGTCTGTGGGTAGGTAGGGTGTCAGCCTGTATTCTAGATAGAGCTGGTAGACAGCTGCCCTGGACACAGAATCAACCTGTCCCTCCATGGACAGCTGTGAGTCCAAAATGACTTCCAGGCTGCGCACCTGGTCCTTCAGTGGGCTTCAGTTACCCCGTTCAGGACCAGGGAGTCCTCCACACCAGCCCGCCCCCTGTCCCCCAGGAACAGTACTTCTGTCTTGTAAGGATCAACCTCAATCTGTTAGCCGCCATCTATCCAAAAGTGTGTGTGTGTGTGTGGAATTTTGCATCTCTTTTGACCCTTGCCCCATCTGAAGCAAACTGGGATAGCTGATCTGGTAGAGCATGAGAACCTTAATTTCAGGATCATGGGTTTGAGCCCCAAAAATTCCTGCATTGCAGGGGGCTGGACTAGATGATTCTTCCAATTTTACAGTTTTATGATTCTTTGAAGTGCCATGCCTGCTCTTGTACCAAGTGCCAGCTGATGAAAGATCTCCAGTTAACACAACTGGGTTGCGACTCGTGAAACCTGAGTTCTTTGTGTGGTTTAGGGTGGACATGAGAGAAGAGCAGGGCTTTATCTGAGGAGATAAAGAAATAAAGAACTAAACAACTTTTAGAAGATATCTGAAGGCAGCCCTTTAAACTTTTTTTAAAAAAGTTTGACATTTTAAAATGTTTTTATATGTGTCAGAAGCCACCCAGAGTGATTGGGGCAACTCAGCCTGATGGGCAGGGTATAATAATAATAATAATAATAATAATAATAATAATAATAATGCTGCCTTTAACCCAGGCTTCCTCAACCTCAGCCCTCCAGATGTTTTTGGCCTACAACTCCCTGATCCCTAGATAGCAGGACCAGTGGTCAGGGATGATAGGAATTGTAGTCTCAAAACATCTGGAGGGCCGAGTTTGAGGAAGCCTGCTTTAATCACTATGTGGCAGGCAGAAATTTAACAGGTTATGCCTTTTCAAGACTGGGACTAAAATTACAGGTAAAGTTTCTCCTGTTGACATTGTGGCTAGATCTACACAGCTACAAAAAAACCCGCTGTGAAAACACTCTGCGAGAAACCATTGCAAAGCTCACAACTGAAAATATCACTGAGCTGCGATTTTAGCTCTGCAGTCCCATCCAGTGTCACAGTGTTATAACGCATTTATAAGGCTGCATTTTGACTAATGTAGATGAGGCCTCTGTCTGTCTTGTTGTGTGTGGCCCCTGATTTATCACTGGGCCCTCTACCCTACTTGCCAAAGACAATACGAATTTGTATGTGAAGCAAAGGATATGCAGATCATAGCTGTCAACCTTCCCTTTGTTTGCGGGAAATTCCCTTATTCCAGCGCCATTTCCCGCTGCTTCCCGCTGCTATCCCGGATTGTTAGATATCTTGTAGACTGTCCCCGGGACAGGTGAGGCTGCTGATCCCTTATTTTCAAATCTGAAAGTTGACAGCAATGATGTAGATACATGTCCTCTTTGTGTAAGAAGGGTGGGGGGGCCTTGTGTAAGAAGGGTGTGCTGGGCCCAGAAAATCCTTTTGGCACCTCTGAGGTAAAAACTGGACAGCCTGTTTAGTGTAGATCTCTCCTGCATCCAACATTTCTGAATGTAATGTAAGGTGTCGGTAACCATTACGTCGGTCGTATCCCAACAGCTCCCTGTCAAATCACCTTGGATCCTGCCACCAACCACCCCAACCTTGTGCTCTCCAAGGACCTTGATAGCGTTCGTCTGGAAGACAACCCTGAGGACGAGGTCCCTGACGGGCCTGAGAGGTTCAGCAAGTGCGTGTGTGTGCTGGGCTCTCAGGGATTTACCTCAGGACGCCATTACTGGGAAGTAGAGGTGAGGAATAAAACCAGCTGGGACATTGGCGTGGCCAAGGAGTCCGTCAACAGGAAGGAAGCCAAAGTGAAAGTCAAGCCCAGCAATGGATTCTGGGCCATCTGGCTGAGGAACGGTAGCGAATACAAGGCCCTTGAGTCTCCCCCCAAGCTGCTGTCCCTCAAGGCCAAGCCCCAGAAAGTCGGGGTCTACCTGGACTATGAAGCGGGGCAGGTCTCCTTCTACGATGCTGATACCATGCTCCACATCTACACCTTTTCAGACATCTTCTCTGAGCGCCTCTACCCCATGTTCAGCCCTGGAGTCAACAAAGATGGGCTCAACGGTGAAGCCCTCCACCTCCTATCCCTGCGGGCATAGCAAGGGCCGTACCTGGAAGTCCCATCAAGCCCCACCAGGACGCTGTTTCATTTGCAAACGGTCTTAATTTATGTTGAGTTGCTGGATTAGAGTGGACTTGGACCAGGTGGTGCCTGGCTAGGAAACCACTGGCGCCCCATGCAAAGCTGCTCTGAGCTTCCCAAGGAAAGAATGAGCAGAATTCAAAGTGTTGGTGCTGACTTTTAAAGCTCTAAACGGCCTCGGCCCAGTATACCTGAAGGAGTGGCTCCACCCCCCATCATCCAGCCCGGACACTGAGGCCCAGCTCAGAGGGCCTTCTGGTGGTTCCCTCACGGCGAGAAGCAACGTTACAGGGAACCAAGGGCCTTCTTGGTAGTGGCGCCTGCCCTGTGGAATGCCCTCCCATCAGATGTCAAGGAAATAAGCAACTATCTGACTTTTAGAAGACATCTGAAGGCAGCCCTGTTTAGGGAAGTTTTTAATGTTTGATGTTTTATTGCTATTATTATTATTATTATTCTGTTGGGAGCCACCCAGAGTGGCTGGGGAAACCCAGCCAGATGGGTGGGGTATAAATAATAAATTATTATTATTATTATAAAGGTATAATAGGAACTTGCATTGTTCTGTGGTGTATCAGAACCTGGGGCACTGCCTTGAAGGAAATATTGGCACAGATGATGCTAGTGATATAAGACGAGGGAGGGAGGGCAGAAAAGAGACCTGAAAGTAAATGATGAAGCTCTGGACAATGTAAAACGACAACTGACCTACGCACATGTTTTAGAAACCACACATCCGCAATTTTGACTGAAGAGGTAGAGCAGCCAGAATCTAAACGTTTCAGCTTTGAAATGGGAACCACGGACTGTCAGATTTAGAGACACCGACTGATCCTCCTACTTTAGCAAAGAGGGGGAAACTTCTACATCAGGCTTCCTCAACCTTGGCCCTCCAGATGTTTTTGGCCTACAACTCCCGTGATCCCTAGCTAGCAGGACCAGTGGTCAGGGATGATGGGACTGTAGTCTCAAAACATCTGGAGGGCCGAGGTTGAGGAAGCTTGTTCTAAATGTACATGCAGGACACATTAAAGCCACATGACCTCAGCCTGGAGAGGGCAGCCCAATATCCCGTAGCTTCAGCGAACATTGCCTTTCTGAACATCTCCAAAACTGCCACCTTGACAACAGCATCATTTCATTTTTTATTTTAGCAGCAGAGGAAGGCAGAAGTTGAAGCGTTTTGCCATTGGAATAAAATGTTTCCTGTTAATCGCAGTGAGCCCTGTGTGTGTGTGTGTTTGTGCAAAGCCAGGATTAGTCTCCCTAGCTTACTCTCTGCCAAAGATATCAGCAACTCTGGAGCAGCATTGGCTAACTTGCGGCCCATCCAGGTACAGCTCCCATCATCCCCAACTGTTGGCTTGTGCTGGCTGGGGCTGATGGGAGATGGAACTTCCGGAAGTACAGATGCGACCCTCCTTTCTGGGCTGCTCAGATTCCTTTCTCTTCTTGTAAACAGGACAAAGCGAAATGGTGTCCTCAGACAATTGCCAACAGCACAGCTTTGTCTGACAAGCATCTAAGGGAGCTAGAGGGCCAGATCCCTGCAGACACTGTACCCAAAGAGACTTGTTATACCTAGGTGCTTCTGGGAAAGGGAGGGTCTACTGATGACGCCTCAGGGGAGGAAGAGGTGATGGCAGAAAGATATCAGTCAGATCAGCCTGGAGGCTTCTCAGAATGATGGGTTGGGTCATGTTTTCAGAGGTGAGTGCAGGTTGTCTGTGTGTCTGAACAGGGAGGATGTTGTTTAAATTTTAACACCAGTGCACCTTTCTAAAGGCATTTGTGGCTCAGTTCTTCCTTGATCTGTTATATTTATATCTGCTCTTGGGAGGCATCAGTTTGGGTGTTGCTTGTTTGGATGCTTGGAAGACGTAAGAGCCGTTTTACTCCTAGATTTCTGGAATAATTATGGTGCATTCTGAAACAACACACATATAGTGTCCACTAAAGCGCGATAGTCATTCACACAGAATTTTACAGGGATCCAACTCAAAATAAGAGAATAATGCTATATGCACGGTATCTGAGTGCAAAGACGTTCAGCTTAAAAATCTTGCTTGAGGCAACCTGCTGCTGGGCGGATGTTGCTGGACTTCAGTTCTCAATATGTCAGGGATGATGGGATTTGTAATCCAACAACATCTGGAGAGTAACAGGCCCAAATGGCTTCCTTCACCAGAACTTGCATTCTATAGTTCATTTGGAGATTAGTGTTTCCCCACAAATTGGTTTGGCATTGCAGCCAGCCTTGGCAAATGCTCCACTGAGTCACCCCCTAAGGCTGTAAAGTATGCATTGATTGATCAGTCAAAACTTGATTTCAAAACTTCATTTTGAGTTTTAAAAATTGCCTCGGAGTAATTCCAGTGTAGCAAGATCACCATGTGATAGTTCAAATATTAGGCAAGTTAACAGAAGCTGGGTTTATCCACAGCTGTTAGTCTTGGTTGCAAAACATGATCTCCATGGTGCAGTCTATTTCTGGAGAAGATCAGGTACTGGGGACAAACAATGCAGCTGAGCTCCTGTCTTCGTGTCCTCCCTGTGAGTTTTCCAGAAGTATCAGCCAGCTCATTTTTGTAAACAGAAAAACAGATTAGCTCTGCCTTCCCCATCCTGAAAACACCGACTGTCACAGAGGATGATCAGAGGTCTTCCATGGGTCAATTTTTCTGGGAAAGAAACGTGTTAGATGCCTTTTCTTTCCAGATTAGATGCCTGGTTAGTGAACAGTTTTGTTTCCCAAGGTGCAGGTACTGTGTTTTCCTTTGATCAGTGGCAAAATGTGTTCCTTGCATGAGGAAGAGTCGCAGCATATTCAGTTCATGTGATCCTTCAAAGTCCCCTCTGTTGTGCATTCATGTTTATTTGTGCTCATTGGGGTAGGTAAAGGTAAAGGGGCCCCTGACCATTAAGTCCAGTCATGGCCGACTCTGGGGTTGCGGCACTCAACTTGCTCTATAGGCCGAGGGAGCCGGTGTACAGCTTCCGGGTCATGTGGCCAGCATGACTAAGCCACTTCTGGCAGCACATGGAAACACCGTTTACCTTCCCGCCAGAGCGGTACCTACTTATCTACTTGCACTTTGACATGCTTTCGAACTGCTAGGTTGGCAGGAGCTGGGACATAGCAATGGGAGCTCACCCCGTCACGGGTATTCGAACTGCCGACCTTCTGATCTGCAAGTCCTAGGCTCTGTGGTTTAACCCACAGCGCCATCCACGTCCCTTTCCTCATCGGGGTACTGCCGTGGTTATATGTGATGCCGCTCTCAATACTATTTGCTCCCACAAAAGTTTTAAAGAGGACATGCTGCTTTGTTCCCAACATTTGCACAACCTGTAACTTCCTGCTGAAATCCTGTGTATGTATATTTTCTTCACCTTAGCTCCACACCGCAACCCCATACACCTGACGCTAAAAGGGGGGACTTCCAAGTCGGAGTGTGTGCGTCAGATAAGTTAAAATTAAGTCCTGAAACCTCTGCCAGGGCTTATCCACTTTTCCTCTGCTCTTTCCAGGCATGGCCCACACTTTAAAGCACAGCGTCCAAGCACCCTTTCCCTGCCACTCTGGTGCTTTCCCCACAAAAACACGCTCTTTAAAATTCAATCAGCGCAAACAGCAATGCGCAGATAACCAGAATTGACGTTTCCTCTGACTGAATGCTGAAGAGCAGGGGGGTTTTTTGTGGGAAAAGCTCTGGAGCAAAAAAACCACACTTGGACACAGAACTTTGCTTGGACAGAGAGGCAAAGGCGAGTGTGGGTAAGCCCTGTGCTAAGCAATGGGAAGAGAACTGTAGATCATTTGCGACTGGCTAGCTTTCACCATCTATGTCTCCAATCTTCTGCAGCTGAGTCATTCTCTGTTGCGGTCCATGGGCAATCATTCTTCCCTGGTGAGCGAGTTCATCGTTGTCGGTTTCTCTGGGCTGCCGCAGCTGCGAATGCTCCTTTTTGTGCTGGTCCTTTCCATGTACACCGTGTCGCTCGCAGGGAATTCTATCATCACCACCGTGATCAAGTTAAACCCGGCCCTCCACACTCCCATGTACTTCTTCTTGACGAACCTGTCGCTGTTGGAAATATGCTACACCACAGCCATTGTCCCCAAGATGCTGGCTAACCTGTTGTCGGAGAATGGGAGGATCTCTCTCTGGGGCTGCGCTACCCAGATGTACTTTTTCACCCTCTTTGGCATCACAGAATGCTGTCTCCTTGCTGCCATGGCTTACGACCGCTATGTGGCCATTTGCAACCCGCTGCGGTACAGTGTTGTCATGAACCGAGGCGTCTGTGCCCAGCTCTCGGTGGCCTCGTGGTCGGTGGGAGTGATGGTTGGACTGGGTCAAACAAACTATGTCTTTAGCTTGACCTACTGCGGGCCCAATAGGATCAACCACTTCTTCTGTGACATCCCTCCTCTCCTGACTCTAGCATGTGGCGATACTTCAATGAACGTTATTGCAGTCTATATGGTGGCTGTACTTTTCATCACAGCCCCTTTCCTTCTGATCCTCACGTCCTATGTATACATCATCACCTCAATTTTGAGGATGCCCTCAGCCGAGGGCAGGCGTAAGGCCTTCTCCACTTGCTCGTCCCATCTCATCGTTGTCTCCCTGTTCTACGGTTCAGGCATCATTACGTACCTTAGGCCCAAATCCAGTTACTCGGCGTCGAGCGACAAGCTGCTGGCCCTGTTCTACACAGTTGTGACCTCCATGTTGAACCCCATAATCTACAGTTTGAGGAACAAGGAGGTCAAAGTGGCCTTGATGAAAACCATGGGTAGGAAACTGTGCTGTGTGGAATGTAAAAAGTGATCGTCGCTGGGATGGTACCTCAGGGCACCACCCATGTAATAAACCTTTGAATAAAACTTTTCTGACAGAAAACCTGTTTTCATCTAAATTCTTACCACACTTGCTGAGGACATGTGCCTCTAAATAGCCCCAAGCTGCTTCCCTGTGTTCAGGAAACATGAATACTAGACGGAATTGAGCTCAAATGCTGGGTTAAGGAAGGGGCAGGGCAATCCAGATGCTGTGGGATTATGAATCCTATAAATCCTAACCTTCAGCTATACTGGCTGAGGTTGATCTGAGTTGGAAGTCTAACAACATCTGGAGAGCTACAGGTTCCCACCCCTATGCTAGGGGAACTGCCTCCCACAGAGATTCTGGCTCTGTGTTACTGGAGGACAAATTATGGTTGGTTTGGTAGAGATGACCCAACCCTCACACTAACCAGAATACCAAAAGGAGGTAAGTGTAGGTAATGCTCTGATCATTTAATTTGCACCACAGAATGCCCCTGTTAGGTACTTTGGGGGACAGTGGAGATGGATCATGGTTTTTCAGATAATCGAGGTTCATTGGGAGAAACATGACAAAGTAGACAAATTATTAACTATAATTCTTGCCAGGCACAGAGGGGCAGGAGAGGGGTCATGGTGCAATTGCGTATTGCATACCTCCAACATCTTGCTGATCAAAACCAGGACCCTCGTTTTCTGGTTCTGAGCTCTTGTGGGAAGGAGCTGATTCGCACGAGAGCATGAAACCAAAACACAAGCATCCTTTGGTTCGACATGGACTGGGAAAGTGCGGACCTGTTGCCTAGAAAGTGCGAGACAACAGGTAAATGTGGATAAGCCCTAAGAAAAGGAGCTGGAGATGGCTTCTTTCTTTCTTTGGCGATCACTCATAGCTGAGTAAGATTGTCTTCCATAAACACAGTTTTAATAGTGAGTCCGTAAGTGACTGTGGAGGCCAATTCTGGATCCGCACGTCCTTCCACAGTGGGGACATAGGTTTCTGGATAGGAGTTGATCATGGCGAGGGTTTGCCAAGAGTGCCTTCCTCTTAGCACGTTTCTCCCTTTCGTCCTGAGTTCGAGCATCTTCAAAGTCCATGGCACCTTTGGTAAAGGCTTTTCTATATTTGGAGTGCTCACAATGTTTTCCAATTGTTGGTGTTTATACTATATTTTTTTTAGATTTGCCTTGAGACAGTCTTTAAACCTCTTTTGTTGACCACCAGCATTACGCTTTCCATTTTTAAGTTCAGAATAGAGTAGTTGCTTTGGAAGACGATCATCAGGCATCCACACAACATGACCAGTCCAATGAAGTTGATGTTGAAGAATCATTGCTTCGACACTGGTGATCTTTGCTTCTTCCAGTACACTGGCATTAGTTTGCCTATCTTCCCAAGTGATATGTATTTTTTTTTGTAGACATTCATTACCCTTAGCAATGACCTTCCA